TTCATCTCTGGCAATTATTTTCCATGAGGATAATCCGATTATATTCCCAGAATTCCATTTTCTCTCTTGAAAATCTGTGTTCAACATATATATTGATTCTCCCGAACTTTTTACAAACTCGGCCCGGCAGAAAAATACTTTTCCTTGAATTCCGTTAGGAAGGTGTGGTTTGGTGGCGTATAGGAACCGTGATGGATAAGAGGATTTGCCTCTCCTTGCTCCGTCACTTCGGTGTTCCTTAGTTCCATCTTTCCTTTTCCTGGGCCACCTTGAAATACCGTTTTTTCCCTTCCTCTCTCATCCCCGTAAGAATCATAAAGTTTTATCCCCCACTGGGGTAAGTACTCAGTTTCAAGCACACCTAAATATAAGTTTTTCCGGGGCTCCATCTCTCTCTCTCTCTCGCCCTCTCTTTCTCTCCTGGTCTCGTGAGAAAAAATTCACTGGATATCTCGCGGGGCTCCTGTATCACTCACACGACATGGTTACGATCAAACGTGAAATATGATCTCAAGTCTGAGAGATATGGATGCATATGTTTACCCCACGTAGGTGATCATGGGAAAACACACTCTGGTTACCGATAGTATTATCTCACCAATTTAGTTGATCTCTCGGTTTCAATAATCTCGACAGGATTACACTAAAGAAGAGAATTTATATCGCGTTCCACATTTTTGTGACGTCATGGGAAATAATTGGATGGGATTTGGATGACGTACACTGTTAGAAAATTACTCTTGAAATTTCAAGGGAAAAAGCTTGATATTTTTAACAACGACAAAGTTACGTGAAATTTCTGGATATTTATTCATTGACGAATCAGTTAATTTCTTGAATATTCAAGTAATTCTCGATTTTCAGGTCCAACCGGTACTGAAAAACCTTGAAAATTTCTAAAATTCAGGCAACAACTTTTCTTAATTCTCACTTTACTAAAAATTGATTATTTAACATGAAAAATACAATTTTATTGAATTTTCAAGATGAATTCGAAATTTACTGAACGCTTCCATTTGAAATTGAATTCAACCTCTCAACATTAAAAATTCAGATGATGCTGTGACTGAAATTTCAAGAAATTTCCAACTTTCTAAGTTAGTCCAGAGGGAAACCAGGATTATTCTCAATATGAATAACAAGAAATCCCTCACACCACATGGTTACGATCAAACGTGAAATATGATGCCAAGTCTGCGAGATATGGATGCATATGTTTACCCCCCGTAGGTGATCATGGGAAAACACCCTGATTACCGATAGTATTATCTCACCAATTTATTTGACCTCTCTGTTTCAATAATCTCGACAGGAGGGAGACGATAGATAAGGGGAGAGAAGCGCACTGGGTCCAATTTTCAGCCGTCGAGGCTTGGGACAAGGGTGGTAATGCGTTTCTTCAACGTGACACATCGTTGCCTATCGCCGTAAGTGGGTTAATAACGGGAGATTTCGAATTTGGCGAATGGCCAACGGTTGGCGCCGTGCGGGACGATAACGAACGAGAAAAGTATACAGTGGAGATGGGGAAAAAAAGAGGGACGATTCAAAAGGGCTCGAGTTACACCCCGAGTGGAGGAAATGAAGTAAAAAGGCCCTCGCAGAACAGGATATGTGCATGAAACGCTTCAAATTGCTGAGAAAATTTTTGACAAATTTTCAAACGTCATAGCTGGGGGAAAAAATTACGCTCTCTTGTTTTCGCTCTTCCATTATTCATCATTTCACTTTGTTGTTTTCTCAGTTCAGTTCAGTTACCCAGTGATGAGGTTAAGTCCAACGATCTCATTAATTATTCTAGTCTGGCTACGTATTGTGAGTAAGGCTCTTTGACATATTCACCCTTTAGTATCGATGATAGCAGTGCATTAGGGATTAACTCGTATCGAAACTCGTTACTGTGAGTAGAGATGCGATAGCGAGAACATTGGACGGTGGGAGGGTTTGAGTGTGGTTATAAATCAAGTTAATCAGAGGTATATCCGACAACCGCTTGGACTGTGCATTGCGGAATCGCTCTCGAGCAACAAAACGAGTAGGATGTAGCAACGATACAACTTAATTTAAGTTGGTAGTTTAGATATACATTCGATTTGACGCTTCAACTAGCTTCTAGTCTATTAAGATTCATGATGTTTCGAGGGGAATTCATCAGATCGAGGGAGAATATTGTGGGTAGCCCTTATGGTACTCTATCGCACGAATGCATCGGCACGGAAAACCGGAAACGGAGAAAGACGAGATCTCAGGACTTTTGCTGGAGATCCACTGACCGGGGACGCCCCTTGGCTGGAAAAAAACGGCTTTTTCGCTGAGAATACCGACGTTTTTACGGTGAAAATCGACGTTTTTACTGGTTTTCTCAGTGAAAACGCCGGCTTTTGCCAGACGAGGGACGCCCCACCGGTGGGTCTCGGGGAAAACACCATTGGGGGTATTGAATGTGGAGACGACATTGAAACGTTTTGTTCTTTATTCATAGAGGATAATCTGATGGATAAACATACCCGTTGAGAGCTTTTGTGGGTGGATTCATACATACGGAGAATGTAGTTGAGGACAAAGTACGGAAAAACTCACGTAATCGGGGAGTGAAATTCAGTTTCGAGTCTTTTATATGTCGGTGGAAAGAGTGCAACAGGAATTGTTAATTTTCTACACTTGTGCCGGAAAAATTACAAGGCGTGAAATTTCTCTGATAATTAATGTCTGTAATATTAAAAATTTAATTATTATTTTAGGAGATTTTTCAATAGATTTTAGATTTTAGATTTTAGATTTTTTTCAATAGCGTATTTCTCCAGTCGCATCAGTCCCAGTCAATCTTCATTAGGTTTCAATTATGGCAATTATATTGCTCTAGAGGATGATCATGTTAGTTATGAAGTTGAGTGCCTGCCCTCAGTAATTATCAATATTAAACAAAATTTTAAATTCTCTAGAGAATGAGAAATTTAGGAAAAATAAATAATCGTTGAAGGAGTTCATCCAAGGTCATGTGCAACATAGTCTTTCTCTAGAGTAACATGATTCTGATCATTGAAATCTAATCAAGCTCCCCTGGGAATGACGCCATTGGAGAAATACGATTTTGAAGAAATAAATGTTTCCCTCAAGTAAAAGAATATTTGAAAACAAAATTTTTTTATTCCGTTACATTTTGCTCTGCAATTACGTCTCGGACAATTGATTTTCCGTGTTTTTTCTTCACCTGTTCCCTCCGTACATAGGAAATTGTACGACACTTGGCAAATGTTTCTACAGGGGGGAAAAGATCAATGAAAAATTGCAAGAAAATTGTAGTAAAACTGGCTGCAATTTATTTTTTCACTTGGATTTCGTGGATTTCAGGTGAAAATTCCTAAAATACCATTTCACACTCCGATTAACTGAACCGTAAAGTAATTTTTCGTTACCCCATGCAATATTATCGAAGCCAGTTGTGTCAATATTTATTTCGTTTCATGCGATTCAGTTACGTATACGCTCTCTGTGATGCGTCTCAAAGAGAATGAAGCTGTCATGACGCACGTAAATCGAACTAAAGCGTTTGTTGCTGGGGTTTCTATATCACCCATTTAATCTTGGTTACGGGTATAATTCCTCGTCAGCGCCGTTTGTTTCGTACCATTGTACGGATATTTCATGGATAATGGAATATACTGTTTCTCTCTCGTGAAATGCTATTCAATTGTACATTTTACGAGGTGGAATGGATGCCTCACGATATTTTAGAAAATTTCCATGGAAAATGGTGAAACAATTTCTTCGTGAGACTTCTCACGGATTCTCCTTTGTTTCCTTGCACTCGATATTCGCACCTCTGACCCAGATTTCAGACAATGCACATCAAATCGACGAGTGAGAACTTCACTGTATTGAAAGTCAAAGAAATATTTCGTTTACTGCTCTTTAAATCGACGAAAATCAGATGAAATACAGAGGGGAAGAGGTCGATTGGAATAATATATTTCACTTTGTGTACACACAGGCATCGAATAAATTGCTATGTTTTGATTGTCGCACTGCACTCGGCATACGAATTTTCCATTTCTCTTTTTGGAAACGAGTGCGATATAAATATCTATTGGAAATGAATGAGGTACTGCGGGGTGTCAGCAACAGGGAATAATAGTGTTACAGGAGGGGGAGGAATTAATGCATATTGTGGGGTGGGAGCAGGTGGTAGGGCGGAATGACATGGCATCAAATTTCCCGGTGGGGGAATGCCGCACTGGGACATCATTTGATGTGCTTCATCCGATGGTGTGTCATCATTTGAATGACTTGTTACGGGGGAATCTACGGAAAGCGGTTTTTTTTTCGAATTTCAATCGCCCTGGTTTAGTGTAATTTATAATGTTATTCCTGTTTGCACAAACCTGACCTCAATTTTTTTGAGGAGAATATTTTACGTGATTTGAGAATTTTCGCGTCACTGAATTGAGAATACTCTTTTTATGTTTAAGCATATATCTTCTTGGTTCAAGCGTATTCCATTTTTGCATCATGATTGTCTAATTCGATTTTAACAAGAGTATTTCGTATCAAGAGTGTTGCATCACTGTGAATATTTTGTAAAAATTGAAAATACTATTGGAAACAATTGAAATTTCAAAAAGAAAAATGCTACAAATATTTATTGATTTCCGGAATTTTGACGGAATTATTGTATTGAAATTAAGCCTTAATTATTGGAAAGTCAATGGAATCTGCAATTTTCTAGTGACGAGAACTGATTGAATTTCAATTGAAATTTCACAAATTAAATATTCCCAATTCGATCCTTGGTCTAGTTGATTGTAATTTATAATGCGATTTCCACTTTCAAATCCTTATTGATTATTTTAAAGAGCTTCATGTCGTTGAATTGAGAATAAATATCCTCGGATCAAAGATTTATGCAATCTACATTTTTAAAAAACATATTTATGTTTCAATTTGAATCTTTTGCCCGTCGCATAATCTTTATTAACGTCTCGTCATTATTTTTGTTTTAGGTAGCGTCGAGCCATGGAAGAAGAGTGAAAAAACAGCTGAACGAGGTACTGAGGTTCAACTGCCGTGTATCCTCAAGAGCCCAAATTGCGGTGGTCTCCACAGTATCAAATGGTATCGGGGTACACAGAGAATCTTTATATTCAGTGAAAAAGCCGGCACCACCCGTGGCAACAATGACATTGCTGGCAGGTTTGTTCATCCATAACTTAGCCAAATTTCGTTGTAAATACAATTTAAGGCTCCCCCATAATGAAGTTGTTTTTGGTTCCTTGTTGCAGGGCATCAATGGACTACGATGCAAATGTAACGCAAACTTTCCTTAAAATTGAGAATCTCAAGGTAGAGGATGAGGGGTTGTACAGGTGTGAGGCGACGTACCTTACGATAAATCGAGAGTGCAATAATGTACAGCATATTACCCTCAATGTCACTGGTGAGTACCAGGAGTTCTTATAAAATATCTTCAATTATAAATGTGCGAAGAAATTTAAGAGAAAAACGTAGTGCTTTCTACCCGTTAAAAGATTTAGCAAAAAAATCGTCAGATTTTGATCTTTCTACACAGCTTATGTTGTTCCTATTTTCAAGTATTTACATTTTATATACATAGGTGTTGGTAATAACAAAAAGAAAACGTCAGGTTACGTTTGGATTTTACCGGGTGAGGACAGAGGAAATAAAGATGATTTTTTCAAGATTGAGTGTGTGGTTAACTGGTTTTTCTACATATTTCCTATAAAAAATTTCTATTTCAGCAAAAAAAAAAAAATAGAATAGAATTTTTACTAGAAGTCCAAAAGAAATTCAAAATAATTTTGGCAGAGGAAAAAATGTTCCTGGTTCTAGAGGAAATGGTACTAAGATCCAAAAACTAGTTCTTAGTTACAGTAAAAATATCACAAAAAAAAATTCATTTTCGCAAATTCTCTGGGAAAATTCTCCCTGGTGATTGCCCTTGGTTTTTTCGTTTATATGTCTCTGCACATCTCTGAATTTCGATTTCAAACTCATTCCAATTTTATGTCGACGAAGGTTGACTTAGCACTGCCTTATGAATAATGAGAATATGCAATTTTCACGACCGTATAAAATGCATAAACCGCCTATTTTGAATGAACGTTAATCAAAGACAGGAATCGCTGAAATAATATATCCCTTTCAATTTGAAGAGACCCGAGGAAATGAGAAAATCGATAGGTCTGACAGTGAAATGAAAATAGTAATTCCCAGATTTCCATTTTAATTCAACGAGACAATGTACAGCAGTGTTCGAGTACAATTATCCCCTCACTCATGGTATCAATACGAACCAAATTATATACCTGAATTGGTACAGTTGGTTGTATCGAGTGGTGTCTGAAGTGCCGAGCTAGCGCAACCGTATTTGCTCCGCGAAGTGCGCGACCGCCGACGAGAAAAAAAAAATGGAGCAAAAAAAACCATTAAATTGCACAGAGACGGGAGAGGAAGCGAGACAGAGTTCCAATTCAAGTTGAGGGCCTTAATTTTCGGGAAACGGTAAACGTACGAAATTGAACGTGGCAGTATTAGATTGCTTGGGTGCGCACTCGACTCAAAATCGCCTATACAAAGCTGGAAATAACGTGAAAGGAAATAACGGCTTTTGGAAAATAAAAATCAGTACAAATGTTGACGATGAGAAATAAAGGATAAGGCTTTTGGGATAGAAATTTTATTTCACTCGGAGAAAATAAGAATCGATGAAATTGCGTCTTGTGTTGAAGGGGCGTGTGTGTTCGTGTATGTCACTCTCGAAGACATTAGTTACCAAGGATCTCTGGCAGCCACTCACGAGTAGCAACTCCCAAGTATCGCGATATCTTCCTCCAGCTATTTTCCTCTCATGTCTCGTTCTATTAAATATCTGCTTCTCTCGCATATATGCAACGTGACAGCTGTATGTAGGACCCTGTGTGTACTAAATGTACACTGAAGTGAACATGAGCCTGTCACCAGACGATACACGTTGGTTTCTTGCTGAAATATTAGAAAGGGCGGAGGGAGAAATGCTGGAAAATAGTCAGGATCTTCGGCTTTTACTCACTCTTGAAAATATTCCATTGATATTTCCGCTAAGAGACTTCGAAATTTTTAACAAGTAACATTTCCACTGAAATTTCAAGGAATTTTCTCATTGAAAATTCATAATTTCATGGAAAAATTAGGGAGAACTGTAAATTTCAGTTCAATTATTCCGGGAAAATTAACGAAAAATCAGGAAAATTCAGAGAAATTTCTCCTTGAATTCCGGATTTCTCTGAAGTTTCAGAGAAACTTGAAATTCCATTGACTTTTTTCTCTTAAATAGAATACAAGCTGTTGTTCCGGAAAATTCAGCCAATTATTTTCAACAGCATTACAACACCGTAATGAACGCATAAAAATAGCTGGAAAATATTCACTTGAATTTATGGATTATAGGAAGACTGTGGGATATATCCGGAAAAAACTGACTGCCTTTTTTTCCCGAGCTAATTCTCCCTAGAAATCCTCTTACCCAATTAATAATTTTTCCACATACACAGATGACCCCTTCAATAATTCACCTCGCTATGTTATAAGCCACACAACGAATCTCTATGTATAACAACCCTAAAATGTTTTAAAATATTTTCCCCCCTCTGTTGTACGGAAATCCACAGAGCCCCGCTCATGATAAAATTACAGATACTAAGTGCCACAGCAAAGCTAAATACAATAAAAATTCGCAATTCCATCATATCTTGAATAACTAGATCATGAACGTCTGACTGAACTCTTTTATTCCCCTAATAGCGTTACCAACCATGAAGACTCGATCTCCCCCGAAGTAGAATAATTCAATTCAGAGGTATCTGAGCGCCTGTTAAAATGAATCATCAAAAGGACAGAAATTTCATTGCTGCACTTTTTTCTCCTCAATACGAAAAACTAAATAAAAATACAATGGAGTACATGAAAATTCACGTGGTGTAAAATAAATGCAACGATTACAATAATGGAGGAAAACAACTCCACTGGCCTCATAAATTGTAATACATTTACCGCATATTTGAAGCGAACCAATTATCCTCATGTTTTTATACGTTGTGTAAATTAAGGCATAAAAACGCTGAAACTAGCGACATGAGATCACCGGCCCTTTCCATCTCTCTTTCTTTCTCTCTCTCTCTCCACTCATTGATAAGTGAAAACCATCCTCCGGCTCCGAGCTTAATTAAGCACGACTATTTTCCATGTAAATTCACGTCACAAAAATCTACGTGTGTCTATCGCGCCGGGACTTTTACCGGTTAAGCTCCATCGAGAATTACGAGCCCGTCACTTTTTCTCACCCGCGATCAATTCTACCCTACTAAGTCGGACTGCAGTGCCGAGATTTTTCCCCAACTCTGGTAAAAAGCAAAGAGTATATCCACAGAGTCCGATACATCGTCGTTGAGTTGAAAAAAAAGAAACGATGAAAAAGAGTACAAAAAATATAAAAAAATAACACGGGCACAGCACAACGTACCGAGGGACATGAAATAAGTCAGACGTTATCGCACGAGAGTGGGGGAGGGGGTAGAAAAAAAATAAAAGTCCAAAGGAAGAGCATGAAAAATACATAAAACACGTGTTATTAATTTAAATAATTGTTTTTAAGCACATTTCAAGATCACGGATAGAATACAGGAGTACCAAGTTACCGTTAAACGAAATATGCATATACCACGGTACGCTTAATCCCCCGGAAGAGAGTGGGAGCAAGCAATGGGGTTATGGAGGGTATACGCTTGGAAATGGATAATCCGTTCACCCAGGGGGGGTTCGTGGGAGTGGAGGTCGTCTAGCTGTTCCGTAACAAAGTTTGCGTTGGCAGAAATAGCACACGAATTTTATCGGAGATTGCATTGGCGATTGTGCAAGTTATAGCCAGAAGAGATGCCGATTGGGGGATATGTGTAGTGGTTGAATCGCGGCCCTAACGCGCTCTTTCACACGAAAATCCCTCTCTCTGTGCTATTTTTTTTTTCATTTCGTTTTTCAAAGCAATGCAATTTATATGAAGCGAATGACCTATAACCATAACACTCGTCATTTGTATCTATGACCGTTGCGGTTCGTCCCGCTCGACGTTTTGAATCGTGTTTTTTTAACGATTTTTTCCCTCATGCATTCACATATCATTCAAATGATTTTACAGGCGGCGGAATTGATGGTGCACACTTACTCAAATTCAAAAACATGCAAATATATTGTTGTAGTAATAAAAAGGAGCGGAGGAGGATAGGCGACGTTCAATACCATTCTTTTTGGCGATTCTCGGTGGAGGGAAAGATAATCGTGGGGAGAGCGAGGAATTTAATTTCACGCTCCCTCGGAAAACCAAACGATTTTCCTCCCGGCGTTTCAAAACCCTAACCTCTTTGGGTCACCAGCCGCGCGTACCTCGACACAGCATCCCTGTATGAATTGAGAAAAGGAAGAGTATGGCGAAGGGTTGGAGGGTCCACCACAAGTTGCGGTTCTCGAGTCCCCCTCGGTTCACTCTCGTTCGTTTTACATTCGCCCTCATGGTGTGACACTTGCTGTTCGTAATTTGACTGCATCCCTTTTCTCCGTATTTTCAACTTCCCACGTCAATTTGGGATAACTACCAGCATTCTACTTCTCTATGACTTCTTGAATAGTCCATTCCGAAAAAGATATTCTGTGTACAAATAGAGGTGAAATGCAAAAGCGTCTTATTATTTTTCCTCTTCAATTGTATGAGGCTAACAATTAGCTGGGGATTTTTTCTTTTTTTTAGTTCGTTTGTCTCCTTTGCTCTACAATCAACACATTGGGGATAGAATGTTCAGTCGCGTACGGAAAATTTAATGAAAAATCCTAGCACTTTATTTGAGACATTCTATTGGAGTTGGATTGGAATTGTATAAGGAAAGTCTATTTGTTTATCGCGCTGATTCTATTGAATATTATGGAACTTTCACGTGCGTTTTTCAATAAATATTTGTTCATAGACAAAAGTATATAGGTGTTGATTTTTCTATATAATTCATTCGATTCGGATTACTTCTGTAAGGGTTGTTAAACAAGAATTTTACAATTTTTTTGCTAGGATTTTATTATGAGAAAAAATTAAAAATTTATGCCCAAAATTTCAAATATCTCTTAACAAAATGACAGCATAAAATTTCACAATCTTTAGTAGAATTGGGGCAAAAAAAATATAATATTTTTATAGAACTCCAATAGAATTTCGTAAAGAAGGCTCTAGATTGTTCTATTAAGGATGTCCTAGTATCTTTGACAGTTTGGTACAGGCCGCACTATAAATTCATGATGAAGATTGATTGCTTATAAATGATCTATAAAAAATGCTGATATTTTCAAAAATCGCACTTTTTAAATTATTTCATTAATCTTCCTTCAAAAGTAAACTTTCTAATTTTTCTCAGATTTTTAAAATGTTGTTTAACGATTCAAATTTAGACCTACGATATTTAAATAATAAAACCATTGTAAAATTTTCCTAAACAAAGTCAAATGGGGCTCAAACCAAAGGTCTGATGTTCGACTATAAAAGAAAAGAATTTCACTGGAGAAAAAACAGCCAAAGTACTTGGATATCCTTAAATTCTTTTATCCATACAGGCTGAAGGACCTCGAGAGATGGCCGGTCGCAAGCTTCTTCTGACGAATGTCGTTAAAAATCATACAATAACAATAAAGATGGCATGACAGCAATTTTTATTTTACGAGAATAAATGCTTCCTACTCGGTTTTATCATTTATTTGGAATAGTATTAAAAATAGAGAGCCATTTTTCTAAACGCTACTTAAAGCTACCATTAAGCAATATATGAACGGGATGGTAAAGTAGTTCCACCATCTGGAAAGCTCTTTATGGGGCATTCAAAAGTTTGGTATTTTTTTCTTCTCTTTTTTTCACTCCACCTCAGTAATTTTTTTCCTTTATGACAGAGTTCCTCACTCGAAATGAATGTTCTTTCTGGCTTCAAAGTTTCCGTACAGTGGGGAAAGTGCCGTTAAAGCGACGAGTTCGACTAGAGTTTGCCGAAAAATGCCACGCAGCATGAATACGTCACTGTAAGATGTATCGTCTTTGAAAACTTATATCTTCATTAAACATTTTTCTTCACTCCTCCCTTCGTGGATAATTTGTCTGCAGTCTCTATCGTCGGTTCATTTCCCCCCCTGCCACTGTATTCAATTGTGATTTATGTACGTATATTATTATCCCCCACCTATACACCACGAATAATATACCTATGGGCAAAAGCGATGCCGAGGTTTCCGGGCAGGTGCCGTAATTTGATCGCCTAATGGAACGTATAGATGGCGACCAATAAATCATACGAGCAAAAGTAGCGGGACCAGACGATGATATTGGTGCGAGAGTGAAGCGATCCCTCGGGTGCTTGACGGCGTACCAATTTTCACGCAATCCTCTGCAAACCGTATAGCTAACCACCATCTCTCTCCACCTTTCAATGAAAAACATATATTTATCATCCCTTCAAAAACTGAAAACTGGGTATACCGATGCTGATTGCCAGAATAATTGATGGAGAAAAAAACAATGGACAGAATCAACAGTTTTGACGGAGACTATCTCTCGCATAAGTACACGAAGAAAAAATAGAGACAAATTTTCGAACAAATTAGTAGTACCGCGACGTATTACGCGAGACTTCACTTTGGTGAACACAGAAATTTTTGATCGGGTCTCAGTCTTGAAAGACACAGTGTCTCCTCTCATTATGACTCAGAGATGATTTATCTCGTTTCTGTCTCAAGTTTTTTGTGCTTTAGGCCCGGAAATTTCGGCTGAAAATATTTAACAGAGTTTGGCATTTTCATTCGATTGTAGATATTCGCATTGGATGATTCATCAACACCTCAATCGAACAGAACTGAAGATAAATGTTAAAAAAAATTTGAAACCTTACAGTTTATTCTACAGTATGTATATTGTCGAATTCGACAAACCAATTAACACATATACATATTTCATTTCGTTTTGTACAATAATATCCGAGGGTTCTAGGAAGGTTTCGTATTTTCCGTTCTATTATTATTCGCTCTATCACTTTTGGTCCAATTTGTATTCGTCCAATGGTACTCTTCGTTCAAATTTTATTGCTCTAATGAAAGTTTATGTCCGATTTTGTTGTCGGTCAGCACTTTGTGCTACTTTATTCGTCCCACAAGTTGAGGACGGATGCAGTGAAATTGACAATTGAGCGACGTAAAATTTGTCTGATCTTATTCACAGAACCATGAAATATTCAACTTCGATTGAGTATAAATAGAACAAATCAATGATTTTGAAGTGAGTTCCCTCAATTCTTCTTTACAGTCCAGTTAATTTTATTTATAGAGAGATATTTAATATTCAATATCATGATATTTCTCAATCGAATTGTACCACAAGATGCGAGTGATTCGGCCACAAGTGATTTTGCACCAAAATCCATTGGGGGTGACGTCATCGGAGAAAACGTTTTTTTTTACAAACATTCACTCTAATCCTACAAGATCATGTTGTAATCAATATTTCATGACTTTTTGTACCCGAATGTTGGGAATTTTGTCTCCAAAAAGTTGCGTACAAAAATCCCTTATTTGTAGCGCGATGCGAGTCAGTACCCCGAGTCCCTAAAAATTCACTGATAGAATGATTCATTCATACCAAACGAGTTTCGTTAACTATTGACGAATGGTGGCGTTAAATATGACCGAATAAATATTCTTTAATAGTTAACGAATGGTTCACTTGAAAGGTGAAAGTCAAGTCAAACAAGACTTCTCAAATATACATTCCTCAACTATTAATGAATGAACATTTGGTGAGACCAAATAGACCCTAGCCTTCAACCAAATCCGATTGTTAACAATAACTAATCCTGTCTATCAGTGTTGATTTGGAGAAAATTCCACTGAAATTCACAAACATTCTTCCTAATTCTACAAGATCGTTCTGTAATCAATATTCCTCAACTGTTTATTTCTGACAGAATATAAAAAAAAATAAAAAAAAAATGAATGAATGAATGAATGAATGATGATTTGAATAGAATTTAAATGTGAAGTGTCAAGAGTCCCTAAAACCTAAAACTCCCCTTTCTCAGCCTGTTCATTGACATATCTAAAAGGATACGTGCGTGATGTATGAATCGTCTTGTAGAATGGGTCAGGCTCATTAAGCTGATGATAAGAACAATAGTATAATGTACGACGGGTGGATGAACACTGCACACCAGAGGGGGGCTAGCTCCAGAAGGCGCGAGCAACTCGGGCTTATTGAAAAGTTTATTCATATTCAGAACTTTATTCCGTAATTTCGAAAGACTCCGCCTTTCTCCCCTTTCCCCCGCAGTTCTATTTCCTCCCCCCCCCCCCCCCCCGCCATTCGCTACATCCACGGTACTCTTTCTGTTTCTCCCGAGTTGCGACGGGAATTCGTGCACTCGACTTTATTCGAGCAGCAATTTAGCAATCATTTCCATATTGCCATCGAGTGAAAATATAGTCCCTCGTAACTTGTTTGTAAAAAAACTGGTAGGGGCATAAAGTGTTGAAATATATTGTGAATGAATTTTTTATGTGTGTTTCAGTGAGGCCAAAATTTGTGAGAGTCATTGAGAAGAACAAAGAGGGGGAGAATTTAACGTCTGGTGTAGTTCTCGGACCAGTTAACGAGGGAACCATGATAACGCTGATTTGTGAGAGCGACGAGGGAAAACCAGTGCCTCTAGTTGAGTGGTACAAAGATGATCAACGAGTAACGGGTGAGTCATTTTGTGTCTCAAGTTTCCAGTAAACTTTTAAGAACGTATCGTTGGGGAAGTTGTTAGTGCTGCCCTGTATGTTAGGATTTCCAAAGTTCTTATTCCCCGTCTTCGCTCAATAATGAAATCAATTGACGACCATTGTTGTGAACGAAGTTGAGGGTGAGTTTCCAACGGGCTTATCGAGGATCATGAATGAACGTGATGAGATTATCAAATGGTTGAACGTGACAAATGTTATATTGAAAAGATGATAAGTAGTTGGTTATGGGAAACAGTCAGTGACTGTTAGTAAAAAGAAGGGGTCGGGGGGGAGGAGATGAAATAAAAAGGGAAGAGAGAAAGGGTAAAAAAGAAAGAATGGAAGAAACATTCCCAGCAGTGCAGCACTTTATGTCCAACGGACCAATTCCAGGGACGTAGCAGATGTAAAAGATTTATGCTCAGTTCACTCCTCATCCCCTCTGGCTACACTGCGTCGCAGTCGTAAAAGCCCTCTGAAATCCCCAAAACGACTGGCTGGTGTTATTCGAGAAAACGTTACTGGGAGACGAGCATTGTAATCTATGATACTGCATCACATTGGATTGAATTATGCCATGTGTTTAATTGCTCACTTCCCTCTGTGCTCTTTATCTGTGTTGGTTCTTTTCAATATTGATGTTGAGCTCTTTCTCTCGCTTATTAATTCATGTGTACTTGCGTCACTTGTCCGTTATCCTCGGTAGTTTATTCATGAAGGATTGTGGCGCTCGTTTGACTGCAATTCCAGTATTTAATCACGAAATGAGGGTGACGAGGATATTGCATTTTTCTCTAGATTGGGTTATGTTCGAATTATAAAAAATTTATGTCTTTGAAAGTTCAACTATTTGTGGCTCTTCTGTGCGGAATCACCGATTTTCCCGCGCAGGAGTATCATGAATGATAAAATGCGAGAATCAATTGGGAATCAACGTCGTTATTTCAGCAAACGGATGAAGGGCATGAACCAGTTCTTGTTTTATCTGGAAGGGTTTTCTTTATTGACATCGTGAGATATTTTTATTTCTGAGATTCTTTTATTCGTAATAGCGTTATAGCATCATAAATTTGCAGTATTGATATCATTCAAGGGGAGGAAACGTACGCTGGAATTCCCCACAAAGCTGAAAAAATGGAAAATGTGGAACTGTGGAATGAAGCGCGAAGAAAAACTTTCGGAATTACTATACAATCCTGGCAATCGGGCAGTGAATTGGTATTTCAGGAATTTTATTTGAAATCAAATTGAGAGGCAATGGATCAATGTTCCTCTTGTGAAATTTGTGAGGTGTTGGTGAAACATTATCAGAAGAAGGGTTAAATTTGATGGCGTTTTAAGGCAATTTGTATACTGTGCACAATTTGCTCATTTTTTATTGCATTTTCCTGGTAATTTTTCATCGATTTTCTTCAGTGAGGTTTAACTCTAAAAGTTTCGCGGTCTCAGTTGCCCTTTCACATCAGATTAACATGAATGATACAGCAGAATAACCGATCAGAAATCAATGCCTTGATTTCGATAAATTGATCAATCATGAATCCATTTCCATTTCATTTGTAAATGCGCCTTTAATAACTTTGTCAAACTTTTCATATTACGATTGGTTTTCCCTGATTTACCGAATTTATAAATGCATTTTTATCAACCAGTAATTACACTGCCAATACTATGTGGCCAAGTAAACAATGATATCGAAAATTTCGTTCAATTTGCAATTATAATATTATTCCCTGGACGGTGATTTTCAAATGAACAGCACCCGCTAAAATTTAAAAAAACAATGTTTCATGGTTTAATCATTCATGAACCTTCATTGTGCTGTTGTAAATTCTTGATTACTTTTTATCCGTTGTTCATCAGTGGTGGCGTACAAAAACCTATTCAGAGTGAATATTTTTGTTGTAATCAATGGACCCACAGTATTCATCAGTTTTTGCTTCGTATGGGTCTTTTGTTGTAATGTTATCAGACATTTTCTTTCATTTCTTCATTCGATTTTTTCAATTGTTAGAACATAGACCGCTTTTTCGTGTAAGGTATTTCGTGCAAACTAAAATAGTGAAAATAGTTCTAAAATAGTGAAAAAATTTGAATTTGGATATTTTTGTAAGCCCTAACCTAACCCTACCTACAAGACAGCAGTTACATCACAATCAGGGAAATTTGCATTCCTCCCAAAAAAAGATGTATTACACCGTTAAAAATTTTCGTCTGCATTTGCCGTGCCAAATTCGAGAATTTTTTATCATGTTTAGTTTCCAGTAAATTTTAGGAAATCGTATATTCTTATAAGTGAAAAATGAAATATTCTACTAATTTTCTTATTAAATGATCTGAAAATCAATAAAATACTATAATTCGATTTTTCAGTTCAATTATTTCGTGAAAATTCGAAAAAATTCGGAAAATTGAGGGAAAAATTGTTAAAATAAAAAAAAAGTATAACGAAAATCGTCAATATAATCGCTGGAGCAATATGGGAGAGGTATAAATTAAATCATGAAACATAGAGAGAGAAAACACTCCGCAGGTCAACCAACTTGAAACAACCGTAAGAATGATTCGTGCGGTATTGGCATGTCTCTGTTGTATTTTAATTAGAAAAACGTCCAATAAAAATAATGCGTCACTGTTAATTGCTGGGAAAAACATCAATCAGTCTAACTAGAAAAATTAGTATTCAAAAATGTTCAAATGCACACTGAAATATTTACTTAAGAATTGAAAATCTTTGCGTTCAGGAATTAAAGCAGGGCTCCAGAACCATTAGACNTTTTCCCCCCCCCCCCCCCCCCAAAATACAGACGAAATATCTTAGAATGCCGCTTGTCAGAGGAGGAACCTCGGCGATACACCCACTCTACTTAAATCACCACTTATGCTCGTCCTTCCCACCACTCCAATCGAGGTTAATTCTTTGGCAGAATTTGGTATAGCTAATAATTCCATCGCCAAAATCCTGTAATAAGGGAAAATGGGGTATTGAATTTTTTCCCCAATTGGCAGTATTGATATCAGATATCGACAATGCATTTCCAAATAGATATGAAATCAGGAATGGATTAGTAACATGAAATGTTCACCGGTTTATTGACCTTCACTACTTAATTTTGTATCATCAATTTTCCTTGCACGAATGATAAAATCCAAGACCCATTTTGGAATGAACATTGTTATTAGTCAGTAATGTGGACTACACTGTTAGAAATTTTTTGAAATTTCATGGAAAATATGATAGTAATTCTAGTGAGAGTGATATTGAATTGGATTAGGTAGAATTGGATTTTAGGTAGAATTCAAGGAAATTCATGGGCTTTCAGTGGAAGTGAGATGGAAATTTCAGAACTTTATTGAATTTTCAATGGGACATGAATATTCAGAAACAAAATGACATGAATCTTCAATTTTGCCCTGAATTATTCAGATTTTTCTGAATTTTCACGGAATAATTCAGTAGCGAAGTGGTAAAAGGAGATAAGTCAATTTTGACTATTGGCCAATTTTCAATCAATATCTCGGAATCTAAGAGAGATAGCAAAATTTTTGTTGTAACCTTTTTTGTGGAGCCGATTGAGTGCTACAACAAATGTAATTAAACCAATTTCGCTATCTCCCTTACATTCGGAAATATTCCTCAAAAACTCAACTGGGAGATAAGTCTACTCATCTCCTTTTACCACTTCACTTCACTACTGAATTTAACTGAAACATCGAGTATTTTATTGATTTTCAGATCATTTGAACCGAAAATTAATGGATTATTCGATTTTTAATGTCGATATTTTCTGAAATTTCCGGGATTTGACACGGAACATTCAGACGAAAATTTTTAACAGTGTAACAGCATCAATTATTTTTCAATTGATCTGCGCTTTTAAAATGTTCCTCTAATTAGCAAAGTTTATTTTATTATCTTTGACCGGTCATTTCTCACTAAACGAACTCTTACGTTAGAGGAAAACTAGTTAAATTCAGTCTATTGTTTTAGAATACCAATTTCATATTTATAGATTTTTCATAAAGTATAAGATGAAATCGCCAATCGCCCTCTCATTTTTTAAAATACGTCACGCCATCAATTAACTTTGAGTGCATTTCCATATTTTCTCCACTGATGACATTCCATTTATCTTGTTCTTAATTGCTTTTCTGCAGTTCCCAAAGTTGGACTATCGAATCGATAATTATATTGCCAAATGACTAAAATGAGCTCCAACCCCAATAAAATAACTGTATTCATAGGGTAAGCTACCTACAACTCTTCATCGTAAAAATTTCCATATTTTCTCCACTGATGACATTCCATTTATCTTGTTCTTAATTGCTTTTCTGCAGTTCCCAAAGTTGGACTATCGAATCCATAATTATATTGCCAAATGACTAAAATGAGCTCCAACCCCAATAAAATGACTGTATTCATAGGGTAAGCTACCTACAACTCTTCATCGTAAAAATTTAACTGACCAATTTCCACTTTACGTGCCATTCGTGAATCATAAAATACAAAAGCCAACGGGTCGTCAACATTCTTGTTTTAAATAATGCATCAACGACGTCAACTTTAAGCTCATCTGCAAAATTTCTTCACTGAAATCATTCCACTCATCTATTTCTTTATTAGCTCTCTCCAATTTCAGAAATTACACTGTTGAATCGATAAGTATGATCTCAACACCATAAAATAGGGTAAACAGAGGCCCTGAAACTGTTCCCCAATTACAGCAATATTGATATGAATCATTAACAAGTAATTTCAAAATGCACGAAATGAGCTTGAACCCTAATAAAAATCCGATAAATCCAGATGATCACTTTTAAACCTTCACTGTTCAATTTCAAACCCCAAATTTTCCCTTCACCGGCTTTTCATAAATAATAAACCCGAAAAATCAATTGGCAATGGTCACTTTTATTTCAGCAACTGGATCAACGGATATCCAGGGGAATGGAATTGGTACAGGAAGCAGTGTGCTGCAACTGCAGGTTAGCCGCAGCGAATTAGGCGCCACTTTTGTCTGCCGAGTCAGCAGTCCAGCGTTGGCAGAGTCCCTCACTGTCGACATCGGACTTGACGTGCACGGTGAGTGATTCAATAGGAGAATTAAACAAAAAACCTCGAATCTGAGGAAAAAAGCCGGCATTTCAGATATTTAAATAGAGAAGAAAGAGAGTGGAAAAGGGAGTTTACAGATGAAGATAGAAGTTATTCTCTCTGACTTGGAAACAATAGACCTTGAGAGAGACACTCAAGTATCGTTTCACCATTCGAATAGGATAAGCTTTCTTTTTTCTCCCTCAAATTTCTCACGATTCAACGACTAACCTGATGTGAAAACCGTGGAAAGAATGGAGGTTGGTTACAAGATGACAAGATCCACAGGAGGGATAAAAGAAAACGACTATCTGTAAAACAGATTTCCTAGTATACGGTAGTAACCCAGTAGTTCAACCTTCCTTTTTACAGCCTCATATATACTCCTTAATCTCCACGATACTTGTACATCCAAGAATGCTTGGCGTGTAACGCGAAACGTCATGCATGCAAAATATTTAAAAAAAAAAAAAGGAAAATAGCTATGATGTAGATGTGGCAGTGCCATTTGCTACGAATGTGACATTCATTTCTCATAAAGTATACAGTCGTATTATTAAAAACGTATGAGAGGAAATCCTCTCTTCACCCACCGTGATATCCTCAAACATCATCCCCAAAATATGCATCACGTAAATTCCACGTAAAATAATAGGTTTGAGGTAATGAAACTTAATTCTGAAACAAGCATTCACCGAGTTTCTACTATTTCACACTATCACCATTAAAATACGTGTGAATGACCGACGGCAGTGGTGTAGTCGTAGCGGCATTTTGACGTTAAATTCCATTGAATCCCTCCTTCGGGTTATAGCTGTTCGTGGCATGGAGACCAACACTTTGAATAAGAATATGACAGGAGGCAGAGGCATAGATAGGAGTAGGCGAGAGAGATACTGTAGAGTATAACGCGTAATCTCAGGGTTGAAAAGCTTTCGCTCTCGTTAAGCGATAATATGGGAGATATGAAACGTTTCGTTCGTGGACGGAATACATTAAGGAAGTCCACTAGGTATGCCTTGAAAGAAAGAAAAAAAATATGAGGGAGACAGTGGGGGATGGAGAGAGGGAAAAATTCGCTGATGGCGCGCACGCTGCAAGCTTACCGAAAAATCTCAACGGTTGTTATAACACCAGGAGTGACTCTTTTTCTTTATCCTCTCATTTTCCCCGTATTTTTTATATCCGATTCTTTTCATTCTCACTTTTTATTTTTTCCTTCAATTCCTCATAGTTTTCGTTTCTCTTTTCCACCTTGGTAAAGCGGTTTATTCTTTCAATTTTATGTCCGCCATTTTTCAATATGTCTCGAGTCAAAAGTAACAGCTCCATTATTTAAAACCATGGTTCACGCAACCGTATCGGAATAGGTTGGGTCCTTTAGCATCATCATCCAACCGTACGTTAGGATATATATGTATTACGGTGAGACTAGTGTGCTTGCCCTCGTTCATCTCTATCAGGACATTTGCTCGTTCCGGGCCGTCGTCTAACTTGAGCTCAGAGAGACACGAAACCGGTGCAAATACGTATGTGAACGCCTACTCCAAATAGCCAGTGGTAGATGCAGTGAGGTATATTTCAAGTACTTCTGGTCAATATAATTCATCGGCACTTGTACCTGAATAGATGAGTTAACTCATGGGGAATTTACTTGTCGAATGTTTAATCTCCGGAAGATAAAAACGGGGTAACTGAGCTCGGCTGGAGTTACAGAGAGGTCGAATCGGAAAAAAGAGTGCTTTCATTTGAGGAGGAAAAACGAGTTGTTTTTGCTCACTATTCCATTATCTCTCTTTTGTTTATTTTTTTCCAGTGAGACCCCTGAAAATGGACGTCACGGGTGTGGTCGGTCATGTGGTTAGTGGTACAAAGATCTTACTGGAGTGCAAAGTGAGTGCAGCAAGACCAGCGGCCAACGTCACCTGGTACAATGGCACTGAGATTCTCTCGGATAATAACGAACGAACTGATGTCTTTGAGACCAAAACTAATGACAACGTGAGTAGAAAAAATAACGAGACGAGTATTTTGAAAAGAGAAAAAATGTAATCTGACCAGTAGGTTGAGAGATATTCACTAGTCCGATTATACTCATCCCCAATCCCATGCTGTAATATCATAACAGTTATAGTCCTATCCAATTTCAACTTTCTCTCTCTTTTGTTTCACTCTCGATTTTTTATCTTGAGTACATCGAGTTTATAAACATGAAAAATTCCAATTATTATCAAGTCTGATAGACATTATCACAAGGATAATTTTGATTTGAAAAAAAATACAATTCAATCGTGCAGTTTTTGAGACATTGAGGATAAAAGATTTTTGAGAATTTGCAGTATCTTAACGAGTGCTCCCAAGCAATTATTACAACTTTAACTTGAAATTTACTATTTTTCCATCAACATTTGTGGACAAAAAAATTGTTAAAAACGGCATATAACTTCATATCTACATGTTTCATGACATTCCACATGATTACCAGGCAAAATTACAATTCGAATAAAAATTAGATTCATTCGGAAGCAAAAATGCTGATTATCTGTTTTTCCCCATTAATTCCACTGAGATTCAATTACTCTCGACGATTATTGATGACATAAGCAGATGAGCAGATGAATTTTGAATGATCAAATGTCAGAGTAATGCAAACATTGTTTCCAAAATTGAATATATTCGGATTCTCACCACTTGCAGAATTCGGATACACCGTTCATATTATAGTCAGTTATTCCATCATTCATTGAACCGTCAAATTAGCTGAGTTTACTTAGGACATAATTAACTGATAATCAACGCTGAAAAGCCAGTTTTACTCAACTGAATGTCCAGTGAACCTGATATTCTCTTCTCTATTACTGCCAACGTAGTTTAGTCATGTAATACTGAGAATTTACCCATTACCGACTCGTTAGAGCACCGCAACGCGCACCCCAAAACCACAATCGTTCTATTTACAACAGTGGAAGAAGAACAAACTGCTGCACCCTCTCTTTTCCAATAGCCCTTGCCACAACGTTAGTAATATATGCACGTTGGGGACGTCTCATTTCATCGATCTTTCATGCATTCTCTGTGTACATAAGGGCATAATAATCCACTGCGGATCATGCAGTTTAATATTAACTGCATGGGCAAGTCCCCCATTTCTTGCTATTCTCTGCCAATTATCACAGAAATATCTCATGTTTGATTTTAATTAACTGATGTCGAAGTTGGCCAATATCAATGCCAGTCCACAATTGCCTCGTTATCTGGTGTGTAATTGAGTTGTATTTGGGAGTAAATTTTTCCGAAACGTTGAATGAGATTCCTTTTCAACAAATAGTACGGCAATGTTTAGCTCTGAATTGGCAACGCTGGAAACCTTATAAATATCGGTATTTATTTTGTTTCTTTTTTCTATTGGTGCGAAGCCGTAGCAATCCATCAATTTCACGTTCCGTCCGTTGTTTCAATAGTATTATACGAGTAACATGTATTACACAAGGTCCTTCAATATTCGAGTACTCGATGAGAAAATTCCATGTTTTATTGGGAAAAAAAGCAATTGTTTCGAATATTGGATGAATTGGCATGAAAAAATAAGTGACTTTGCAATGAATTTCCGAATAGAATTGAGAGTGAGATAAAAACGTCTGTCTGGTATTGGAATTGATCACATCGATCGACATATATTTCGGGTATGCGAAGCGTTAGGAGAATGCGAAAAGGTGTCTGCGACAATGCAAAGCTAACCATTCGAATAAAAATGACGGAGGCCATTTATTCTGACAATACGACAAGGCAATTGGGTAAAAGCCAAAGTTCAAGTCTCTTCGGCCACACGTACTGGCTCTCATCTGCCCGCTAACCCCCGAGCTTTTACCGAACAAACTGTTTGTGGTTACCTGACGGAGTGGTTCGCTGACAATTACAGTTTGAATCGATACCCCCGGGCCAATCTGACAGTATTTCGGAAAGCGAATGGAATGGGGTTTGTCCAGAGGGAAACTTCAGCTTGGACGTGTACACATTGGAACAACCGGAAAACTTCTGAATTACCTGTCGGACTAATTTATTGTATTACTTCGATGGCACAGTGTTAAAAAGATTTGTTTTCAAGTGGAAGGATAACGAAAAAAGAAAAATAACGGGAAGTGGAAGAATCTTATTTATTGATTTACTTACAGAGCGATGGTACATTCGAAACGAGCAGTTATTTCGGTTTTACAACCTCCGAGTACGACAATGGTCAGACATTCAGCTGTTTTGCGGAAAATTCTGTAACAAGAACAGAAGGTGTTAAACCAATGAAAGAAGCCATTACAATGGAGATACTATGTGAGTTTAATGCTCCTCATTGTGTAATTCTCTTATCTTTACTAGAGGTCTGATAAAAATAATGGGATCAACTTATAATTTACCTTTAGTTACAATCTCGTGTAACCAGACGGCAACATTTTAATGAGTTGATATAACAATAAGTTTTGATGAAAAATAATAACATTATTTTGCGAATTCTGAAAATTTGTGTGTGGTGTTCAGCAGCATCGACTTGCACAAGTTGGTCGGGTGTCAGCCGCGACTGTGTGGTATCCGCTGCTGCTTGCTATGCATGAATTTCCAGTTTAATATCCACACCGATTGTGTCACATAGCTCGTGTTAAGATCCATGACAAAATTGACCAAGTTTACCTCTGGTATTGCGCACAAACCCTCATCAATATGCATATCGCATAGTTGGAAAACTAGAAATCATGATAATGGTGTAGCACTTGATTTATTTAAATTGACTATTTCTTTTGCAATATTCACAGATCCACCGATCGTATCCATGCATCCTAAAAACATAACCGTAAACGAAACTGAAGATGTTGTTATGTTCTGTGAATACGATGCGAATCCAGCAACCCTCAAGTCTGTGAAATGGTGAGTATATGGGTGGTTGTTGCGACTTTCATCGCATCTTTCTTTCAACATTTGACATTAAACTCTGGCATATAGGTCACGAAAAGTTTCCACTAACGCGGATGACACTCTGCTCGTAGGACTGAATGCAAATCAAATACTACTGAATATCTACATTTTAGTTTCAGTTGCAGGCTGATAGCCTGCATCACATAAATATTGTAATTCATGAAAGTTTGTGACTCGCTGTGGAAGTGAAGAAATCTCGAACATGGTCGCTAATAATTTCCTTCCGATGCCATCAACTAGTTTTTGAATTATACTCTCCAACTTTCTTTATGACATCATTTTTTTTATTTTATTTCCATTGATTCATTCAAATTTCACAAAGTTACAATGAATGGATCATATTATAAATCATTATTATGGTTCCCTGAATTGTATTGAAATGTCATTCCGACTATTATTAATTATCATTGTCGAAATTTTCTGGTGCTGATGGACGTCAAACTTTTTAATGAATTTAAAAAGCTACGTTAACGTGATTTCCATCTCTCTCTTAGTGGAAAATTCCCTTTTAATTAGCGAAATACCATGGATTATACTGGTATTGAACATTTTCATTTCGAAGTTAAGTGACAGCTGTCTTTCTACACTAGGGGCGTAGTTATTGCGTGATAATATTTTTTACAATTTTTTTTTTTTAAACAAGAGTAAATTTCTGGAAAATTTCAAAATCTCTCCAATTTCTTTGCTTTCTAGTTCAAAAACTAAACAGTCTTTTGGATAGGAGTATGATTATGGTTCCCTGGGTTTTATTGAAATGTCACTCCGCCCGATATTAATCATCGTTGCAAAAATTGTATGGTTCTGACGGCCGTAATTTTTTTTAATGATTTTAAAAAGCGAGGTTAACATGATTACCAACTCTCTCTCAGTGGAAAATTCCCTTTTAATTAGAGAAATACAATGCTTTTTACTCATGGTATTGAACATTTTCATTTCAAAGTTGAGTGACAGCAGGCTTTTTACACTACGGGCGTAGTTAATGAGTGCCAATACTTTTTATAAATAATTTTATTGAAAAACAAAAATACATTTATGGAAAATTTCAAAATCTCTCGAATTCCTTTGCGTTCTAGTTCGAAAACTAACCAACTTTTGGCTGTTTGGGTGTTTTGGTAAACACGGTTATAAATTATATTCAAATACTCAAGAGAAACTCTCAAATCCCACGCGTCGTAAAGGAACAGCGGTTCCGTTTTCCCTCCTAGATTTGCATTTCTCTGGTTGGAAATTTCCCAAATTTTTTGCACGCGTTTGCCCAGTTGTTCTTTCCTAGACAGCCCCTTTGGTCAGCATATGTCCGACACACGCCGCGTACGAACGCCTCGTTCCCAGGTACGCTCTCCCTTTGTTTATGCCCGTACATTTCCTGATCCTCTTCCTTAACCAATCACATTAGAGCGAAAATTCAAAGGTTTTTACAACTAATGAAACTATGGAAATCCCTTCCCACCCTTGGTGATCAGGGACAAGTCACTTCTTCCGAAAATTCCGAACTTCAATCTACTCCGAACAATTATCGGGTTTATTTCGCGCGCCAAATCAAATCTTGAGATGGCCCTCGCCAAGTCTTACCTTTAATACAGTTTAATTCAAGTCAATATTAGAATGCCCAATATAAGTTTCAACTACTTTTAAGGCGAGTGTACCTTAAAGGATATTAAGTCAATTTTTAGTGCAATTATAGCGGTAGTTCAAGTGACTCAACGCATCCATATTCATTTTTAAACATTGCAAACATTCAAAGTTCTATTCAAAAATAGATAACGCTCCAAGTGAAACACTGCAGCTTGTTGCCTCAGTTTCTCCCATATTTTAGTGAGAATTACAGTGGCGACGAGACAATAGGATATATTTCACGTTCATTGGAGGAGCGAACTCGCACGCTCTTTATTTCTCATTTTAAGATACCTTTTCAATGAAGAAATAAGAGACACAGCAAGTGTACAAATTAGATATTCATCTAAAACTGACAAAAAAAAATCCTAGGTATCGAGACAATCAAGAGTTGGACCTCACCTCGGATCACTACGAGGGTGGTCTAACAGACCAGCCTTCACTCACCGTAAAAATGTCAAACTCCACTGATATGGGTACCTACAAGTGCGTTCTCGCCAATAGCGTAGGCAATTCATCCAATGACAGCTCCATTGATGTTTCAATACTGTGTAGGTATATCATATCTCTTTTCCCAATCAATATACACGTCACTGCCTCCGGTTTCCAATTAACCAACGTCTTCCTGAAGGATTGAAAGGTTAATTGAATTTTAGATAAACCAAGTGTTCAAGTTATCGTTGAGCCTGAAGTGCCGGTGAACGAAGCTGAACGTTTGAATGTGTCACTGACATGTGACGTTACAGACGGTAATCCTATAAGTTTGAATGCCGTGCGGTGGTACTTAGACGGTGATTTGCTCAAGGAGTTGCCGGACTGTGCTCGAAACTCAACAGTTTCAGTTACAGACGATACTTCAACATTTTGCGACATAGATCCAAGCAAATTGCTTCTCGAGGCAGTTGGAAGGTCCTTCCATGGAAATTATTCATGCGAAGGAAGAAATGACGCTGGATGGGGGCCAATATCAGGCAGAACACCAGTCACTGTTTACTGTACGTCCATTTAGATTGTCTTAATCAACTAGCCATTATTCTCGCACCATGATTATCGCATAAAACTATTACACCCCAGATAAACCGGGACCAGCGGCGATATCGTACGAGCCAATGAGAGTCGTCAAAGGCAGCCCACTGAATATTACCTGTTCTGTTATTGATCCTGGTCGACCAAGCATCACTGGATACAAATGGATACGCGGGCTCCATCGGCTGACTGACGAGGAAAAAGCGGTTTTGAGTATCGAATCTGTTAATCTGAGAACCAAAGATAATTTCACGTGTATGGCGTACAATGAAGCTGGCGATGGTGACCCAGCAACCACCTTTATTGACGTGTCTGGTGTGTTAATTAAATGAAACCGATCCCCGAATAATCCGTCTTAAATTTCCCAAATGTACTCTCCTTCGGCTCCTTTATTATCCATAAATACACGAGCATATTGATTTGTCACAGCTGCTCCTGCCTTCATTCATCCACTTCCACCGTATCATGGCTATGTTTACAACGCCACAAATGTTAGTATCGGTTGTCGAGTTGAGTGCTCACCTATCTGCAATGTATCCTGGTCTAAGAACAATAGACCGATCGACTTTAGTGCCAACGATAGCCTGTATTACGTGACGAATGTGTACCATCCGGCTGACAAGGGCACCAGTGATTTTGAGAGCATACAGTCGAATCTCACGTGGAATCTGTCGGCATGGCCCAATGGTCAGCTCGATCGTCACAAAGACAATGATAACTTCACTTGTGAGAGTAATGGAAATGGAATTGGCCTTGGTGTTAAAAGTACAACCTATTTTCAAGTTGAATGTAAGTTCCGATATTCATATTACCATCCCGTAAGAGGGAGAAAATCGGGACGTGGAGAGTCAGGAGTGTTCTCGCAGAGTATTGAAAAGACTGCATTATTATTATCCAACTATTGTACCTCTGTAAAGGTCTTTCAGTTAGCATTCAATGGTGAAATAAATTAGTTCAGCGCTATAAACGAAGGGAAATGTAATTTGAAAAAGCCGAGAGAGCAGGATCATCTCGCATTTCATACTGCTGCGAGACCTGTATAAAGAAATATGGAAGGGCATGCATTAACGTATTTCGTTTTTATTTTTCCGGGGGAGGGGGGAGTTTCATTGTTCTCGAGCACTCATTTTAATCCCTGAACACGAAAACTTTCAATTTTCGAGTAATTGTTTCAGTGTGCATTTGAACGTTTCTTGGGTGTTATTTTGGTTTTGTCAGATTAATTCATTTTTCTCGCATCACTAGGAAGTGTTAAATAACTTTTATTGAAGGCCGCGAATTTTTTCGAATAATTTTAGGCACTTTCAAGCAAAATTTGATTTATCCGCCACTAATTTTGGTTCAATAGTTCAGGATTTTTTTAGGAGATATTGAAAATTTTCGGGACTGAAAGTGAGATAAGCACGAGGTCATAGCTGGAGGCTTTAAAAAACATCCAAATTTCATCATTTTTTCTCTTGAGGTCGAGATCTAAAAAAATGGGTAAAAATTCCCAGTGGTGCAACACAGTCGTATATTTCTCCGACGAATTTTTCATTTTTTTTCATTATTTTGACTTTTTATGCGAAACATCTAAAGATGCCTAAGATACCTGATCTTTCGTTAAAAAAAATATTTGGTCTCTTTTGCAGAGATGAAACTATTTTCTCTTGTTTCCAATTATCTTTATCATCCGCGAGTGCTGACATTCGCGAACGACAAACAACATAAGTTTACACAGGTGGAAACGAACTTTTTGCTATCCTACAATGACAACGTTATTCTCGTAATTGTTTTTCATAATTAGAATTTTCGAAATGAAATCTACCTCTGCGAAAACACCCCTGATTGTAGAGAGATAAGCACAGCTCCAGGTGGTCATTTCACTCATGCTGTCATTAATGTAATGGATGCACTCACCATAAAACACAACTTTCAGTTCCGCCGGAAAATATGGCAGTGTCGACTCCCAAAATTAGCGTAATTGAAAACACTATCCCTGACAGTGTAAAATGTAGTGCGGTAGCACATCCAGAACCGACATTTCGATGGTATCGCGAGGGTTCGCCAGACATCACTGCATCTTCCAGTGCTGTACTCGATATCAAAGAAAGAGTACCAAGACGAAGTAATGGAACATACATATGCGAGGCTAGCAATCGTCACGGACCAGCGAGAATTTCCGTTTGCCTCGATGTTCTCTGTTAGTTGAAAATATTATTCTCACATTCTCGAAGCTGCACAAATTTCAGTGGATTAATAACAATACAACAATATTGTCCACAGATAAACCCGATTGTCAGATCAATAGAGAGAGGATAAATGGTGAAGATTATCTGGTATGTTCAGCCGTAGCAAATCCCAAAGAGTGCAACTTCAGTTGGTCTTTGAAGAGCGACAACGACTCTATCGATCAACTCGCTCAAATGCGGGATGGCAAGAGTTATCTCCTCTTGGACACAACCGTCACAAATTATCGGACTTATGTATGCATTGCCAATAACACCATTGACTTCTCTAGTCCATGTGAGCTCGGTGTACCAGGTAAATATTTGAATAATTTTTGCCACATATTTCCCCCTCATTCTCTCGTTTTTTCCATCTTTATGCACATTGTATTGTGAAGAAAAAAAAATAGAAATTCCTCTTTAAGCGTATAAACATGGAATTTTCTAGCTCGCCAAGGACGCTCGGGTACGTTCAATCTTTCTAAACGATGGAAATAAAAAGTTTCAAGTTGATGACATTCCTTTGGAGCCCCATCCACGAGACATTTTATGAAAGTATAATTCATCTTCTTATAAATTTCAGGTAATATTCCTTGGTGGTTTCATCTCGAGGGGGATTTATTGATCATCATTATCATCGTTGCCATGGTGATACTGATTGTAATAATTGTCTGCTCAGTAATCATCTATCTAATTTGCCGGCGAAGGAGGATGCAGGCAAAATGTGAGTCCATCATAAATTCCACATTCACTTTAAAATTGAGTAATTTGCATGATATGATTACATCCATGAGGTATCACAATAACATTTGATTTTTATTCGTGTCCCCATTGTTGATTATCATCATTAATTACTGATTTATCATAATCGGTTATTTCGCAGCCGTGTTTGATTTATATAATTCACCAGTACTCACTTATACTCGACAGCATGGATAATCATTTTGCAAAACCATAGAGGCATAGTCACTAAATTATACGCCACATATCGTTTATTAATTCTCAATCAGTGGTACCACATATCATTTGAGTAAGGATTATTACTACACATTCTGCATAAAACAAAAATACCGCATGCAGAGATCATTACAGTACATCTATACGTATCTTCAGCGTATAAAAATTATCAGCTACGTCACACGTTAATTCGGATTCATTTTTATTCGTTCGCAATCATGACTTTTCCTCAATGACATGGAATAGACAATTCATAGAATTAATGGCATGTCAGTTGGGCTGTGTCAATCTTTCACTCACTCCACTTCATTCCATAATCAGAATGAAAGACAAACAGAAGTGTAGCTTGAGCAAAGAAAAATGCCTTGAGTATTGCAGTGAGAAAAAAAATCCACTAACACAATTTTTATTTGTTTCCGTTCTGCTTTGTAATTTGGACAATACTAAACGAAAACACAGACAGTAATCGCGTGGTCTCAATGGAGGAACGTGAACAGTAAGTATCAACCAATACAGAAAGTTTAATTACCAAAACCAATTTTGTTTGGCTAATAGCACGAAATTGACTCTCGCTTATCATTAACACAGTCTATTTCCTTTCCCCACTAATTTCAACTGTCGGCACGTTACTTTACCTGGAAAATCTGCTTTTCTCACTATTAAGAATTGCCGAAAGAAAAATTTTCAGAGGTAAGAGTAAAAAGAAAAAGTGCACTTTATTATCGTTAAGCCAGTGAAAACTTGTAGAACTTTGCACAATGAAACAACTTCATCGAACTAAATAGCAACGTGTCATTTCTCGGCTGTGATGATGTATTTGGTGATGGTGTATTTGGTGAGCATAAAAGGGGCGAACGGTGAATGTTGGAATGGCAGTGGCAGGGATCGTAAAGCTGCAGGAGGTGGTCGCAACGAGATCTGAATTGCATATAGTTGACTCGCGGTAAAACTATCGGGTTAAGCGGTCGAAACGATGTACGGAGCAATGGCAGTTGAATCGGCCCATTGCCACAGTGCCACTGTAAGCCTCTACCTTAGAACAAGTATATACGTGTGTATTTACCATGGGGCACTTTAGTCGCATGTAAATTTTCACTTGGCTTCCCAGTTCGGCATATCCCTCCCTCTTCTGCCCCACATCTACACACACGGGGATTTGGGTTCACATGTATATGTATCATTAAAACTGTTGAAATGAGAAATCAGTTCCTTTGGTCTCGCGTTAATTGGTGGTGGGTTCGGCACGTGGAAAAAAAGCGCACTGATTACGTCAGCCATTCAAACTAAATCCAACTCGAAATGGTAATAGTTGAAAAAAAAAAAATTGTAACGAATATTCCATCAGCCCCGATGGCGGCCCACCGAGTCCCACTGAGTCCACGAGATCGCGCGATCATTGTTCGTCATCCATTCATCCTAGTCCAGCGCCACGTTGGCCACTGAAACCCGGTGTGCTCGTGCACATTAATCGCACACACAGTCTAAGCACGGGATTAAGTCCAGTACATGCGAGACAGAATCTCCAGATGCACTCGACTTTGTCCGGCTGCACCGAGACCGATCAATACCACTCACAGGAAACCAATGGGGTAGTTAGAAAACCAGTAAGGCCATTCAGGCGTGGCAAAACCACCGCTGTAATCGGCCACCTGGAGCAACACCATCATACTGCTGCCGTGCCAATTGTTCATGATGAGGGTATGATTGCACGTGCAAATAGGATAAGAGCAATGTTCAGTACGCAATTGAGAGAGCCAGGTTCTTTTCCAGGAATATCTCGGGATAAAACTGGTAAGTTTTTTTTTTCATCCATTCTCCACGCATTATTATCAATTTATGGTGGATATACACCGAGGATGGTTCAGAATGTGCGGAGTATGTGGCAGGCTGAGGTGAGAGGAATAAAGGCGCTGTAAAATCAGAAGGACGTAGAGAGATATAAAATCTTAAAAGAGCAGATAAAAATGGGGTTGACTATGTGGTGAAAAAAGGGGGTTTCAAGTGTACAAGTGTAGGCTATCTAGCCCCCGGCAAACTTGAACTATCCTTGGTATTTTCACCGCTCTTGCATGTTACCCTATGCCTCAAAAATATATGCGAGGTGCACACGTGACTACCCTATCCCATCGTACCCTACCCTACCTGCCCTCTTCCCTCACCACTTGCAATAGCTTTGGTGTGTCGTGAGATTGCTCGACACTGTATGTTTCCTTCAGCCGTGACTTACAAAAGAATAGTACCACGCCAGCGGATGTCGTTGCACGGAGGCCCATCGTTTTCCGTGCCGAGTCGTGACAACCCCCGTGTCGACGGCTGTGGCAACATTAACGCCAACGTCAACACCAACGCATCCCGTAAGCGTAAAAAACCTGGAGCAGGTAAGTTGCAATATAAGCTTCAACTGCACATACACTCGGTATGCGTTATGTGTACATGTGTTATGTATACATATGTGTGACATGTATGGAGAAGCGCATGCCGGCATGTTTTCAATTCTCACGACTCAGTCGGCAGGCGATATTTACCTGGGCGAAAGGAGAAAAAACAAATCGCTGAGTACATCGCATGTACTGCAGTTTTTTTCATCACTCTTTCTAGTGTTTTCGTTGATTTAATTAATTCTACTTTTTTTTGCAATTTATGCATACAAAACTCTACCGATTTTTTGCACAGAAACTCACGGATATACATACACATGACTGATATATGAATTATTCTCTAGGAACTCTCAGAACTCTTTCAATTTTTGGTTCTCGAAATGATCTCACTTGTTGGGGAATTTCGTAAGATTACAATCGCAATTGGATTTTAATTTTCATTGCAGATCCTGGTCAGGGGGTGAACAATAATCGAGTTGACAGTGTTTCGGAGGGCTTGCCAGATTCCGACACTAAAACTTTTTACGAGAATCTACCGTTTCACGGCATTCAGACGCCACAAAATAAGGTAAGAACATGGATTTCGAGTACCGTCGGGTATGCACACTCTAGGCATTCAAAAATATAATTTCCACAAATAATTGCTCACTCATTTACCACATCCACATTGAGAGAAGCACTCATTTTCATAAAATATTAAGGCAATTCAATGTGAGCGCAAGTCCCACCGTAGACGCGTAGTTGTTATGAATTATTATTAACGCGGGTCTCGCGTGCTAATACAATTTTTTTCATTCTCCCCCATTTTCTACTGCAATGAGTTTACGTCTGAGTGCTCGGTTGAGAGTTGGGTACTTGAAAAATCAACAAACTGTGGGAATAAAAAAAACATATATGTTTTTTTTTTGGCAAAAACGTATCAGTGGAGATTGAGGGGAGGAGGGCAAAACATGTGCAAGTGAACGAGAATTTTCATGGGGGCATATAACGAGATACTTGACCAGTCGGGGTGGTAGGTAGCGAGTGGATTCGCCAAAGCGTGATAAATGAGTTTCGGAATATACATCCTTGTGTTAGCGGACTACCGCGCTAAATTACTTGAGAAGGATTCTGGGCACAGCGAGGGGTTCAAGCAAAAGCTCCCGACGAAATGATCACATTATAATGCAAGCCAAGACGAGTAATTGAGTATACGGAAGGTTTAGCCGGCTACGTGACTTTCATAAGTTCCGCAGTAGCAGTAGTAAAGCAAATATTCTCAGCCATATGAACGCATTCATGAATTTTACGTCATAGACTGTCCATCGGTTTCCATCACTTGAGACTTGATTTCAAATATATTGGAGTAGTCTTCTCCAACGAGACATTGAAAAAACTCGGAAGTGAATTCTCTATATTGGATACTCATTGAATATCATCTTGACGGATGAAACAGCAGAGGTAAAGGGGCGTGCTCGGGGATTTTCCTACGAGTGACTCTCACTCGAGCAATTCGATTGCCATCAGGGTCACACATACAGAAGCAGCTTGACTCTGCTGCAATATACATATAACACACAGGTATAGCTCTATATCGGCCGACATCTCCAATCCATTCGGTCACGGATATTGAATTCATCTGGGATTCTATGCGCACCCAGCACAGGCTACCGAGTGAGAAAATCTCGTTTCACTTCTTCAGTTGAATTAACGGTTCGATCATCCGGGATTCTCTCGCTAGAAGAATTATCGTTAAATCACGAACGATTAAGTTATTAATGTGAGTTACTGGTTTTAATGAATGTGGATTTGGTAGCGTTAATTATCACCTCATTTATCTTTAATTATTAATGCGTAATTGGGGCAATACTGCACTCTGACATTATTTACTCTTTAACCAAATTATCATTCCGGCAATTTCAAAATGATCGCGGATGAATTTCATTAAATTCATTAGTGCAATGTTTATTCATGAATTACGGGAAAAAATGTACACGAAAGAAATGAATTTGATTAAACAGTAAAAGGTCGTCAGCGCGCTGAAAAAATCAACAGCCACGAGGTAAGGAGAGAGAGACAGAGAAAACAACAGTGTTTATTCTCATAATTGCATTTATTAAACAGTAGTAGTACAGCTCGATGTGTGCAGCCTGCAACCATAACACCAAAATGTATAACCCAACGAAAATGCCTGCATTCCCATTTGTTGTTTTAGTTGGCTTCCCCTAAGTTTACTCGAGTTTCGGCTTTGCATGGCACGTTGCATTCAGCCACAACCTCACCGTCCTCCTCGCGTGCCGTTAGCCGTACCACTAGCCTCTACGACGCCAGTTCCGGCTACGAATCAACCAGGAGCCATCTCGGACCCCACTATAGCTCTCATAATATGCCAAGAAACAACTCACCAGAGCCAAAGTACAATACACTAAAACCAAGACGTAGGAAACAACAGCATCACAAACACACACAATTTTATTCGCTACGTGTGTGCCGTAAACATGACAAGATTCGTAGAAGTTATCAACTGTATGCAATACCAATTATCAAACAGTGCCCACACATAAGCAACGGTGCAAATACATTTGAGACTGAGATTCCCGAGAATACGTCAACATCTGGGGAAACACAGTGTGCTACGAGTGTTGATAATTTGATGCCAATTGTGCCGCCAATTCCAGCACCGAGAGCCATCAAAACAGATCCCTCCAAGCATACTTATCAAAATGTCCCACCACCTGTTTATCCAGAAAAAACAAAGAATTCGAGTAATCTATACTGAATAACGTAGCATCAGCTTTCATCAGAGATGAACAAAATCGATACAAATTTACAATTAGAGCATCCTCATTTCCGCAATTAATTAACTCAAAGTGATTAACTCAACCGATCCCCATACTCTCTGACAACTTCGCCATACCACCAGAGCAACACTGCTCAGAGGCAACTTTACCAGGCGATGCGGTACTGCACACAGTTCACGTATATCCACAAACTACGGTACAGTATGGTGTATATAATAATAAAGGAGAAACCGCACCTTGGCGCCCGGTGTCGACGTCTGTCACTATGTTTGGACAGTAAGGACTGGGGTATAATTCACCGACCATGGGGGTTAGCGACAACACTTTTTCCAGCAAGACTTGTGCAACGAGTATAATTTACATTTCCTCATAATATTTGTAAAGTAGTACTCTCCTAGAAACACTCGTGAAATTGTTAGAAGCAAGTGTGACACATGTATGTGAGAAAGCTGCAATGAGATGAGAGCAATTTATATGCATGCACATATATGTTGAAAATGCTGAGAAGCGGATGTGTATACCGAGTTTTAATCGGATTCGCATTTCTCCTATCCCCCGTGCTAAGCTGGATCCAGGCATCTACATTGCCAGAATTGTTGTGCATGCTCGGGACTCATCAGGTAAGTTTTTCGAAATAACAATGGAAATTTGTTGATTATCATAATTTACACGATGCATAAGTACCAGCGGCAACAATGTGAATCCTGCTCATATGTAACATATAATAATAATTGTTTTAACATTCTGTACACTGTCAAACTAACTTTTACAAATACACGGAGAGAAAAATATAATAAAAATTACCCTGAAAAGTCTGGCAACGAGTGGAAAAATGCGTTCACGTACAGCTTGCTATCAAAAAATGAAGAAAATATTATTCAATTTCAGTGTAATTTCTGCCAAAATAGTTTCTCCAAAAATCTGATGATACGGTAGTATTTGTTGTCATGTAAAACAGACTGATATTTTTCTCCACGCCTTCAATTCTCAGCCGACAATAAAAATCAGTGGTGGAAAACATGACAGTATAAAGAGTTGTATTTATTCTCCAATCGGGGGAATTGCGCTCTTTCATGCGATTTTGACCATTTGGTCGGGACAATTTTTATGAGAAATTTTTCTCCCTGTGATTCCACAATAAAATCCACTAACAAAATACCGGTTTGACCTGCCTGTTCCAGCCAAACAATTTATACGACTACAAAGATCATTATCAACAGCGTCATGAAAAACAAAAGCAGGATATCCAACAGTATGGGTATTCATTACCGAGCAGCAGTACGAGCCAACTAACCTTGCCACTAACCCGCAGCCTCTATCATTCCTCTCTGGTGAGCCACCTGCAGACTTCACTAGTCCATACTAACAGTCTATGCCAAAGTTACTCACACCGCCAAGAGGGTAGCGGTATAATCGATGGTAATGGCAATGGTAGTGTCAGCGATACATTATCGTTATCAATGCTACGTGGTGATAATCGTTTTGATCTCGATCCAACTTATGAGCATCAGTCGCACACACGACAACGTCGTAATGAGCGTAAAAAATATCGTAAGCATGACAGAAAGCCAAAACACCGACGAAGCTCGTCGTCAAGGGAGACTAGTTTCGGTAAGATTCAAGAATTAGGTATACCAGAGAGCTATAAAATATCGTATCCTCACTACTACGAGGACGATGGCGTTACTGGTTGTACAAATAATCAGAGTACGAGCTATCCAAAGCACAACTCCGGTCATGATGATACCACCAACAACAAACTGTGCAAAGAAAAGAGAACTGTGTACACGGAAAATATCCGTGAATCAACAAGAACATCGCCCGTTGTTGGACAGTATGCGGAGCTCGATTTTCGTGATGTTGGCCAGGAGATCGACGTCTGAAGGTAAGATTTGTCTGTCGTTTCCAAGCTAAAACAGTTTATTCGATATAGCGTGTATCGATATGTTTGAGAGAAATTCAACCGTCAATTCGAGCAGTCTTCATGTCCATTTGGCGATCAGTCAGCCGTTGGAAAACTGTCAGTTTCTTCTTCTTTCTCGGTTCATTCCCTCATAATCGATGTTTATTCTTGCTCTCTTTACGAGAGTCTGATATTGTGAAAATATTTTTCACCAAAGAGGCAGACGAATTTTTCTCGAATGCATTTGCAACCTCGTAAAGCCATTTTTTCGGATATTCTCGTTTACTTTTTTGTACATTACCATTGCAACTACTTTACCCAACTCTCACGCGTTCATCCCATTCTCCTCTTCACGCACACCCTGGCATTCCTTCCATTCGTGTATACTGCACACTAACCGTACCATAGAATATGCTCTAGTCGTAAGAAAGTACAGAGTGAGAAAAAGAAACCCAGGGGTTGCTGAGTAAGTAGATAATGTCCTGAAAATTCCTTCTTTCTAATTTACTGGCTTGTGGAAGACAAGAGACCCTGAATAACGTGAAATTCAGGGACAAAATGGGGTGTTGATTTAGTGGATTTTATGGATGGAACTCTACAGACAGAGGAACAGAATCGTTCACCTATCGCTTGATGAATGCTTCGTGGACATCCTGTTTGAAAGTTCGAGGGCTATTGAGCAAATTATTATTAATCGGTTTTTGGGGGTCTGAAAACGCCAGTTCGACAGTTCAGCAATTGTATATTTGTTCGTAGGGTGGACTGCGAGTGAAGAGCGACACATATATTTACTAGTGGACAGTTCCGGTACCCTCTATCACTATAACTTGTTCTATGGTGTATCGTCAGACCGGACGCGCAGGTACTAAAATTTTCAAAACACGTAATGGAACGATGGGGCTAAATCAACCAGGGAGTGGAGTAAAAAAAATCTATTGCTGCATATGCTCATAGTTTAACAGAAATCGCTTAAATTTGTTGTCGTGAGTTTTTATTTGTTTTCTCTTCCGCTAACCCGTAACTATAGTTGCGTGAGGTGCATCAACTGGTTGAAAAATACACCGACACGTAGAAACAATTTTTTTCCCGGCTGTGAGAGAAATTGGGGCATTTCATCTGGAAATAATCNCTGAAGAAAAAAATAAAAGCAATAGAAAAAAATAAATCGAAATAAAATCAATATCAGTTGATGCGAAAATAAATAACTAGTAAAGTCCGCCAAAATATCCAAAAACAGTAGGTTGATGACGGTAATTTTGGACCTGTGAAAAGAAAATTGCATAAAAAATAGAAAATAAGAACAGATATCAAAGATAAAAGAAGATACTCAGCTGTTCAATTTTTCTTCTTTTATTAAGAACAGAAGTCGACGTTATAAATACTGATATTTTAGAAATTGTTGTTTTTTGAACAAAAATATCAACTTTAAATTGAACAAAAACTCGGAGAGTGACTTTTTTCTAATGATAAATCTTCTCAATGACACACAACAACATGGCTACCACTAGTGGGTTAAGTTGTAGAGAAGGCCGCTAGAGGCGCTGTACAGCTCATCCGACTATACGTTTACCCGAACGCAGAGCGCATGCCCAAGTGGGGGGAACGTCAGGGCACATGGTGACGCCCACTTTATCGCTCCTAGGATGGGTAAGTGAGATTTACCCTCCTTGGAGCACCGAGCGTCTCATTTACCCTCCTTGGAGCACCGATTATTCAAGTGCCGCGGTAAACTCTCTTTACCCCCTCTCGACAGAGCCCGAGTAAGCGCCGTTTATCGGGCCGAGTGACGAAAAAATCTATTGCTGCATATGCTCATAGTTTAACAGAAATCGCTTAAATTTGTTGTCGTGAGTTTTTATTTGTTTTCTCTTCCGCTAACCCGTAACTATAGTTGCGTGAGGTGCATCAACTGGTTGAAAAATACACCGACACGTAGAAACAATTTTTTTCCCCGGCTGTGAGAGAAATTGGGGCATTTCATCTGGAAATAATCCACTTCGTCACCTCCACCTTTTCAAATATTCCATTTTTTGTCGTCTATGAAAAATAAATCAACGAAAGGCCAATGTCAAATTTCATTTGCATTATTGGGAAGCTGTCTTGTGTTTGAACCTCATCTCCCCATTTGTCATTGAATATTTGACAAAGTCGACACTTTTCACGCAGACCACGGCAGATTTTACCCGGGCGTGGAATGATGCTTTACATTTTTCTGAAACAGCTCCGGGCTCCCTGCAGAAATGTTTACATTCACAACACGTGTCGCAAGTTGGAGATTGCATAATAATTTGCTTAATAGCCTGTCCATTCACGATATTAGCAACTAAACCGCTGAATGATCGTACATACAGGGCTTGTCAAGACGCTCGTCGATCATTGTTTGCTGATGTGGAGTGATCTATAACCTATACGGCAGGCAAGATGCGCGACCGTCGGCACCCCTCGCACATATGACGCACGTCATCATCTCCGAGTAGTGAGGGAATCCCCTCCCTACATCAGGTACCACCATGCAACGATGAATGGCTTTGACCTCTCTCACCGCTCATCATATCAATTTTGTTTGCCCTGTCACTAAATATTTTTCCTTCGTACGTTTATCCCCCGGATTTATCGATTTAGTTAGATAGACGTGGATGGATGGGATTGTGTAGTTCTTAAAAAATCCGCATGGAAGAAAAAAACAAAACGAGGCCCACGGGAATTTTAATTCACACCGACTCGGAGCAAAAACAGAGAAATTGAACAAAAAATGTGAACCGAAACGCCATCGGTTGTGTGCAATCCGCGCGCTTAATCGTACGCTCTTACGGTCTTGCACTTCGCATTAACGTCTATTTTCATATTCTCTATTGTTTCTGTTTTTTTTTATGTTTATCCACTCGTCATCCAGCCTTTCAAACCGGAGTTCTCCGATCTGGATTATGCCGATGTCGACTACAGATCCTATGGACCCATAAACTACAAAGCTGCCAGTATTGCTCTACTGCAGACGCGAAAACAACCGCAACAGCAGCAGCAGCCACTCGAAAGACGACCGCAGATGTACGGGACACAGGACGACAACGAGGAATTGCTCTGAATAAACATTCATAATCGTGAGAAGTGAAGTAAACGGATTATTCGGTTCGGCTCATTAATTATTTCATGAAAACTGTGAAACAAACGATAGCGTATCGTCGGGAAAAATAATGAGCCCACTGTTCGTTCGTCAACCACAAGGCATCGATCGGCCGCGACCACTGCTACATTGTCCAGATACAAAATTCATCTCTTGTTAAATTTATACTTGCCATTATGAATAAACAGGTTAAGAAAGAGAAATGTTTTTAACAAAAATGTATAAATATATATATACTTTTTTACGCGTTGAGTGTGTGCAGGGAACAAATTTGATAACCGTGTATATTATCGAGAATGCATGATTCTAATGAGGAATAGATATCCCTCGATACCTTCGAAATTACCTCGATAACGTCCCAAATATTAGTGAACTTATTCAGGCATCGAGATGAACTCTGCATTAGAAATTGATAGTTCAAAGGAAATTTTCGTCATTAACAGCATTCGATAACACTTCATGTAATACACGGAAAATTTTACATTCAGGTAATGAACAATGTACAGAGTTATAAAAATCTCTGCTGTCACGTAACTGTTGCTCGGTTAATTCCAATAATGAGGGAATATCTTTTGTGATCAGATACCCCATGGTTGTTCACGATACTAAACGGTCTGTTCAATTGGTACTAAACTACCGTAAGAAGATATTTTTTGGATATGTATATTTGTACATGAAGGATTAGGGAGAATTCAATTACTGTATTTTATTTACCACTGAATTCAGCCAGACGAAGCACCAGCTAGAGTCAATTTTTTTATTTCTTGAGTTACTCAATGAATGTTTCATGTACAAAGGGCCATGGGCTTTTTGTCCATCTGAGATGCGCTTAATGTATTGCAGTTATACACTAATGTAGACCGTGAAAATAATTAGTTAATGGGAGTATACAAAAACCGTATTGTACAGTTAAATTCTATGCACCATTTGAGAAGCAAAAGAAAGATGGAATGAATGCCAATTAGTCATCTCTACCGTCCAGGAAATATGCGATTGAACGAAAAAAAAAGATCTCTTTGATTGGTAACACGTTAATCGATTAGAATCACCAGAGTGTTGTCTAAATGTACAGAATGAGCCACCATTGAATCCGAATCTCATTTTAGCTGGAAAGTTCTGGCATCGAATACCTGTTTATTTTCAATCAAATTGAGTGCTTCCATTCATCGGATGTAACAATTTCTTATTGCCGGCAATTCTTTACCATTATTGACTGAAGTCTTCGTTATCAAACTGGTTATCAACATATCAGCTCTCTCTCAAAATCATTTTGCAAAAGTAATTTTGTTTGCAAATCAAAATGGTTCTCTCTGCTTCGTGTCCTATCGTACCATCGACGATGTTAAATTTTCATGTTACACTACACATGTCTCATATGTGCGGTACTGCACAGTGTAGATCTACTCAATACAGATAGCCACAAAAAACGTAATTTTTTTCGTTTTTACATGATACGTTCGGCAAACCTAACAGTATAAAAATGTTTTACAATTTCCACTGGTGTTCAGACACAGTATCGGGAGTACATTTTCCTTCATCATTCGTGGGCACGTATTTTTAGTACTTTAGAATTGTTGAGTCTTTGAATTTGCGAAACCATGGGAATGCTCAATCAATTGGAAAAGTAAATCATACATTTCCGGTTGTTCGGTTTAAAATTCCATTTCAGCTATGTATTGCATGTACAGAGATCTGCGCAGATAAAAAGGATATCGTGTGAACTTGGGGAGTCACGAAATACATCATTTTTTCGTTTTTGCATGATACGTTGTCCAAAGCTCACAATATAAAAATGTTTTACGTTTTCCACTGGCGCTCTGACACAAGTATCGAGAGTACATTTTCCTTCATCATCCGTGAGCACGTATTCTTATTAGTTTGGAATTGTGTCTCTGAATTTCCGAAATCATGGGAACGTCGAATCAATTAGGAAAGGAAATTATACATTTCCGGTTGTTCGGATTCAAAGTTTATTTCAGATATGATTTGCATTTGTAGAGACCCATATTTCCCTGAATTCAAAGTTTGCGGACGCTATTTCGAGTGTAAAACCCATGTAACCAACATAATATTCTATATTGACGTCATCATTCCAGTTTCTGACGAATCATTCATCCTTTCGATAAAGCAGATGAACCAGATTGATTTATTAATATCTAGGCATTTCATCCGCATATAGGAATTAAAATAACCGAACTCCGCAATAAAAAATTGGTAACCAGAAAAAAAAACATGCCACCCTTAAAAAATGAGATGCTTCAAATTTTTAATGAGAACTCCAAAATACAAATTTCCATTCACGACGTAAATTGAAAACTACAAATTACCGCTACTTTTAATTATCTCCACATTATGAATATTTTTATTCTACCCTTCACCAGCATTGAGGTACACTCGTTTATGAAATTTTAATGATGCCAGAGAGGAGATAGGTATTCGATGCATTTAAAATCAACAACATTTGATGCTTCCCTCCACATCGCTGTGCTTCAACTTTGTGCCAATATTATATTAATACTCATCAAATATTTAATTTATATGATCGAATACAATGGAATGAGAATCAATATCAATCGATACGATAATCTTCCGTGTGCTGGTGAACTCACGCACATTATAGAGTGAATTAAAGGAAAATACTCGTTGATGATATAATTTATTGTTTTTTTTTGTGATACAAATCTCTGTATAAATATTTATATATCGTTCCTGCCTAATGGGAGGCATATCATAAAATGCTAAACACAAGTAAAGATAGCCAAAGTTCCTCAACGGTCTTACCAAAGATTAATAACCCCGACGTGATTGATGCCATCGCGTTCAATTAAATCTGAAATTACTCACAATTTGTTCTTCCTCAATTTTCACCAGAAATATGAATTATCGATGATAAGTTGTACAGAATCAACGAGACACTGTAGATACATGTAAAATTGTATTTAAAACGATGGAAAGTATCTCTAATGTATTATATACCCTATTAAAGCCATATATGTAATTCTATCATTGCGATTATCGCACAATGTTATGAGATTAATCACATTCAAGGTTTACTTTTAATTTCATTCCTTTTTTGTTACCTTTTATCGTTAACGATGTTTCTTTTTGGAAAATCAGATGTGTCTATAATTCAGTTGTTTTCTCCGTCAGTTTATTTCGTGCTGTTGTTATCGCCCCCATTATCCTATCATTTTCCCAATTGATATTGGCTTGCAAATAAAATCACTGAATTCATACGGTACGTGTCATTCGCAAAGTATTTCGCGGACGTTGGAAAATAATCAGAGAAATTATGGTGAATTTATCAGAAACCGATTAAATACGAAAATTATCGCAATTTTTCAGCCATAGATAATATTATTGCACCAGCACTGTACGACTTGTTATGACTATTGTTATGCAACAAGTTATTCTGTATGCAATGAAAATGTGTGTTTATAATCCTAGAGTAAACGACACGATACGAAATGTGAAAAAAAGCCAACAATATGAAGATGAAATTTAAACAAAATGTACAATATTACTCTATTGGTATTGAAAGTTTATATTAGGAGAACCAAGTTCCCTTTACCAATCGTTATAAATTATTTATGAACCATTGTACTGGAGCTTAGCTCGTGCGTATTCATACGTTAATTTCAATCATTGTCAAATACCGAAGACGAGAATCTGTTGTCTGTAATTATGAAATTATTCATAAAATGCGTTGTAAATACAATTGATCCGCATAGTGATATTAAGAAAAAGAATGGAAAAGACGTTAATAAAGAGAGAAATTAACAATTCAGTGTCTGTAGTTTCATTGATCTGTTTCACTGAATCAATTATCCTTTGATAGATATCAGAAATTGAATTACGAACTCGATAGCGCCGAGGGTTTAATTATGTTGAAGGCGAGCATTAGAAAATTACCGCTCAACTACAGGGTAAGCTGAATTAGCCATGAACTATTAATCATTAGTTGCAATTATACTAGTGACGTCTTCAACAAACCAATCGTGTGATTGTCTGAACCGTGGTATCTCCTTTGATTCATCATAATTCAGAATAATCTGATTGTGTTTCTGTATAGAGTCACAGTAAATGACCTGTTACAAATGAAATACACTGGGAGAAAAATCACCATGATATCACATAAATAAATTCTTGAGTGAAAAACGATTTTTTCAGGCATGAAAATCTCACTTTATCGTGAAATGTTCATATTCATTCATATGCTTCACCCAATTTTTACATTGTCTGACTCATTACAGAATTGCAGAATTCTTATCCAAACGACTCATCCTTAAGAGATGAGATATTTGTCACAAGAAATTAATTTAGTGAAAACAAATTTTTTTATTTTGAAAAATAACGAGAAATCAAGAATCTGCAGCCAATAGTGAAAAATGCCATGGAGAATATCGATTCAATTAAAATATCTGTATCAAGCATTTCTTAACCCCTCACACCAGCCATTTTCTTCCTCTCCCAGTTTACCCGTATTTTCCTCCTATTTATTTATGAATTGACTTTCTTTTTTTCCATTTCATTTTCAACACCACAAACGATGCGAACGAGAAATATTAATCAAGTTTCCAAGCCAGGCAAGTTTCATTGAAAGAGGGGTGGTATTCTACATACATACATCCACAGACACACATACACAGTAAATACATTGCAGCTGAACATAGGTGTATATACGGGAGGGATTTCGCGACAAGTGGAAGCACTCAACGCACGAGACCAACTGCCCCAACCAGCGGCTGCATTTACGTAATTGCATTGGCAGTCTAGGAGAAGTGGTGACACTTTTTTACCCTACGTTTTTTCCACCGCCCGTCTCCCCCCATGATCATTTTTTTTTCAATTCTCTCATATTCCGCAGGGTCAATTGACACGAGAATCAGAGGAGAGACGTTGAATTAAAAATTGAAAAAAATATGAAAACTTATAAGAATTTTCACCACCATCAAGAGGTTTGAACTTTGGTTCATTAGGTAGACTTAATTAATACCATTATGTGCATCCAAGGATAAAAATCTTGGTGTAGTTTGCCATTAATATTTATAAGGAGAGAGACGTGTGTCAATGAATATTCAAATTCTCCCCAGATCTCAGAAATAGTTTCTTCGTTGTACCCATCTGCTTGAATAAGACAAGGCTGAAGGCTGGGTCAGATATTACCTCTCTAATATACCTTTTCAAGATAATACCTAATCAAACCAGATGTTCAAAGGAACGGCAACTGTCAGAGCAAGCAGTCATCGCATTGTCATCGTTTTTATATTCGAATTGTGATGTTAACACGAGTTTTTTACTGCGGATGGATACCTCTGCAGTACACTGAGAAAAATTTCAATGGTAATTTTAACTATAAGGGAATTGTCAAAGACATTATATTTACAGTAACAATAAACTGTGTAGATTAAACTGGGATTCATCGTTCGATTTACTACGTCAAATAGTGTCATCAACATTATGATGTAATTTTCACGTTAATGTAACGTTGAATCGACAATGTTTATTGTTACCGTAACTAATATTTTTTGACAATTCCCTTATAGTTGAAATTATCATTGAAATTTCTCTCAGTGTATTGTTAGCGTTTGGGACTTTCATTGATTGCGTCAAGAGCCTGATGAAGCTAAAATATGTAGCGAAACGTCGCACTATGGCAATGTAATCGATGCGCTGAGCTTATTTCTCCACTATCCCTTTGAATATCTGGTTTGATTTATATCTACTTGAGACGAATGCCACTATAATAACCAATACCTTGGTGGGATATATGTGGCCCACCGATGTCAATTATATTCTAATCAAAAGTTTAATGAGAAATGATATGATGCCATCGACAAGAACAATATCCGTGGAGCGGACATTTGATGGAATATTGAAGGCAACAGAAGATGGATAGGTTTACCCAGTGAATTCAGTGCAATGCATACAATTTCCGGTGGCGTGAACAATGCAGATGAAGGAGGCACACGCGTTTCGGTGATGTGCCCCCTACAATCCCCCGATGTGAGTGAGAGGAACTAAACATGCCAGTAAACTACTACACACGATAAATTACGTCCTACAGCTCCGCTGACGATAATAGTGATAATAATGATACGCGCCAACTAGAAATGGTTTATTGTTCCAGCCTCCAAGCGATACCACACCCGGAGATTAGTTATCTCAACATCGATCCCATCCGTACGCAGCCAATTCAACCGATTAATTCTGTAATTAACTTTGCGCAGACAATAGACGTTTGAAAAATCCGAATGGGTTGGTACTCGCTCGCTTCGCTCGCTCCCATTACGGGCGGATTCAAGTGGGTGTGACACATTATGGGTAGAGCCAACTTTTTCCCATTTTATGCGAAATCATCTAATCAGTCCTAACTTATTACATGAAGACGCATTGATTGAAGACAAAAGTTATATCATTGGATAAAATTTCACTCACATATATGCGTACGCACGCTCCCACACACACACACACACACACCAACAACCATGCCTTCAGAAACGTTTCCTAAAAAAGTCCCGTGAAATCACCATGATAACATTGACGACACCGATCAAACCCGAGATTAAAATCCGTAAATATTTCTTTACGATTTTTGTGTATTTACCCCAGCGGATAAACTCAGTACCCTTGTTCCACTTCAATTTTCTTCCCCCGGTAATACCGTTCACCGTTGACATTTCCGGCATGAGATTGCTTGTCGCACGCAAGCGCATAATTTCATTCCGTTCTTACTCACAATTTTACCTCCCATTTAATCTCCACTCCCTCCTCAGGTCAATTCATCCATCTCATGGTAAATCACCCTCCCCGTTAAGCCTCTCATTTGACAATTATCATTTGCTAGCGGAGAGAAAGTTCAATATTGAATAATTCCATCTGCAACAGAGAAATGAAATCGACGTGAAATTGAATACCCCCGAGGAATATATCGAAAATGTGGAAAGGGCGCAAGAGGGGCGACGGTGAGGGGAAATTCATGGTTACATGAGGAGAAGAAGAGAAGAAATAAGGGTGAAAAAATGACGGATATGAAAATTGATTTTGGTAGGTTGCGGGAATAGCTTCAGCTGAAAATTTATGGATTTATGGACAGTCACGGGTGGCAAGCAGTGGTAAAGACGATTGGACAGGTGAAGCGAAAGAGCGCACTTTTCATCGGCGTTTCTACCTCTCAAGTGCAATCCTTTCTTCGATACGTGGCAGTGAATAGGTTCAATCTTCTCTTCTTTTTTCCTCCCCCTCCCCTCACCCCCACCACCTCTATTATGAATGCCAGAGGAAATCCGTTGGGAGGTGTCACACGATTCGACACGATGAATTACTTTTTTTTCACTCCGAATACATAAAAATGTGGTACTAATGCAAACTTCATCCATGAGGAGTGGACCATACGTATAGAAGGAAGAAATATTGGTTTGTAACCCAACAAAAGGGCGCACAGATTTCAGTCGAAATCCACTCGGACATACTTGCACATATATCTCCAATGTGTGTGTACACATATTTAAATATATATGTATATACATCTGGTGCAGTGTGGAAAATGAATGAGACTGTCATCCGCATCGCCGCATAAATATGACTTATGGTTACCAAGAGTAGAAGCTTCCTCTATATTCCAACATCCCTTTCTTCGGGGCATCCGTTCTCTGTTATCAGGAATATACCCTCTAACACGCCGCAATAAATTACTTTGACTAACGAGAGCTATGGCATTTTGTTCCACGTTATATAATTGCATTAAATTAAATTGAATAATACGGGACAAATTTTCGAGACAATTGAATGGATTATATCGTCCACTGTACCCGAGGTACACCATCATTAGTGGGCCACACCGGTGTACAGGTTGTTTCTTCTGGCATCCTGACGTCTCTGTTCATCCTTGGTGAAGACTGTCATGATGAAGCCGACTAGAAGGGATGAACACAGACAAATGTGTACAGCAATATCGCCGTGATATTCCTTGAGTCTGCTGCAAATCAGGACCAGAATTATTCCGTATAAATTGTTTCCTATGTTTAAAATTCCAGTGGCCAGTGACTCGGACTCGGGGTAGGTGTACTCGGCGCACATTTCATAACCCAGAGCTAGATAGCCTGAGATGAAGAAGCTAAAAAATTGAAAAATAGGAAGTGAAAATTTGGAAAAATCAGAAAAATTCAGGGAAAAAGTGAAAATTCGTGTCATTTCCCGCTTTGCGAGAGGAAAATCTGGCTTGGCGTCCTACGCCAAGGCGAAAAATACGGTTCTAACCACGGGAGGTAAAATAAAAGACCCTCATTCCGCACATGGGCACGACTCTTTTATTTTACCTCCCTAGGTTAGAAGTATACCGTCGTCATATCTGCACGGAAAGTCCGATTTTCATTCCTCGGATTCCTGTTGTTTTCGACGAGGCTCGGAATGACGTAAGTCACGTTCCTACCTTCATTTACGAAGAAGAATCAAACTTTACCGTGCAGTTATGAAGAAAAATAGTATGTGCCTCGGCTTCGCCTCGAGAAATTAATTTAATTTTCTTCATCAAACACGAATGGCACTATAACGAGAGACTGTCATGAGATAGAGGAAGGGAATTCATGAATTATAAAATCGCTGGGGAAAATGATTGAATTATGGAATATAACATTTAATAATTCTGAACTGGAGTGATATATTCGGTTACGGAAGCTCGGGAGCAATTCTCGCAATTCTAAATTAATTCATTGAATATGAAAGGTCTGATTTTCTGAAGATTGCAATTGATCAAGACGAAAATGGATTCAATGAACTCACCCCAAGAAACAGGCTGCTACGTAGGCTAATGGAATACTCTCAAGCCACATTGAAAGAGCAAAAAATACCTGTCCGCATAAAGTCAAAAAATAAACTGTCACCGTTGTTGCCCTGCGGAAATTATCGACGTGTAAAATATCACACGGGGACTTGAAATAATATTATTGATATCTAAAGTAACGGCAGGCATACTTGAACTTTTGTGTTTTATCGAGAATAACGCCAAATGCAACAGAGCCGAACATTCCCATTACAATAATACCGAGCCCCAATCTACCAGCGAATTCTTGACCATCCTGAAATCACAATAATCGTGAGAGATAGTCGAGTAGTCAATGTAATCAACAACTGATGAATTACCTCGAAGTGGGCCAACACTATTTGATTCAACATAGTGCTGAGAGCATTTAACACCCCAATTCCCAATCCGTATGAATTACACAGTATTAGGTAACTTTGATTCTTCATTAGCCTTTTAATTGGTTCTTTCAGTGTCATTTCTGCCTCTTCGCGTTTCTGCTTCTGGAGTGCGCGTGTTTCACTCGGTGGATACTTCGGCTCATCTTTGAATACTATTTTTAAGTGGTTGGAGAAAATATTATAATGAATTGCTGATTATATTCAGCCGAGTTGTGAACCTCATGAGTGAACTCAACTTGAGCGTCGGTTTCCGGTAGAATTGAAAGTTCAACAAAAACTGAAGTTTCAGAGAAATAGACTTAAACGGAGAAAAAAATACAAGAAAACTTACTGTGGCGCACGGTAGAGTGCTGACACCTGAATTTACGGTAATTTATTTACTATTCTTCTGGAATTTTTTTCTCCGTACACATTATTCTACATGTATTTCAGATTAATAACATACATAGGAGAATTTTGAATGAAACTGAGTTTCGAAAACGCACTTACTTGTTCGCCGCACATTTCAGAATAATTTTCACTACATTTTTCTCGATTCACAATGAAAAAAGTTGAGGCAATATTATCTGGAAAACCGCGGCAAACTTCGCTGCCCAAAAAGTAATTGCGGAGCGAAGGGTAAATCAACGAAAAATACTCTATTAAGGAATAAGCTGTCTTTAGTTACGTGGAGAAATTGTAATTTGATTTGGTAGATATTATGGCAAGAAATATTTTTACTACTACTACTTAACCGATTGAGCTGAAACAGCAATTACTTAACGATATTTCCTGTCTTTAGCTCCAACTTTACTCTTTTTTGTGAAGATTTATAAAAAATTTATAAAAAATGCGCATATAAATGCGGACGTGCATACACACATTTTTTTAAAAATCTTGTTCACGTTTCATAACATTGTACAGCAGTTCCAGGCGAGATTATAAGATCATCAAAATCAACTATCACAAAGCTTCCACGTGACGTGTGGAAGCGAAAATTACGTTTCTCTGTACATGAAAATTCTCCACGTCTATACAGTTTTTTATTACAACGATGCAAACGACATGCGAATAGCCGAAAGCGAAAACCTACTGTACAGTGTCCGGAAAAAAAATCGATCACCGTTACAAAAAAATTCATATGCACTGAGTCATCATTTACATTTGCTGGCGTGATTTTTTCATGCAATTCAGGTTGAATTTTGGACTTTTTCGGTCATTTTTGGTCAACTTTTTTCTCCATGTAGAGACATCTTGAGTACTTACAGATAAGAACAAGTAGAAAAGCTACAGTGGAGAGAGCAGCCATTACCCAGAATAACCGCGAGAGATCTTCCCCAATATTCTCAACATTTTCATGATTCCTAATACATAATGGGGTCAAGAAAAATCCCGAAGCAATACCAAGTTGGGCTCCAAACACAGCCAACGATGTAGCTGTGGATATCTGTCTCAGTGGAAACCACAGCGCGCCGAGGCGTCCGGGAATAGTCAGAATTACAACCTGAGTGAAACATTCATACAATTAATTGATGTCAGCTCATCCGCCTAGACATCATGATAAATACCTGACTAGTAGCTAAAAACGATTGGCCAATGAGTGTCACCAGGAATCGATCGGAATGTACCGAGAACACTTTAATGCACGAACCGAGGCAGATTAGACCGCTGCCAACAATGTTGGTCCACCTCAAACCGATGCATTCAGCTAGGTGAGAGCCCGGAATTACTAAAGGTATAGGGAAGAGCATGTATGCCATCGCAGTATAATCTACCTTCTCCACTGTCACATTGTAATACCTAGCAACAGTATTCAATTACTGAAATCATCCTGAATACCTGAACATCCATCCTGAAGAGCTGATGTTAAAGACTACACGGAAAAAAAGTTGAAGAACAATTACACTGTTGGAAGAACCAAACACTAAAGTGTGTGGTTTCAAAATTAAGCACTTTAAAAATACAATGCACCCCTGCAAAAAATAGGAAATGAATTTCGACACGTGCGTGCGAAAAAGTGAAACTTTACGCACTGGTAACACACACTGTTGGAAATTTCTTGCAATTTCAGTCTCAATGTCATCAGAATTCTCGCGGTTGTAAGTTTGAATTTCATTTAACGTGAAATCGTTCATGAAATTTCTCATTTTTCTCGAAAGTTTGAAAAAATAGGGGTTTTTGTGTTCATCGATCATTGATACTTCAAGGAAAGCTTGAATTTCCAAGCTCATTGTGAAAATTAAACATCAGATGCAATTAAATTTTCAATATTTTTGAGTGTGTCATGGACCTGGAAATTGAGAATCCCTTGAATATTCAAGTAATTATCCGGTCCGTCAATGAAGAACAAATTTCATGTAACTCTGTCGCTGTTAAAAATTTCAAGATTCATTTTCTAACAGTGAATATATTATTCTGGCACCGATGCGAACGTGCGGACTGGGGGACGGATGAAAGTGAAACTTCACCATACCTCGTTCAGAAAAAAATAATCTCTCACCGTTACACAAAAATCTCTACACATTGAGTACTTGATCACGTTCCCTGGCATAATTTTTTTATAGAATTCCGGGTAAATTTCACAGTTTCAGGAAAATTACCCTTACATTTATGAAATTTTCCGGAGTCAGCACGGAAGAATTAATTATTCGTCCCGCATTTTTTTCACCGGATACAGAGTAAAAAATACCGGGAAATGAATTCCCGTCACGATTACTCGATTTGTTTGGTAATTTATCTCCAACTTTTTTTCTCCCTGCAAATCAAATCACCTTACTATAATGTTTGCGACAATGGAATACTCCACCCACTGAAATGCACTTATTCCACAGTAGAAGATGTACACCGCCATTAAAACCCACCTCCATTTTGAGTCTTTGATTTCCATCTTCGAGATATTTTTCTCCTCTGGCGATTTTTCAATTCCCATATTGGTCATTTGATTATTGGAAATCGGAAATTCTTCGAATCCAGGAAAATATTTGATGAATTTATTCACTTTCAATGTTTGAATCCCTGCAGGGCCCGATGGAAACTTGTTCAGGTGGGAAATTTTGCAGTCAAACTTCGCGTCGGATTATATCAAAAACAAACCCCTAACTCTCCGAGGGAATTTCTTATCGCTTGCAGTATCTCACCGTGAAAAAACTGCTATGGAATGGGATCTACCATGGGCACTGGATTGATATATTTAATGGATTAATGCGAATAATTTAATTATTTACGATTGGAGCTGTTGGAAGGACTTGAGAAAATGAAATGGAAAGAGCCACGATATCCAAACCTAGGTTCAATTTAATTCTGTGTTATCTCTGGCGCGACATAGTGGGATATCGTAATACAAACTTTACATATTTGTGGGAGAATCTGTAATTGTTGGTGCAGAATTGTGAGAACGTGATACTTATCAATATGGATGTGTTGGATATTTGTTTTCCAGTGGAAACGTGTGGAATCCTACGCTGCGAATGTGCTCACACAAAATGCGATAGGATGTATCAATTTGCTGTACGATTATTCTAAATCCATTGAAACGAAGAAAAAATATGTATCTAACAAATGAGATTCATAGATTTTAATCCCCTCAAATTGCCCCGAGAACGGTTTCAACAATAGATGCATTTGAATTCTTAATGTTGTGAATTTGCATTTAATTTAAGATCACGGAGAGAAAAGTTTCTGCTTTCCAGTAACAGTACCACAGAGTACTGAAATGCAGAGACAAAAAGTACTATGAATTTACCATTTTTTCCTGAATTCTCCTAATTTTTTTGAATTTTCGTGGAATAATTGAACTGAAAAATCAAGAATTTTATTGATTTTCGAATCATTCCAACAGAAAATAAATGGAATATTTGATTTTTCAATGACAATATGTCCTGAAATTTCGGTAGAAATTGAACGTGATAAAAATTTCTGGGATTTGACATGGAAAATTCAGACGAAAATTTTTTAAAATGTTCCCCAACTTGCTGTGAAAATCAAACATCCAACCCATTGATTTGAATTTTCAATGGATTGTAAAATTGCAATTCCACTGAAGACTCCGGAATTTGACTGATCTTTCAATAAAGAACTATATAGAAATTTCACAAGGATGAGTCGTTGTTAAAACCATCAAGATTTTTCATGTGAAATTTCATGGATTAATTTCCCAGTAGTAAACAGGGACAATAATAAATAATACTTGTCGACTAACGATTATGCTTTCGTCTCGAGCGGTACCATTATGACGCCCCAGGTGAAAGCGAATGAGAGAGACATCTGCGATTCCCGAGAGGGAAATAGATAAAGAGCAGCAAAACACTACATGTTTTTTACACGTCTCCTTTTGATGCCTCAGCGCACTTAGGTTTATTAAATTCTATTGGACCCTGTCCAATCGCTGGAGACACGGCGAGTCGTAGTTGGAGATGGTCAAAGGAAGCATCTATGTGCAAGACGTAGAAATAAAAACTTGTACAGTGATGAAAAGAACGAGAAAAGCGAAAAAAAAAACAAGAATGGTCCAGAGGAGAATGCATTTGACAATACGATAAAGAATACAAAACAATATTAAAAAAAGAGGTAAACAAAGAGTAGGATGTCAGGTGGATATTGTAGTGATCGATTTGTTCTGCTCTCTTGAACAACTCTGGTTTGGTGCTGCGGAAGGGTTGCGCGAGAGGGGCAGAGAGAATAGGGAGGAGTTGGCAGCAATGGTAATTGCCATTCGACATGCGCCATTGATGAGAGCGTGAGGTGTCCCCCGCCCTCACCCCCTCACCGAGAAAAGCACGCACCCGGTCAGAAGCGTGATCGTGCTGCAGCAACACAGATATACGAGTAGGACAGATGAAAATTGTTCATATACATATGTTACAAAAGCATCAACCCTCCCTTTGTTACTTTGCCCTTCCTACCCTGCCAGCCACCCTGCCCTATCCCACCTGACTCTACGGTTTCCTCTGGCTGCTATGTATGCACGGTGCGGCGGGAAAATTTATTATGGAGTAAACCTAGAGCCACCAGATGGTAGGTGGTTACGATATAGGCTGATTTGGCAAATGTTGGAAAGCTTATATACACCCAGCATTTGCCACTGACTCTGAACTGTTTAGTAGTGTTCAGCGTTTGGCTGTCCCCTTTGCTGTCTCTGATGTATCGTACGTTACTATGACTATGTATATCCTCTAGCGCGTAGTTCAACGGAATCTCATTGTCAGCCGGACGTAATTAAATTGCACGTCCCAATGAGCGACGCTTGACAACCACCAATGTTCCTGTAACTCTACCGTTGCATATGTACTGCAATCTCTGGACTCATTTCGTGTCCATTTTCATTATGCGTAGCTTCTGAAACTCGGCATCGATGGGTTTTGTTTTTTCGTTATTGGACTGTTTTTCAGCGGGTGGGAGAGAGAACTCTTGGTCCATTTAATTGATTTAATTGGAGGATTTTCATTTAAGTGAGTGTTCAGAGACATGCGGATTGGTGTTGGAATTGTAAGCGAGCGTGGGACTCTCTGCAGCTTGGCCAAACACGACGGCCCGACGGATTACATCGGGGATCCAGGTAACTCAGAATTAATCCACCTTGAAAGCCTCGTCGCACACTATGCATTCGCGACTATAACATATCAAGCAAAGTGAGCAAGTAACCCCTCTTTCACTACAACCCTCCGTCTTATTGTATAACTCTTGCCCCTGGCTTTTCACTATATTACTGCACTTGGTATAACGATGGGGTATCACGAATGAGTAATCGGGAACTCAGTTTCAAAGACTTGTGGGAGTGTGTGATGAGACCATAAAGTTTTAAAAGCACCTGGAGAAGTGTTTATTCAGAGGACGCGCGGAGAAACTTCATTACATTAATTCCAAGTTAGTGCGGAAAGATACTTTGTGATTGAATTTTTAATGGTTACTACGGCCATTATGAATTTCTCGGTATATTCCGAAATTTTCCAGGGACTCGGGGAATTCTGAAGGGGAAGTACTTTCATGGCTTTTGCATGTTGAAGGGTCTTGAAATTTAGTGAAGTTGGAGAAGTTTTTTAGGGCCAAAGTTGATGGTGATTCATTGTTGTCATTACACGATGGATATGCAGGTTGCAGTTCATGAAGTGGAAATGTTCTACAGACGACAGCCGAGTACCGACTGCGAATTGTACCGGCAATGTAGAGCATTTTCAGGCAGCATACACGTGAAGTAGGTATTGTACTTTTCTTCCTCAAGCTGGAATGATTTTTCTTCCTTTTTTGGATTGTAAAACAGGGGTTCCTAATTAAATTTTCAACTGCGGGAAGAGGGCGAAGTTTAATGCTTGAGTCTTTGTTATTTCATTTCTAATGAAAAAATAGCCATATGAGGACGCGTGGTTGTCGAAATTTCGTTCTTCGAACGTGTGCCAATTAAGAGGGAATGGTAGTCCTTGCGTGTGTTGGATTTCAGAATGGTCTCGTTTCCATCGTTATTAATTTTGGAGGCAGCTCTTAATAATTATGACTTTCGTGGACTGCACGGAAAACAAAATTATTTTTTACTGTGCAATCGAGAATCATACCCGCCACACTCAAAATTTACTGTGGAATATTGGTAACATAGTAAAAATTGTGGAAAGTGGTAGAATAAACGTAAAATTTAATTTGACACGATTTAAAATTCGGTTCCGATAAATCAAATTTTAAAGTTGTTTCGGTATGCGGTCCTCGATTACTATGTTCACGGCGTAATTTTCAATTTTATATTCTCTCCGTTTGGATAACAAGAGCGATGTGAGGGTTGGAATTCTAACTTTAGGGGTTTTTTTTTCAAGGAAAGAATCGGGAACGTTTGAGCGGTATGGACACTTGACTTCTCGAATATTCACAACTCAGACCCAAATTGTGGAAAGAAAATCATCCCATTCCTTCTCATTGAGCTGCTCTTGAGTTTGAAATGCAATGAGTTTTCTTACACTCTTTTTTTTCCGAATGAAAGCATATTATAAATTGTAAAATTCTCATATTGACTATTTTTCGTAGAACGTAAAGTGAATTTTCAGTGAACGTAAAGGAATTTTTAATTGAATTTCAATTTTTTAGCCTCATGGAACTAAACGTATGTTCGACAGTTTTACAGACTCCGACGTATAACAAAAACGCTCGACGCCAGTAGCTTTGTAATTAGTTGGAATAAATTGATATCGTGAATGAATTAATATTTTCTGGCGAAGGTGTGAGTATTTGAATTGATAAGTGGGAAAAGAGTGATGACAAGTGAAGAACATTCATGATTCGCATAGGTATGCCAAATTTTTTCTGCTGATATATTGATCTTTTTTTAAACATTGAAAAGACATATATGAAATGAAAAAAATTGATCTGTTTCCTCGAATTGAGGAATGTATTAATGAATAAAATCGATTATTTGATTTAGGAAAGTGCGTCTTCAAGCGGACAAAACCAGAAAACTTTCACGTGTTTGTATCATAACATCCGTCAACCCGGAAAAGATGAATATTTTTTTGCATTCGGCAAAAAGTTATTTTTATTTCCTTTTTGGTGTTAGCGCCACGAATAATCATTTTTCTCTCAATTTTAGTAACTATTGTCAATTGAATATGTAGAAATTCGCATTGAATAAGATGAAGCATCGCTGAATACGTCCAAATTATCGCATTAATGACTGAAAGAACGGGACATTGGTTGTTCAGGGAATAATAAATAAGAAAAAAATATTTCAGCATTTTTTTTTGCATTTTATAAATAAAATTTAAATTTCTCCGGTGACCCCCGCTTACAATAGAAATAATTACTGTTGGCGGGAGATTGAAAGTGATGAGGGGAAGTGTAAATCGACCTGACTGCCGTCTTCAGGCACTCGAGCGAACTTGTTTCCTGTTTTCCTGTCCCACCGAGTGGACAGTGCGTGTGTGGTTCTCATGAGTGTCATAACCTGGATTTTTATTTCACCTGCTCAAATTCGATCCGAACTCGCGCTGACAGTTTCCAGTGACAACCGTGATAAAAAAAATTCCTGACAGCCATATATAATCGCTAGTACTAATGCGGAGTCCTATTATTTGCATTTTCAACCGGTAAGTTGAATAAAATAATTGAACAACTGTCATTGTTTACTTCATCAACTCTAATTAATTAAAAAATTACAAAAAACATGCAGTTGTTCGTTTCGATCTCGTCAAAGTCTGTGTTCGTTCGCACAAATCCACGAGACCGACTGGCGATTCTACACTGTCAATCCGAGGGATCATATTGACAGTCTTCTTGAAGAGGAGACTGACAAATTGAAGGGAGTAAAGTGGAAAATCATGGAAACCTTCAACTGGTTGCATGACGTTGCCCCAGCTTTCCCAATCGACGCTGCTAAGGTGTGATTTGTTCACTATAGCCCCAAATGACATGCGAAAAAATATCTGATCAATTCAATTGACAATCACTCAATCCCACAGATTACGATAATCCATGAGCCATCGGTATTCTACTCAACTTTACTTGAGAGATGCAAGAGAGCTGAGAGGAGAATAACACTGGCATCCCTTTATTTGGGTACCCAAAAATTGGAAAGGGATTTGGTAGGTTCGTATGTGCATTGTGTCGTCAATGTCAATAATCCTCATCAATACCTTGAGCTCTTACTCACTACAGTATAAAAAGTCGATTCAGTCCATGGTAAAAAATTTGGTCTAGGTGAAAGCAATAAAGACTTCGATGGACTCCACAAATGGGAACATAAAGATCAATATCCTTTTGGATTACATGAGAGGATCTCGAGGGAGAGTCAACTCTCGGACAATGCTCCTTCCCCTGTTCGATGGAAACCCCGGTGACAATTGTAAATTATTCTTTTATCACACGCCCCAACTGCGAGGAATCTCCAAAGCAGTCATACCCCATCGATTCAATGAGTTGATTGGTCTCCAGCATATGAAGATCTACATTTGCGATGATTCTCTGATCATCAGTGGGTGAGTCGTTGGGACTTCTCTCTTCGTGTTCCATGGGAACAATAATGTATGAAATATTCTCCATAGGGCGAATCTCAGTAACGATTATTTCACAAATCGTCAGGATCGTTATTTCCTCATTGAGGACTGCAAAGACCTCTGCGACTTCTACGACGAGTTAATCCGAAGAGTTTCAGAGTTCAGTTTTCGTCTGATGCCCGGGGATATCATGTCCTACACCTCTGAATCAGTAGATCATCCTCTGAAGGGTTCAGTGCAGACGTTCAATAAAACTGTGCATGAAAAAATTATGTCGTTAAGTGCAACTGCCATCGAAGAGTGCAGTGCCTCCAAGTCTGCAGGTGAGAAATACCCCTTAGCTTCAGGAATGAATAACCAGTCCACTCAGACTTTATTTTTTTTTAATGCGCTGAAATTTGAAGAAGGTGAAATCGACATGGATACGTTTTGGGAGATGTCATTTCTTGCTATAAAAAGAGGGTTGATAACCATTTCAATGGATTTCTTAGGTCCAGACATATTGAATAACCGATCACGGCCAAATAGAAATATCTTTCAATGCGTGAATTATTAAAACAATTCTTCGTAGAAATAGAGAATCCATGTCACTGATTTTCGTCAGAATTTTTTCGCTTTTTAGATTCGTTTAATGAAAATTTTCATGAAAAATTGATTTCGTGCATCGGAAATGTGCGTTCGACAAGTTGAACTAGGCAGCAGTGCAATGAAGAAATCCCTTGCTTGGAATTTATTATATTGGAAAGGAGTATTAACTTATTTCACAGTACATTTAACTTGAAGCATTCAATTTGTTATAAATAATTGGTAGGGGCCAAAACTCGTAGCCAAACAATTTTGTTTTGTAAGTCAATCAATCTTTCATCGAAATAAGCTTTCCTCCCTCATAATATAGATCTTCACAAAAACTCTCACATCATTTTTTTAGACGTATTGAGCAAACGTCAGTCATTCAGTTGAATTAACTCAACTTATTCGCTATTCTCATTCTTAAAAGCTTCATCTTATCCTTCAGATTCAGATACGTGGGTTTTTCCACTAATTCAAATGGGCTTATTCAACATTCGCCAGGATAGTGAGGTGACATTGAGGCTCTTCAAAACAGCCCCTCCAGGATCTCTCCTCAGAATAGCGACGAGTTACTTAAACTTAACTTCAGAGTACACAGATGCCTTGATTCGCGATTGCGAAGGTACTTGTGAGCTTCTCACAGCCCATCCCACTGCCAATGGATTTTTCGGAGCGAAAGGGATAGCTGGAGGCATTCCAGCAGCATATACACTCATTGAGAAGACTTTCTTCAAAGAAGTTGAAAGGAATGGTTTGGATCATCGGATAAAATTGAGAGAGTACATTCGTCCCGGATGGACGTATCATGCCAAAGGTCTTTGGTACACTCTTCCAAATCATGAGAGACCTTGCTTTACTCTCGTTGGATCTTCGAATTTCGGTATGAGAACATTCGTTCACTATCAATGAATTCCTCACCGATAGGTTTTCCAGAATTGAATTATCTTTTAAGAAAATAACGAAATAATTGAAAAGAAAGAATAAGATTCTAATTACTTTATCATTTGCATTATTACTCTTCATTGTTATTGTTATTTATCATTAAATTATGTTTCTTCGACAAATGAATCGATTATAATAGAATGGCCAACATCCAAGGAGAATAACTTTATTCATAACGTAATAATGCATGATTGGATGATTTTAGGATACAGATCAGTCAAACGAGACCTCGAGTGCCAAATAGCACTAGTAACACGAAATGAAAATCTCCAGGAGGCGCTGAAGCAAGAGCACGATCGTTTATACAAGAACTCTGAACCAGCCACCAATCAGACATTCAACCAACGTGACAGAATTCCACCCACTTGGGTTTGTGCTGTCGCGACATTATTTCGTTACTGGTTTTAAACTAAACGAATTCTAACATTAGACAATTTTTATCATCTAACCAAACGAATAAAATGCTCTGTTACGAGAGAACGAACGCTAATTCAATTAGTCATATCCCACATTTCCTAATTTCCCCTTTCTTTCATCCCAATAACATGTAAATTTCACTCTGCTTATAAATACGCGGGCTTCGTGTGTCAGCCAATCAGGCGGCATGGAAGTCCTGTGTCCCTGAAATATACTGACTCTCACAAAAGAAGTAACCTCGGGTCTCGGTCCGAACCAGCTCCCCCACTCGCTAGGCGACCGCCACTCTTACTCGCGCATGCGCTTCAGCCTTCAGTCATATGGGAACCCAAATTTCCTCAGGAATCGAATGCAATCGGTTTTAAGGCTCTATCTCTAGTAGTTTCCGAGATAATCGCGAAAAACGAAAGTCCCCAAAAAAATTAATTTAATTCATCTGTATAGGGTGTAGGAAGTGGAAAACCGCAATTCTGAGCCGTCCATCTGCCTATGCGGAACTCAAATTTCCTCAGGAATCGAATGCAATCGGTTTTAAGGCTCTATCTCTAGTAGTTTCCGAGATAATCGCGAAAAACGAAAGTCCCCAAAAAAATTAATTTAATTCATCTGTATAGGGTGTAGGAAGTGGAAAACCGCAATTCTGAGCCGTCCATCTGCCTATGCGGAACTCAAATTTCCTCAGGAATCGAATGCAATCGGTTTTAAGGCTCTATCTCTAGTAGTTTCCGAGATAATCGCGAAAAACGAAAGTCCCCAAAAAAATTAATTTAATTCATCTGTATAGGGTGTAGGAAGTGGAAAACCGCAATTCTGAGCCGTCCATCTGCCTATGCGGAACTCAAATTTCCTCAGGAATCGAATGCAATCGGTTTTAAGGCTCTATCTCTAGTAGTTTCCGAGATAATCGCGAAAAACGAAAGTCCCCAAAAAAATTAATTTAATTCATCTGTATAGGGTGTAGGAAGTGGAAAACCGCAATTCTGAGCCGTCCATCTGCCTATGCGGAACTCAAATTTCCTCAGGAATCGAATGCAATCGGTTTTAAGGCTCTATCTCTAGTAGTTTCCGAGATAATCGCGAAAAACGAAAGTCCCCAAAAAAATTAATTTAATTCATCTGTATAGGGTGTAGGAAGTGGAAAACCGCAATTCTGAGCCGTCCATCTGCCTATGCGGAACTCAAATTTCCTCAGGAATCGAATGCAATCGGTTTTAAGGCTCTATCTCTAGTAGTTTCCGAGATAATCGCGAAAAACGAAAGTCCCCAAAAAAATTAATTTAATTCATCTGTATAGGGTGTAGGAAGTGGAAAACCGCAATTCTGAGCCGTCCATCTGCCTATGCGGAACTCAAATTTCCTCAGGAATCGAATGCAATCGGTTTTAAGGCTCTATCTCTAGTAGTTTCCGAGATAATCGCGAAAAACGAAAGTCCCCAAAAAAATTAATTTAATTCATCTGTATAGGGTGTAGGAAGTGGAAAACCGCAATTCTGAGCCGTCCATCTGCCTATGCGGAACTCAAATTTCCTCAGGAATCGAATGCAATCGGTTTTAAGGCTCTATCTCTAGTAGTTTCCGAGATAATCGCGAAAAACGAAAGTCCCCAAAAAAATTAATTTAATTCATCTGTATAGGGTGTAGGAAGTGGAAAACCGCAATTCTGAGCCGTCCATCTGCCTATGCGGAACTCAAATTTCCTCAGGAATCGAATGCAATCGGTTTTAAGGCTCTATCTCTAGTAGTTTCCGAGATAATCGCGAAAAACGAAAGTCCCCAAAAAAATTAATTTAATTCATCTGTATAGGGTGTAGGAAGTGGAAAACCGCAATTCTGAGCCGTCCATCTGCCTATGCGGAACTCAAATTTCCTCAGGAATCGAATGCAATCGGTTTTAAGGCTCTATCTCTAGTAGTTTCCGAGATAATCGCGAAAAACGAAAGTCCCCAAAAAAATTAATTTAATTCATCTGTATAGGGTGTAGGAAGTGGAAAACCGCAATTCTGAGCCGTCCATCTGCCTATGCGGAACTCAAATTTCCTCAGGAATCGAATGCAATCGGTTTTAAGGCTCTATCTCTAGTAGTTTCCGAGATAATCGCGAAAAACGAAAGTCCCCAAAAAAATTAATTTAATTCATCTGTATAGGGTGTAGGAAGTGGAAAACCGCAATTCTGAGCCGTCCATCTGCCTATGCGGAACTCAAATTTCCTCAGGAATCGAATGCAATCGGTTTTAAGGCTCTATCTCTAGTAGTTTCCGAGATAATCGCGAAAAACGAAAGTCCCCAAAAAAATTAATTTAATTCATCTGTATAGGGTGTAGGAAGTGGAAAACCGCAATTCTGAGCCGTCCATCTGCCTATGCGGAACTCAAATTTCCTCAGGAATCGAATGCAATCGGTTTTAAGGCTCTATCTCTAGTAGTTTCCGAGATAATCGCGAAAAACGAAAGTCCCCAAAAAAATTAATTTAATTCATCTGTATAGGGTGTAGGAAGTGGAAAACCGCAATTCTGAGCCGTCCATCTGCCTATGCGGAACTCAAATTTCCTCAGGAATCGAATGCAATCGGTTTTAAGGCTCTATCTCTAGTAGTTTCCGAGATAATCGCGAAAAACGAAAGTCCCCAAAAAAATTAATTTAATTCATCTGTATAGGGTGTAGGAAGTGGAAAACCGCAATTCTGAGCCGTCCATCTGCCTATGCGGAACTCAAATTTCCTCAGGAATCGAATGCAATCGGTTTTAAGGCTCTATCTCTAGTAGTTTCCGAGATAATCGCGAAAAACGAAAGTCCCCAAAAAAATTAATTTAATTCATCTGTATAGGGTGTAGGAAGTGGAAAACCGCAATTCTGAGCCGTCCATCTGCCTATGCGGAACTCAAATTTCCTCAGGAATCGAATGCAATCGGTTTTAAGGCTCTATCTCTAGTAGTTTCCGAGATAATCGCGAAAAACGAAAGTCCCCAAAAAAATTAATTTAATTCATCTGTATAGGGTGTAGGAAGTGGAAAACCGCAATTCTGAGCCGTCCATCTGCCTATGCGGAACTCAAATTTCCTCAGGAATCGAATGCAATCGGTTTTAAGGCTCTATCTCTAGTAGTTTCCGAGATAATCGCGAAAAACGAAAGTCCCCAAAAAAATTAATTTAATTCATCTGTATAGGGTGTAGGAAGTGGAAAACCGCAATTCTGAGCCGTCCATCTGCCTATGCGGAACTCAAATTTCCTCAGGAATCGAATGCAATCGGTTTTAAGGCTCTATCTCTAGTAGTTTCCGAGATAATCGCGAAAAACGAAAGTCCCCAAAAAAATTAATTTAATTCATCTGTATAGGGTGTAGGAAGTGGAAAACCGCAATTCTGAGCCGTCCATCTGCCTATGCGGAACTCAAATTTCCTCAGGAATCGAATGCAATCGGTTTTAAGGCTCTATCTCTAGTAGTTTCCGAGATAATCGCGAAAAACGAAAGTCCCCAAAAAAATTAATTTAATTCATCTGTATAGGGTGTAGGAAGTGGAAAACCGCAATTCTGAGCCGTCCATCTGCCTATGCGGAACTCAAATTTCCTCAGGAATCGAATGCAATCGGTTTTAAGGCTCTATCTCTAGTAGTTTCCGAGATAATCGCGAAAAACGAAAGTCCCCAAAAAAATTAATTTAATTCATCTGTATAGGGTGTAGGAAGTGGAAAACCGCAATTCTGAGCCGTCCATCTGCCTATGCGGAACTCAAATTTCCTCAGGAATCGAATGCAATCGGTTTTAAGGCTCTATCTCTAGTAGTTTCCGAGATAATCGCGAAAAACGAAAGTCCCCAAAAAAATTAATTTAATTCATCTGTATAGGGTGTAGGAAGTGGAAAACCGCAATTCTGAGCCGTCCATCTGCCTATGCGGAACTCAAATTTCCTCAGGAATCGAATGCAATCGGTTTTAAGGCTCTATCTCTAGTAGTTTCCGAGATAATCGCGAAAAACGAAAGTCCCCAAAAAAATTAATTTAATTCATCTGTATAGGGTGTAGGAAGTGGAAAACCGCAATTCTGAGCCGTCCATCTGCCTATGCGGAACTCAAATTTCCTCAGGAATCGAATGCAATCGGTTTTAAGGCTCTATCTCTAGTAGTTTCCGAGATAATCGCGAAAAACGAAAGTCCCCAAAAAAATTAATTTAATTCATCTGTATAGGGTGTAGGAAGTGGAAAACCGCAATTCTGAGCCGTCCATCTGCCTATGCGGAACTCAAATTTCCTCAGGAATCGAATGCAATCGGTTTTAAGGCTCTATCTCTAGTAGTTTCCGAGATAATCGCGAAAAACGAAAGTCCCCAAAAAAATTAATTTAATTCATCTGTATAGGGTGTAGGAAGTGGAAAAAGGCAATTCTGAGCCGTCCATCTGCCTATGCGGAACTCAAATTTCCTCAGGAATCGAATGCAATAGGTTTTAAGGCTCTATCTCTCATAGTTTCCGAGATAATCGCGAAAAACGAAAGTCCCAAAAAAAATTAATTTAATTCATCTTTTATAGGGTGTAGGACGTGGAAAAAGGCAATTCTGAGCCGTCCATCTGCCTATACGGAACCCAAATTTCCTCAGGAATCGAATGGAATAGGTTTTAAGGCTCTATCTCTCATAGTTTCCGAGATAATCGCGAAAAACGAAAATGCCAAAAAAAATTAATTTAATTCATCTTGTATAGGGTGTAGGAAGTGGAAAAACGCAATTCTGAGCCGTCCATCTGCCTATACGGAACCCAAATTTCCTCAGGAATCGAATGGAATAGGTTTTAAGGCTCTATCTCTCATAGTTTCCGAGATAATCGCGAAAAACGAAAGTGCCAAAAAAAATTAATTTAATTCATCTTGTATAGGGTGTAGGAAGTGGAAAAACGCAATTCTGAGCCGTCCATCTGCCTATACGGAACCCAAATTTCCTCAGGAATCGAATGGAATAGGTTTTAAGGCTCTATCTCTCATAGTTTCCGAGATAATCGCGAAAAACGAAAGTGCCAAAAAAAATTAATTTAATTCATCTTGTATAGGGTGTAGGAAGTGGAAAAACGCAATTCTGAGCCGTCCATCTGCCTATACGGAACCCAAATTTCCTCAGGAATCGAATGGAATAGGTTTTAAGGCCCTATCTCTCATAGTTTCCGAGATAATCGCGAAAAACGAAAATCCCAAAAAAAAATTAATTTAATTCATCTTGTATAGGGTGTAGTGTAAGTAGAAAAACGCAATTCTGAGTCGTCCATCTGCCTATAGGAAGTGGAGAAACCCCATTCTAAGCCATCTGCTATACCAACTGAAACCCTACACCATAACCTTGTATTTAGCTAGACCATTCACTTGTTGCGAGAGCAGTTGCAAACGTTGGACTTGTCATATTTCACTCTAATAAAGGTAAACTCCTTACAATTGATAAGAAATTTTCATTGGCTTCTGAAATTATTGGAAAGGAATTTGCGTGAAGGCATGGGCATTTTATTTTTATTTTCAGACATTCTTGACTCATCATTGGTCGGTGTATATTAATAAAATAATTGTCTGAGGATTGAAACATAAGGTGTAACAATCAACTCTCGATAAACAAATATTGAGCAACGGCAGTACAATAAAAATAATGCTAATGAAAGCAAAGTGGAATGGAATTCATAACCATAGAGCAACGACCACGAATTCAGTCGTGCAATGTTTTTATATCAACGAAGAATTCTACAGAATCACGTGAAATCAAGTTGAGCCTGAAAAACAACTCAATTGGCCTCCAAATTTTCAACAATTTATTTGACATTGATCTTCAATCATTAATCGTTATACCAGAATCATTGTCATCGTTGAATGTAACAGATAAGTGGATATCATTCAGGTTACAATCTAGTCCAGTTGATTCAACAGTTGGCACATTTTCAACAGAAGTCATTGATTCTCACAAGTTAGAGAGAGATAATTCAATAGTTACAGAGATACCAGAGATTCAATTACCTCCAAAGAATACTCAACTGTCATTAGTATGTAATTGTTGTAAAAATATTCTGACAAAATCTGATATTATTTTTGAGAGAGTGCTTCCATTACCGAGTGACGATTGTGATCCCTCTCAGTGGTTTTGTTGTTCACACACTGGGGATGATTTGAATATGAAGACACTATTGCAACCACGTGACAAAGATTTTTTCTATGGCTCTCATTACTGCATTTTGAATAGAAATATATTTTTGGATAAGTACAAAGTTTTTGGGGAAGATGTTGTGTGCAATAGGTGTTTAACAGTACTGGGTAACTGTAATTTGGAGAATTTTGGGAATGCTGTTAAATTCTGGAATTGTTCCTTACAATTTACACTCAAATCCTCACCATCTGTCTATTGTAATCAAACTAGTCCTTGGATTGACTTTAAAGCAGCTTTTCTACACTGCATTAACGACGATATATTTAATAGCGAGATTAATTTTCTAGCTGCCGAACAGAATCGCAGATATTTATTGATTATCAAACCAATGGAGAAAAATCTTTCCCTTCTTACAGAGTCACTCACCTCCAAATCGAATAAAATTACATTAGATAAAAAGTTAGTTACAAAGGTTTTGTATAGGTACGAAAAATCACAGTGTTCTGTGAAAAATAAAAACTCAGATGTGAGAATTTGTAGGATAAGTGTTAAAAGTATGATTGCAGGTATTGATAATTTAGTACTATCGTCTCAGAGAATTCCATCGATCTATCGTAAGATAGAACCAGACTATCACGTTGGTTACATACTATAATTGAAAAAATAATCGTAGCTTGTGCGAATTATGTTTCTCATATTTTTCTATTCTCTATTTATACAATTACAGAAAAAATATATTTTCTAAAACTTTTAACTCGTTTTTCCCTCTCTCATCATCGGTCTCATCTTCTCTATTTTCACTATTTTTAATTCTAGATTATACAACAAATTCACGTACCCGAGATTCCCTAGAAGATTCGATGAAATAAGAAGTGTTTATAATTTCTTTCTCTGTAAACATTATACTTCATTGTCACTAGTTAATATTGTAAGTGACGTTGAAACATTGAGGACTTATCTGCTAAGACACAAGTCATCAAGTTATTTGTATTAAACTACGAATGAATATCAGTGATCTAATACCATTTGTCATCCCCCTCCCCCCCATCGCTCTCGATTACTCTTCCCAATTGAGGAATATCCAGTATATCCTCGTTTAGGCCGCGAATTATTCATCATAATTCGTGGGTAGATGCATTAGGCGAATTAAAAGCACCGTTGAAGTGATCACTGCACCAAATTTGTTGTTGATCTCAACCTGTTTGCGAGGGGAGCTGTGTATACCCAGCCACCATCATTAGTTTCTTTGAAAAACTGTAACAGAATAGAAATTTCAATATTATCACGAATAAAAAATTGTGTGAATAGTGAACAGTGGAGTAGACTAAGGGCAGGTTTGTTTGTCCTTGTGGTCACAGCAGTAATTCATGAGTGAGTTTACCCACTCAAACTTGTTTTAACTGTTTATGCATCACTCTCATGTAACTTCTCATCATTGAATATTGTTTCACATCTTCTAGTGCTGTTCTTAAGTTTCATTTCATATTTACAAGTTGAGAGATTTTATTTTGAAGTGATGGCAAAGCCAAATAAACTTGCTTTCATTCTCATGAATATCACGTTCAAAAAAAAGAAAAATTATTTTCTACGACAGAATAATTACTTTCGTTTCCCACGAAATGTTATTTTCTTTTCGTATTCTCGCTTCATCTCGTTGTTTCTGTTCAATAAGACACTTAGCAGCAGTCGCTCTATCCATATCATTAATCTTCAACCCAACAGTCACCTCCCTCCACACTTTCCTCGACTCATATTCCTCCTGCTCACTCACTGGTTTCACCAGCTTTTTATCAACCGGAATTTTCGTCACGTCAGCAAACAGCTCCGTTCTCTATGAAAAACATTTCAATAAAATCGTTAGTAACTGTGAATAGTAAAAGAGCATTGCAGAAGAATCAATAAGTACCCCATCGCTCCATTTGGCTTCCAAACATCCACTCCACTCTCCATTAACACAGAGGAATGGTTTTTTCTCCCCAGGATGTGTCACCTGACAAGAAATTCTATTCTTCTTTCCCCCATAAAACGGCTTCGTCAAAAATTCAACAGTCGCTTGATATCCAGTTTGAGCACAAGTAATAGTAGCTGTCCCTCCCAATTCAATCCATGGTACAGTGAGTATTGATCTACCATAACCATTTGGAAATGTCAATACATACTCTTCACCATACTCTAAAACATTGACCCAGCCCTTTCCAATATTATGCACCCCAATGCTAAGACCCAAAAATTTACTCTTTGTCCATACATGAGCATTGAAACTAATTTTTTTGGCATAATGCTCAGCATAAAATGCACTAACTGGTGGATGATGTGAGACCTGTTCAGCGATAAAACAGAGTTGATTATCGGAACACCACGGGACTGGCCCTTCTCTCGTGGTATTTTCACTCTGAGGAATCGTTGATTGTTTAGAATTCTCAGCTGCCAAGTCCCAGTGACATCTAAAAATCTCACCGAGAACTGGATTGTAAGGCTTCTTAGCTACCCCCGACTTTCTTCCAGCGTGGAAACTGCAGAGATACCATCTCACAACCTGCACCATTCGCTCCTTGGGTGTTGGCATGTCTGCTATACTGTTTTAATTGAATTAATCATCAAAACTCACACTGACAACATTTTTTTTCGTGTTTTAATTAATCCAAACCATTACTTGTTTGATTCAATATTCTATATGCTCTAGATGAACGCATCAGTTTTTAGTTCAATGTGAATTGGCAAAAATTATTTTCTGGTTATTACACTACTTCTCAAGATATCACAAATTTTGTTTTGATAAATTATGACATTTGGAAAAAAAAGGTTATTTATGCAATAGAAAATTATATGCTATTCTTCTTCAGTTGATTTCCTCTTGAATTATTATCCATTTCTCCAGTATAACTAATACGCTATTCTATCTAGAAATACTCGTACTGAGCAATTATTGAGTAGAGAAATGCTGATTCCATTCCAAATAAAGAATTCCAGTCTTGGTAATTATAAATGAACAAGTTTCTTGATAGAAGTGCGATATTTTTGAGTTTTTTTTTTTCTCAGTGGATGTTTTGGGTGTCAATGCACGATATAAGTGGCTTAATTACCTGATGAAGTGATTGGGATGTGCAAAGTAATCTGCATACATCTCGAGGAGTGATCTACGCTCGAGTATAAATGTAGGCAGAGCTACTTTAGTTAAATCCATTCCAATTTTCACTTGAGACAGCAGGTGAGTCACCACTGAGCCATGGCTCTCCATCGAGTCCACTGGAAAATTATCACGTAATTAATGTTAATTAATTCTTTCTATTTTTAGTCACTCATTTCGTTGAAAATATCTGGAATAATTACCCTCTGGCTCACTCTCCTCCTCGTAAAGTGCTGTAAAATAAGAAATATCGATCAGAATGATGTCAAAGGAGAAATTGAAAAAAAATTTATAAAAGGGTGGGCACATCTATATTTAGAATACTCTGATACTCACAGGTGGCTGCGTCGAGACTGATCATTTTTGGCGTTTTTTTAATAGCACGGTATTAAAAATCATAAGAATAAGTTCATTCGAATTTTAAAGTTCCTCTTCACGTGATGTTTTCATTTGTTTATGAAAAAATTTCAGTCTAATGGTCTCGTGCACGAGTAGATTATCACTATTGACTATTGTAATTGACCACATTTTATTGTGCATTTTTTTACTACTTGAGTTGTGATAGAGTCTCTTCATTTCAGGTATCGAGAAACAAAAATACTAACTGGTGGGAAAGGATATTTTTACTGAGAGGAATAATCTTACTGGTGGAGGTGAATTTTTGTCACCAGTGCGCATACGAATGGGCCAGTGTTGTCTATGTATGCTGTGCTGTGATTGTATAGTTAAACCGTGCATAAAACTAATCAATACAGTGGGACATCGGTAAGGTCGAGGATGACTCTATCATCAAGATAAACATATTTACTTTGAATATTGCCGCGTTTCCACCGATTTTGAGATCATGTTTGTCTCAAGGAACATGTAAGTCTGGTCTCGTCTTAGTATCGAAAGACGCAATATTGTCTTCTCTCATTGCGTCTCAGAAACTATTTATCTTGTTTCGGTCTAAAGTTTTTCGTGTTTCTTCATGTTAAGTCTCGGTCGCCTACACGTAAAAAACTTAAGATAGTGGACACCGCGATGAGATGAATTGACTCGGAATCATCACGGGAGATCGAGACGATCCCTCTAAAGTGAAGTCTCATTTAACTAGAGAAATGCCTTTTTCTACAGATAAAAAAAATAGAAAAGAGGGTATTCTTCGAGTTCAAAATTTTGATTTCCCATAACTTAAAAAAAAATTGGCCTTTGATTTTTCGGCAATTGGTCTATTTTAGACTTAAAACTACGTCAGTTTTTTTTTGATTGAAATAACATGAAATGTCCCATATATCGTTATTTACTTCGAGTTTTGTTTCACGTGTCCGCATGCAAAGAAGTGGAAGTGAAAATTATATGCTATTGACATACCATCGTAATCCACAGAGCCATCAGTTTTAACTGGTGGCTGTGACTGCGATTGTTGTCTCCGATATTCGTTGGTGTCGGGCTCCTGAGTTGTCTGCAGGCGCTTGTCCTTTTCACTGTCACGATGGCTGTCAATAAAATAGCGTGAGGAATACTGTTGGTGGAAAGCTTAATTAATATTTACGTACTCGGGGAAATGATTCTGTGTGGTTGTGGGGGTTGATATGTCGTCAGCTGCGTCGTAATAGTCTTCATCCTCGTCGGACGAGGAGTATGAAAATTCAGGCACAGGGAGGTCCTTTGGGAGACTCGTTGATACACGGGGCTCTAGACATTCCAAGCCTAATTCTATACCCGTTTGTACTGTTGATTCAGGCTCTCCTCTGGCTGAAAGCCGATTGAATGCATTTTTAGGGAAGAAGTGAAACAAATATTGACATATTTCACGTGAAATCATCCATTCCTTGAATAAATGACGAAAATTCTCAATAAAAATTGGCAGATGTTCCGAGTACTTTAAATGGATTAAAGACAATCAATGCATCATAATTTTTCGCTGTAGGCGGCATGGAACGTCAATATTTCATGAAGGACGTTTTCATTGAGTCGAAAAACTCTCGATAATCATTCTTCATTCTTCAAGTCTTTAGATAGAATATTAAATCATCATTTTCTTTGAATTTATCATTGTACTGATCAAATTACCATGAGTCAACGTTGGTGTTGTAGTACCAGTACTGAGTGACGTGTCAGTTGGCCCCCGGTAAATACCATTAACGGGTATGGCAGTATTCTAGAAAGAGAAAACGTGTGAATTAAGCCGTCTGTGAATAAAGTGACAGAAAAAGTTCTGATTGATTCCAGCTTACCTTTGCTATTTGCAACTGTACAATCGTATGTTTAACTGAATTTAGCACTGCATTGGCCTGAGTCAGTATAGCTGCGTATTTTTGTTTCTTATCGTCCTCGTCATCCTTGAAATCCTTCTGTTTATCTTCGATTAACTTTATTTGATCGATCAGTAACTGAAGATAGGCATCAGCTTCCGCGACTTTGCGATCGAAGTCTTGTTTGGGAGGTGATTTTTTTGGATCCCAACGCTGCAATAAGGAGTGTTCAATCATCAAAATATTAAAGACAAACATGTAAGACGAGAGTAAATGTCTCATGCCAATGGAATGCAATAATTACAGCGTGGGAATGTCGCAAAATCGTGTCCTCCAGAGCGCGGACCCATCGTTCACGCTCTTCACCATTTCTCGTTTGAAAGTGAAATGTTTTTGGGTCATCCTTGGAGGACGACGTTGTTATCGTGAATGTACTGTCATCCTCATCATCAATACCAATTACAGCACCACGAAGTCTAACACAGCCACGACGAGCACCTCTCATCATCTTTTCTTTACTCTAGAACCGTATAATCCATCCAATTCATTTATTTCTTTGATGTTACAGAGGGAGCAATTCTGTAAAAAAATTCTAGGACTGTAAAGTAAAATTTCCAGTGCCATCACTGGAATTTTTCTAAAAAATTTCTCTCTGTGTACAAAAGTGTTTCTTTGTTTTACATCTTCATCAGCCTTTTATATCTCCTACCTTCTTCATTATTAAATAAGAATAGAAATATGTATAAAGAATTTTCTTTGCGAATGCAACTATATTTATGTTGTGTACATGACTACTCTATCTAGTATCGCTCTCCCACTTTCTTCTTAATTGAATAAGAGTATAATTATGTGTGAAGGATTTTCTTCGCAAATATAATTATATTTTATGTTATTTACATGCCTACTCTATCCAGTATCACTCACTCCTTTTCCCTACGTTATCTAGAGTATAGCAAAAAGCGTATTATTTATCAATTCTTCAAGAACTTGTTTGTTGGCTTTAATGTGATGAACTTTTAGGAGGATTCCATGACCGTTCACTCATCAGAACAGCCGTCCAAGCAAAATAACAACTTCATTAAGTACCCGAGATTGAGAACGGAGCACAATAGATAAAAATGGTGATTACCGTGTAATAAGAGAGTAATCCGGCATTATCATCCAGCACGAACCACCGATATTGCCACCCATTAACAACATTTGTCCATTTACTCAATGAACCCTCCATCGTTGACATTCGATAAATCGTGAATTATTTATATGCCTTCTTCAAAATTTTATTGTAAATCAGTAGACTCGTTCGAATAGCACACCTGGAGTCACTGTTATGTAAGATAATAAAGCGAAGAGACTAATTTTATAGAGTACTCCAAAAGGAAAATGCAGAATCACTAATGACTCTTGTTGATATCCTGCTCCAATTCATAAGTAAACAGTCGATCGATGGAGCAACGGAGAAACCGTGTTAAAATAGAGGAGTAAGAACACAGGTGGGGGTTTCAGTGATGATATGATTTATTAAACTTGTTAAATTGGTAAATTGTACTTGATTGTACTTGAACTGTTCACTCAACTACTTCCACCTTCGGCACTGAGGCCTTTGACGGTTTTTTCCAACCAAAAACTCGGACAAGTGAGGTTACATCTCACACGCCATCTGCTGGATCACGAAAATGGAGGGACCGCCAGTTATCTTTGGAATTTCGACCCGAAGTCCAACACACGCAGCTGGATAATGCCGTAAAAACGGTTGCATAAATAGTTATCGGGGTACACGCATGTTAGTGGTGTTCTGAGTATTAACAGGTATGTTTGATGTCATTTGTCTGTTATCAATTACGACTATGCACTGGAATTTACTCAATTTTGAAACAATTCTAACTTCTTGCTGAGAATATTTTGAGGAGAGTGCAATCTCATTTTACTTTTTTCGCATTTCTTTTCTTTTTTTCGTAAATAACGATGAGTTTAAGTTAAGGTTTTGCGGAAAATTGACGCAAATCCCTCTGTCACATGATTTGCAAAGCAGAATTCAACACGGAGAGACATATTCAATAAAAAAATTACGGATCTTTTCCGTAATTCCGGAGCGAAATGTGGTTGTAGGAAATTTTACGGAACTGTCGCGGAATTTTTCCAGAGCGTTCCGTAATTTTTACCTGAATCTCCTGTGAAAAATTACGATGTCGTCACTTGAATTTTCTAAGTCGATTCCGTAATCGGTGAGCGAACTATGAGTTCCGTAATTTTTACTGAACATTTCTCTCCGTGAAGGCAGGGATTATTCTTTTTTTCTTTTTATTGCAATGTGCTTCATTATTTCTTCACTGAGCTAGAGCGATTCAAAAGAAGGCTTAGACTTTACTGCGCATTAGTGCAATAGGCATTGCAAGGGCTTCACGCGCATGTACAGATGCAACTGCGTCATATGACCTGTCATATGACGGTCTTGTGTCACTTGACGAAGGCTTTAAAACAGCTGTCACGATCCCCCTCCCCTGGTCCGATTTTCCAGGAGAGAACGGCGGTACATTCTCATCTATATACATAAAATCATTCTTTTAATGCGAAAATTATTTATAATTGACAAATTCGGAATTTGTTACAGTCGCCATTATTCATCTATACAGACGATTCAACGACAATTTGCATGCAAATTATTTGTGACCGTCATTTGTAGGGGCGGGTGGGGTAAAATGGACACTTTAGACTTTTTTTTAATTGTTCATAACTCAGAAACAAATTTATCAATTGAGCTCAGTTTAGGCTCGTCACGAAGGGAAAGAATTGCTTTTTGTATTGAAAGAAAATTATTAAATTTCACTAACATTTTAACCCCTCATTAACATTTTAAAAAAAGTCAAAAGTGTCCGTTTTACCCCAACCTCCCCTAGTTAACAAAATCTGTGCGTCATATGACCGACATTTTAGGTCGTATGACGCGATATAGAAAGTGACGGTCCACGGGCATGCAACTACAGTTCCATTCACATGCGTGCACACCCGCACTTCGCGTTGACAGTAAACAAACCAAGTGCATTCAGTGCGGTTATCAAATGGTGTTTTCCCCGGGCCCTTCCCTAATGATCTATCGCGAATGGTGTTTATTCAGCATTATGAGTATGCACATCCACTCCTATGATTTATTGTTAAAACAATGAGTTATCAACAATACTCCACAATAATATATCCATCCGCCCATTGTTGTTAACAAATGTGGAGAGTGCCAACGAAAATTTACCATTGAAAAATTGCAAGCCTCATGATGTCGGAAAGTACAAACCGCAAGAATGGGCTTTATTTTTGGATAAAAATAATTCTGTATCTTCCACTCTTCCAAGGTATGTGGTATTTACGGATAATAATAAATAACAGTAATTAAAACTGAGAAGATGAAAAACAGGATAATAAGAGTGAATAAATAAATGTACTAATGAAAGCAAATGAATTAACAAATAACACACAATTGAATGGAGGAATAGGAGTAGATTCAAGTGTCCTTGATGTTATCACATATTTATTGATTTATTACTGATGAACTTGGCCTCAATTTCGACGCACAGGTCAACAATTTTGATAACTAAGGCTAACTTTTTACTTTGAAATTGTGGACGAATTAAGCTGGAATGGGTTAAAATGAAATGATGATTATCGTCATCACATATGAAAATTATTCTTAGTTTTGACGCTTAATTATTGTTTTTCCCTTAGGGGAGTCCAAGTTTCCGGACATTTTAACATGATTTTATTATTTAAACTTTGCAGTTATGAATTTAAATCGGAATTTGCCTGAAATAATTGAAAAATTTCAAGTTTTGAAAATTACGAGCATTTTCTATAAATAATTTATAAACAATCAATTTTCCATCATAAAAATCATTTGTTTGCAATCGTAAGAAATTTATTCATATTCAGAATTTTACCAGAAATCGACTTCATGCCTAAAAAAATAAGGTTTCCGAAGGTTTAAACAATTTCAATTATTCATTTATAAACAACGAATGTGTAAAAAAATTATAATTCTGTGCAAAATTCAAATTTTGAAATTTTTTCACGTAATTTAATTGATAAATTTGATGATTGAAAATGGTTGAATCTATCTATAGTACGATCCGTACCAAACTGTAAAAGACACTTGGATATCCTCAAAGTCAGTTGGTAACGAGGAAAACGAAAAAAATGTAATTGAAAAATTCTAGGAAGTCACCAATTAGTGCCAGAAGCGAGTCAAGAGGGTTCTCTCCACATATTCAGGACCTACAGCGATGTAGCAACATTTCACTACACTGTTCCTAAAGAGGTGCATCGTGCCACTTGGCAATTTGCAGCTTTCATGGACGGTAGTAACTGCATCCCCAGAGAGGTCAATATTTACTTGCAATGGGGGAGTTATCCAATCATTGCAGTTGACAATGCATCATTTCCCATCGACATGAATGCAGAGCGAAATGACACTATTATCATAAAAACATTGACAACATACGAGGCTGAAACGACTGTAGTTTTGCCGATAAATAGTCCTGAGCCCGGCGAGTGGTACGTTGGCGCCTACATGACTTATTGGGATGAGAAAGTACAGCAGCAAGGCCTTGGACACAAGTGTCACTACAGCATTGGCTCGGTGGCTATATGGCAGCAGGTAAATGGCATTCAGAATGTACCCATCGCGCAGAAATACACGATGAGAACAACACAGCCCTCGACTTATTACAAAATCTTCATTCCCTCCGGCACATGGAGCTTCAGAGTCACTATCTGGGGATGCGAATTCCTGTTACGATTGCACAACGTCACTTCTGACTCTTGTATCAAGGATATGGCACTTCAGGGACGTGCTCTCCCCTTTCTCGATCACACGAAAACCGCGATAAACCTCGCAGCTAATGGCACTTATACTTTTGAAGAAGTCACACCGTTTGAAGACAGCTATTATTATCTACTGGTGATTGCTAGTAGTATAGTTGATTTTAATATCAAAGTTTCGATTTCGGGTGAGTTTTCATCATTCATTGCAAATCAATATTTTTAGTCAGTCGTTTTCAGAATATTTGAATTATTGATTTGAGAAAATAATACAGTTTGAGTATTGACAAAAATTTGAATTAAAAATGATGTTTTGAATTGAGGAATTTTCAAAGATACATCTGTCCATGAATTTTCATTCCAGAATGTCCAGTACAAATTACTGAAAGTACCTTAACCCGTCAGTGGGCATCAAGGCTCAACACGAGCCTCCAATTTCATTCGCCAGAATTTTACAAAAATTTGATCGCATTCGAAGGCTCAGAGAATATATCGAGCGATCCATGCGCTCGACGATTCCAATTGATACGTGTGAAACAGCTCCCAACATTTTCGGGGGTCTTCTTGCTCCAAGGGAGAGAGTGGCTGACTCCGTGGATTATGCTGACAGACACCAGTCCAGTCATTGCTCAATTCGATATTCTCCCACTAGTTGATATCGGTGGATCACTGGCGATGGGCATTCACTTGGAGATTGATGAAGCATTTATGAAACAAACAGTGGTCGTTTTTATCTGCGTAAGAAGGGGACGAGCGCCATGGAGAAAGAAAGGAGAGATATTTTGTGATGACGACAAAATGACGATGAGACTTGAAACCAATGGGAAACACGATGGAAGTTTGTTGATACCGTATCCACAGCCTGACACGTGGTACATCGGGCTGCAAGCCAGATGTTTTATTGACGGGTGGGTTTTATATTTCAAATATCTATTTTAAAAAATAGCCATGTTATTTCCACCAAAAATTGAAAAAATTGAAATTGTCCCCATGTAGATGCGTCTGTTACATAAATAGTCTATTTGAGATTGAAATAATGTCAATGACATTCATTCACCTCAACTAATAATTCTCCAGGAAACCAACAAGGTGTGAAGTGGGAGAGATCCTGGTGTCTCTCGATATAAGAACTCACCAGTGTGTCTTCCCTGGTTCCCATCCGTGTGGACATCACGGTGTCTGTCAAGAGATTCATCGCAACTTCATCCACTTCACAACGTGCAACTGCTTCGGTGGTTACAAAGGCTGGGGCTGCACAGACTCAACAAATGCGTACCAACAGCCGTCCCTAGTACTTTCTTCCCTCATGCTCATCCTCAGTAATTTATGTTTCATACCTGCTATTTATTTAGCCGTCAAACGCAGACTCTACACCGAAGCTCTAGTTTACCTAGCTACGATGTTATTCTCATCGCTCTATCATGCTTGTGATCAGAAGTTTATGACTTACTGCATTGCCAAATATCAAGTTCTGCAATTCAGTGATTTCTTTAGTAGTATACTTGCATTTTGGGTGACACTCATTGCAATGGCGCAGCTACCAGTACAATTTATTTCCGTCTGCCATATGTGTGGGGTACTTATTATTTCGTTTGGTGTTGAAGCTGATCGAACAAGTTTGACCAGCATTTTAGTACCTCTCACTATTGGTGCTATGATACCTATTGGTGTTCATTCGTATCGATGTTATAAGTCCAAAGTTTGGAAACTACCTAATGGAGATGTTAAATTACTGGTTGGACTATTATTGGCCACTACTGGGCTCATTTTATTCTCGGCGGTTGAGACTGAAGCAAATTACCGGTACGTTCACAGTTTATGGCATATGATTATTGCATTTTCGTTGGTATTTTTGTTACCAGCGCGAGATGTTGGACCAGGTGACTTTGACAGTGAGGAGTCAGCTGGCTCTGACAGGGAATTGATAGATCAAGAACATGACACTCCTGTGTTCACGATTGTCTGTAGACAAGTCGATTTGACTATTGGGAATTGAAAATTTTATTGCGTGCACATTGACAGAAAAACGAACATGTTCTGAAACAAGTAGTGTTTGAACCAAGTATATCGCAAGTTAAAAATTACTAAAATATAAAACCCAGTGCTGATCATTTGAAGACTGTCTCTAAGTGAACAATTTTTGTTGCAGAAACTTCGTTATTTTATACTGAGAGTACTTTTTGGTTTTGACTATTCAGTAATCGAAGATAAGAAATTAATTCTTGAGTGGAATAATAATGAGGATATGATAGCAATCCTGCAATTTCGAAAAAAAAATTCTTGATAAATTAAAATTATATGGTAAATTCAAATTCAAATGGAACTATTTTCTTTTGGTCATTTTCAACGTGCAATTTTCTTGGTTCATTCAAGAGTAAGAGAGAAGTTGTTTGAGACCCTGTTCGATTTTCTCTTGGTGTAGGACTTTTTTCTTCTTAGTTTTACTGTTTTATTACCTATGATTACGGTGTAGATCAATAAGTTGATTTTTTCAAGTTTTTATGTTCAGTTTATTGTCCGTGAGATTTTTTTTCAACTGTCATTATGAAGAATCTTGGATGTGCCAAAGTTGAAAACGAATTACAATAATAGGAGACGATGGAGTCACCCTCTTCTCGTGCAATATGCCAAAGTATCGATACTCTCGATGTTTTTTGTCCAGAGTTTTTGATGTTTCCATGACATAGTTGTAAGTTAGATCAGAAATTTTATGAATATATATTGAGATGTGAAGGAACTAGGAGACTAGGCATAAATAGGTGTATCATATTTTGTTATCATCTACATGTGATTATTTTTTATTACAAGTGGATTACTGACATGTTATCATTCTGTACGGGCATTCGCTGCAAAGCAAGCTCGGAAGCAATAAACCTACTCAATTCAACGAAAAGCGTGTCTTTCATATTTTCACACTGTGTTAATACCCGAATTTTCAGGTTTTCCGTATTCAACAAAACGAAACGGATTCTGATTTTATTTTCCAAAGCATTTGCCATTTCGAGGATTTCTTCGCACCTGAAATGGTTATTATAATAAACATTAGAGATTCATGATGAGAGACGAATTGTAAATTCTTAGTTACCAGCGAATTGTAGACTCCAATTGCTCTCGTTCTTTGTGCACATTCTCTTGCCCACAGGATTTTACAATATCATCGATTTTGGACAGACGCTCCACGTTTAAACCTGATACTCTGAACTCTTCGAGCTCTTCCAATCCAGCCTTTATCTCTTGAATATGGAAATAGTATTGATAATTTATATTATATGTTATATTGTACCGCATCATTGCTGTCTACCTTGTTCGACGGTATTCGTTAAATCTCTCACAGCTCCATCAGAATGTATAAAATTATCATTCTCTCTCGATTGCGCCCCAAATTTCAAAATCCTGGTGAATTCGTCTGTTGAATAAATATATTCAGTAGTCACCGGAATGATACCGTTCAAAGCTGCACCAATTTCGTTCAAATCAGGGCTGAATGACACTAAATTATTGTCAGATAGATTGACCTCGATGTGAAACAAAGGCTCTGAATCAGCCACAGAGGCTACCCGAAAAAATTTCAGTGCAGACATTAAAGATCCTCGAACATTTCTGATGAGGGATCGCTTGAAAATTCCGATAACTTCAGTGACGTACATCGTCCAATGTCTGGGAGTGGATTCTCCGTACTTAGCTTTGCGATGCAATACATATAAATCGGAAAGTATGGATTTACTCGATTCTTTCATTAAAAATGAGTTTTCACTGCTGATTAATTCCAGATATTCTTTGAACTGTTCGAGGGTGTAAGAAACATTATCAGTGCCTTTTATAAGTAGAAATTTCGCTATATCTTCACACGAAGAGCGAATATGAGCGTCTGTAGCTGTAAACACTTCTACTACGTCCTTTAATAAAATAATATTCTTCAACCACTCAGCATAAATCTTATCGATATTCTCCACAGCCCACGTGCACTTCGGTAGAGCAGGAGTGATTGAATTTTTCACTTCATTTATAGCATTCTCTAATAGCAGTCGTTCCTCCTTATGCAGGCGTTTTACGATAGAGTTATATAGGTCGCATAAATATTTAATCTTCATATATCTCAATTTGATCGGCTGCCATTTCTGGAGGAACTTTGAATTCATTGCTTTTGAATCATATTTCAGATATTTCCATTCTATTACTTCTCGCATATTTTGGATGTATGATTCGTCCATATTTACAGTGAGAAATACTTCGTCCGGTGGTTTCAGGAACGCAAGAACTGGTTCTTTCAAGATATTTCGAATTTCCACGTCAGATTGAACGTCTCTTTCCCAAAGTGAGAAGAAGGAGTTTTCTTTTTCGGTAATGGAACTTTGGATCTGTTTATATTTTTTTATGATGCGTCTGTAATGATATTACATTTATTAATTCAATCATCGAAAAATGATTCAACATAAACTAATTTGAGCGGCGCAGGGGGTCGCGATGCGATTGGAAACTGTCATTGTGTTTTAAACTTACTCTTGAACATTGCTGTCCCCCAGCCAATCGGAAGCATTAATCATAATATTGAATTGATTCGACAGATAATCGATCTGAATCCTCAGAAGCATCGCGGCTTCAGCATTGCGTGTGATTGTTGTCTCATCAAGAATGTTCTCCTCTTGCATGTCAATGTTTTTCAATTCACTTTCGAAAATCTTCCACACGACCGTCCAATAATGCCGAATGGTCTCTTGCAAATTTCTCCTTGTAGCAAATCTCTTCATAGCGTATAGCGCCTCTATACCCTCCTCGATGTTCTGAACATCTTTGAATATCTCGTGAATCAGGTTTTTCACCATGTTGTCTATATTCTGAATGCGCTCGCTAAGCGATACTATCCGATCCAACCAGATATTCGTCGTAACGTCTAAAATAAAATCACGAATTTCTTTCACTTCTTCCAAGATATCAGAGAAAGACTCTTCGATTTTTTTGTATTGCAACTCGTGTTCCATTCCTCTGGCTCCACCGATCATCTTCACCTCCTCGCAGGTATCGTAGACAAATCTAGCGTCGGAAAATTCGATGAGGTCTTGGCACCTTTGGATAAAAATGTTTACGTGACAAAATGCTATTGTCTTGTTTATTTTCGAAATAACTGGGACTTCTGACCGCGCGTCCATTTGAGACAGTCTTTCGAATATCTGGAGAAATTCTTGGCAACAATTGATGGAATTCTCCAGCATTTTCTTCCCCTCGCTTACATCACCTTCGAGAATTGTATCTAAATTTACGTAGCTCTTGCATTGTTCGATTATTTGGGTACCGAGGGCTCGACATAATGTATCAATTTTATCCCTGGGGACAGATGAAGAATATCAAAAACTATTTTCATCACATTGCCCGTAAAATGTCGTTTTAAGGACACTTCATTTCCGTCGAACGCCGTTTACGGATATTGTGAAGAAAAATTATGTTCGTCACTCAGCCGAAAACAACTTTCGTCAACTTCCGTCAGAAAAGTCTTTCGGCCTAGTGACGAAAATAGCTATTGCGGTCTTGTGATATAAATAGCTATTCTCGCATTGTTTTCTTGTTCAAAGAATTCGTTTTTTTCAACTCACGCGCTGGTGTAGAATTTAGAATCTAAACCCACGAAACGAATCTGATGCAGTATTTTCGTTGAATATGCCTCAATGCCGTTGGGAACTTCGAAGTCCGTACAACTGTCTACGAATAAATTCAAATACATGACATTGGAACTTGCTTCTGTTACTAATTCATGCACTTGCGTTGTTAGGGGGTGAAACTGTTGCACACTTGAGGAATCGACTTCCTTCAATGTTTTCACTATTGTCAAAATCGAGGTATCGTTGAGCTGGTGATGAAGACAACTCAAATTTTCAACTGCAGAAGAGGAAACAGAGAAACAGTGTATGTCAGGGCGAGTGCCATGGGATTTTTTACTTGTACGGTGTTGGCGTCCGAGCCGAAGGCGAGGACTGGCCAACCACGCAATTAAAAAAACCCCGTGGGACTATTCGCGAACGACATTCTGCCGTAGTGATTTTCACTTTTACAAGTTTGAGTAAGGGCCAATGCCAGTCCCTGGACGAGGAAAAGTGAAGTACGGAAAGCGGATTTTAGCAATGAAAGTATGAGAAAGAAGGATCATAATTATCGAGGCGACAGGATTGAGTTCCTCAATTACATCGGTAATTCCAGAATTCTATTTCATCCATGATAGTTCCGCAAGTGGGACGTGGTGGTAAATCAGTTCCTTCTAGTGCTCCCCTTATTTGCTTTATCCAGTATCGAGCAACTCTCTCTAATCTCTCAATAAACCCCTTTTGATTTTTATCGTTGCAAAGAAGAGATTCGGTTTTATCGTCCTGTATTCCTTCCCGCGGAACGTGAAGAATTGTCAGGCCCATAGGACCATACGTAGCATCCGTCAACTTCATGAGGAATTGATTCAAATCCGAGAAAATTTCATCCCTCATAACTAAAAAAAACGTCAGAATGAAACTGATAATGCTCCTTCGGTTTTTGTTATTGCACGCACGAAAAAAAAAATCATAGAACAACGTAGCGAATTCGCTAGACAGTTTTATTCGATTTTTATTATATTCTATTAGTTTTTGGCCGATTCTATTGAAATGTTCAATAGAAAGTATTCTATAAATATATTTTTTAATTCCATTTTTTCCAATTTATCTTTTCATCACGCCGAGCAGATTCTATAAAAAATATCTGAATAGAATGAGGTGTACAGAAAAATCTAATTCTATCGACTATTTTTATAGAATATTTGAAATGTTGAATGAAATTTTCAAAAAACTAATAGACAATTCAATAGAAATCCAATAAAATTGTCTAGCGAATTCGCTAGATTTTTCCATAAAATTTTTTCACACGTGTCTACTTTCTGGACGTAATAAATCGTTTGTACTATATAATCGATTTCATATTATACAATTGAATGACAGACCTTCAGGCCACCTATCGCTGTGTACAGCGATCGGCGAATACATAATTTCTAAAAATTTTAACATCGAATTTTCAATGTTGCCACTGAAATTCCCAAAAATCACGGTCGACATGAAGTTTTCGGGGGTGTAAACTTGCCAAGGGGACCTCAAGAAATAAGTCAAGCCCTGATCAGCTTGAAGGGGAAAGTCTAGGAGAGCTTTACACTCTGTTGCTTCGAAAAAAATTGTCAATATGGTATTCCCAGGGTTGTGGAAGTACTCTTGGATCCGTTCTATGGTTTCCAACGGCCAGACGAATTCCACATCCGATGGAATTATTGTCAAGTCCTTCACGCACTGCACCTGCAGAATGACATTAAATTGTGTTGCATAAATTACAACATTTGGGGGTCAAGATATTACTTAAGACGATTAAGACATCGGCGTTTTTTTCATCAAGAGAGATTATTTAAAATTCAATTTTAATTTAATTAATTTTTTTTAACCAAAATTTTTTTCAATTTCATTTAGTTTACTTTTAATTTTAATTCAATTTTTTTTCCTATAAATGAAAAGAAGTAGATTGTGTTTTTTTTTCTCACAAGTCTTTCCAATTCCTCATCCGTGAAGACCGGTTTTTCCGGCTCTGGAGGGAGTTCCTCGTCTGGCTCAGGGGTTTCTGGGTAAAATGAGGGATAAAATTGAGTGTTGGATTTATCGTTGGTGATATGGAGTTTTTACCTTGACGTCCGAATTCTTCCTCGTCTGTATCCATATCTAGATAGTCTCTGCAGACAGGAGGAGGCGCTTTTTCCATCCCTTTCCTGATTTTCTTGGGGTCTATCGAGTCTGCTCGAATTGTTGCCATTTTTGCTCATTTAATTTATTTGTTTAATGGTAAGACAGACTCCCTACTTATAGTTTATCCTCTATTTCAATCAATCTTATTTATAATCTATCTTGTGATACCCATTAACACGTCCTGTTGCATCAATAGAAAAAATAAAGAAAAAAATGCTGCTTCTCTTCTCGTGTTTATATATTTTTTCCCGGGTCAGAGGGTCTATAAACCTGTTGTATAATTGGAGAGACTTTCGTTAGCGAACGTTAGGGAAAATGTTATTTCAAAGCACAACTGGAAACAGACAGCCATTGCAGAAAACTTGAGACCTTTTCCTGATGTAATATTGATCAAACTAAACCCCATGGATTTCATATACTGCAGACATTCGCGGGCTGCACCACGTGCTCACTCCATAGTGCCACACTTGCTGTTGTCATCTTCTAGATATCGAAAGGACTGTCTAATATCCGCGCAAAATGTAAACTTGTGTCGGAACGTTATCTCAAAGTCACCTAGAAGACGCAATAGAAAAATTTATACGGAGATGTTATCAAAATGTATCTCTTTGACTCTTCGCCACACGTTAACATTTCGTGTGAGAATTAGACAGTCTTTTTGATGTTTTAAACTTGACTTCCACAAGTTTGCTCCTCGGATTATATCTCTCCGATATACGTCACATGTTTTTAACAATATTCCAGCATTATGCGGCACAAGAGCTATTGGGAAAGTCAAACAAGACCCCGGGCAAGTTTACAAGTTAAGTACGTAAACTTCCTCTTGCTTATCTCAATTATTCATCACTTCCGAAAATGCCGACTAGACAAATTTTCTAGTGATTTCTACTCTTGGGCCAGTGTTTTCTCGGCTCTCGGTGTATGAATATCATATATTTTCACCATGATGACATGGAATAAGTTCATGACCTTTGAAGACGTTGAGCTTTCAAGTAAATTATTCTAGTCTAATTTAATAATCTTTTATTTCTATTTTCAGCGATTTAATCGGTGTAATTTAATATGAAAAAGTCTGTAACTCATCGGTATTATTGAATTATGCCTGTTCCAGGGGATTTGAGTGGGGATGTCGGTGGGCCTTCGACAATGAACACTCACCTATTCCTCGGGCCAGTTGTCCATACAAAGGATAATGGAGAGCTCGAGATTTTCAAAAATGGAATGATCCTTGTAAAAGATGACAAGGTAAACGAATTGAAATTCGTTCATAAAGACAGTCCACAATTGACACAGCTCAGGTTGAAATGAAATGAATATAATTATTTTCCAGATCGTGAATGTTGGAGAGGCTTCATCAAATATGGACGCAACGGCGGAGAAAATAACTCATTTGCAAAAGGGGCAGTTTCTGATTCCAGGATTCGTTGACTGCCATATTCATGCAGTTCAATTGCCGAATCTAGGAATTGGATATGATAGATCTTTAATGGAGTGGCTCGAGAAATATACATTCCCATTGGAGAAAAAATACTCCGATGTAGAATTTGCTGATAGAGTTTACGATGCTGTAGTTGTGAGTATATACACAAGTAGTTGCTCCCCCCTCCCCCTGCACCCGACGTTTCCCAAACAGTTCCCTCCATCAAGACAATTAAGACATCGGCATTTTTTTCATCAAGAGATTTTTTTAAATTCGATTTTTATTTAATTAATTTTTTTTCTTATAAATGAAGAAAAAGTATATTGTGTTACTGATGCGTAAAGTTCCACTTTTTTAAACGCACGTGGAACACATTTTATTTATTCACTCGATTTGATCGCGGTTTTTGGACCCAGTGACATAAAATACTGTATGTCACATGGCGATAAAAGTATTATCTGACGAATGTCATTGTAGTACTCGCCTTCGGCTCGGATTCACGCGCGAAAACATTTAATGGAAAACCTAGCGAATTCTTTAGGAAATTCTGTTGGATTTCTATTGAATTTTGTATTAGTTTTTACGAACACAGTTCGTAAAGCCTCGTTTCATTTACGCTGCGCCTATTTAAAAGCCACTCACCGAACGTTGCGACAAAATAGTATAGTTCGATGCGAGCGAAACACACTCGCAAAAATTCCCGTCTCACGTGTGTGTCGGACATTATTTTTTGACAGTGATGTTATGTTCAGCGAGTGGCTGAACTGTGCCTTTTTCGTTTACGAGTAAACGAAAAGACTTTTCGTTCGTCTTTCATATCATGATTACAAGTAAACGAAAAGGCACTATTCGGCACGAGGTGAACGTAGCAATAGTGTCAAGAAAGTGTTTTGTGATTCGTGGAAGATGCGCTCGCCGAAGGCGAATTGATTTTCCCACATGTGTCGAATCCTATTTTTCATCACACCGCGTGGAAAGTGTAAATTTCATTTTACGCATAAGTGATGGAAACAAGTTTTCCGTAAGGTTCTAAAACTTTCAGAAAAGATAAGAAATTTTCTAGAGCTCCTCAGTAAGAAAGAAAGAAAAATACACATTCATTAATTTCGCACAGAGTCTGAACTAAAAAATTTGACGTCTTCAATATCATAATTTTCGAATTCTTCTGGATTCATTAGTTTATGCTGTGTATTAATATATCAGTCTCCCTAAAAGCGGCCCTTTCCATATCCAAGAGCATGGAAAGGTTGAGTAATCAGTTATTGATGCTTGAATTTCCCTGCAGAAACAAACATTGAATGTAGGTACAACAACTGCTTGCTACTTCGCTTCGCTCTACGGAAAAACTTCCGCAATTCTAGCAGTGAAAGCATTGAAGTATCGACAGAGGGCTTTCGTAGGAAAAGTCAATATGAACGCAGCTCGGGATGATGGGTATTGCGAGACGACTGAAGAGTCTATTCAAGCAACAACAGAGTTCATCAACGATGTCACCAGTTTTGGAGTTAGTAACAGATTTCTCAAATATATTGTTTCAATCATTCAATCAATCCCAGCGAGAGAGCAGAAATTTATTAATACCACACAATTCCATGACGATATCTCAATCTCTCGAATTTTCATTGCTTGAATTATGAACTTGATAGAAAGGTTTCTCATTAGGATCCACTGGTGAAACCAATAATAACTCCACGATTCGCCCTCAGTTGTGACATGGATCTGTTAACGAAACTTGGTCAATTAGCGGTGGCTAACGATGTCCATGTGCAGGTGAAAGATGGAATGTCAATAGTAATCTCGTTTGAAATTTCATCAATTAATTATTCTTTCTATTTCAGACACACGTTTCTGAAAATCTATCAGAAATTCAGTTATGTAAAGAGATGTTCCCAGAATGTCCAAATTACACTAGTGTCTATAACAAGGCTGGGCTGCTCACGAGAAAGGTAATAAGAATGAATGAATAATTAACTCCTTGAATAATTGACTGGAATTCTAATTCTCATCCAGACAATACTTGCTCACGGAGTCCATCTGGAAGGCGCGGAGTTGGAAATATTGAAAAATCGAAAGACCTCTGTCATCCACTGTCCAACGTCAAACACGTGCCTTCGCAGTGGTCTCTGTGATGTCAAAAGACTGAGATCGAGTGGAATAAATGTTGGATTGGGGACAGACGTGGCGGGGGGAAATAGTGTATCTATGCTCGATGTGATGAGATCTGCTATTCAAGTGTCGATTCATCTTTCATTTTCTAAAGAAGAATATGAACCTCTGAACTACGTCGATGTCCTTCACCTGGCTACATTGGGTGGCGCCAGAGGTAAACTCTAAACTTGCTAAAGTCGATTGCATTTATATCACTGGAACTCTCATATCTCTCTCTTCATACAGCACTGGCAATAGAGGATCAGGTGGGCAGCTTTGAGCCCGGAAAACAGTTTGATGCTCTTCTGATTGATACAAACAGTACCAACGGGCCACTCAAAAATTTATCTGAATGGGATGTCGAAGAAGAGCTGCAGAGATTCATTCACTCTGGGGATGATAGAAATATTGCTCAGGTTTTCGTTGCTGGTCATCAAGTTAAATAACAGTTGGGCAACAATTTTTGATTACCAAATATTCGTTGTTTTTGGGGAGACAACTCCACTTTCATGTACGCACATAACACCCTCAATTGGGTTTACTACACTCAAATACTTTCATACTTACGTCCTAATTTTAGTGCGTTCAACCCCCAGATGAGCTCAGGTTTTCGTTGTTGGTCGTCAAGTTAAAAGATTCATTATTTTTCTATAATTACACTTTCATCTACGCAGTTAATACCCTCAGTTGGGGTTGCTACACTCATGTACTTGCATAATTACCCTTCATTAAGGTACTTGATCACCTCCTCAGATAATTTTAATGCGGTCAACACGAGGATGATTTCCGAATAATTAAAAAAAAATTGAAAAATCTTAGCTTTTAATGTTAAGAGTAAATCCTGCTCTTGAACACAAACATTTTCCCATTCAAAAAAAATGAAATTTGAATATTTTTACAAATTATTTTTTTAAAGCTAGGATATATACATATAGGATATAGGTTTAGAAAATAGGAAATCTGCATGTATATTTTGGATATTGAGTCGAAAATATAATTCTTTCAATGTCAAACAGGAATTCTGTACTGTAATAGATCTGTGTAACTATTGATGAATTTCTAAAAACCTCTTTACACTTCGTGAACATTGTTCATACGCCTTGAAAAATCCTGTACAATCTTGATCCTGAACAAAATGCGAAATATGATTATCAAGATGATAATTTATCATTGATATGTGAATATGCAAGATTTACTGACGCAGAATGGATCTCTGATTATAACGTCTCCCTCTGGGTCATATTTCCCAAGCAATTCAATTTGGGCTTTGCTGCTCTCCGGTTTAACTCTGCTCAACTCATCTATATTAAAATCATCCATTCCCAGGATCCAATCAAATTCGTGAAAATCGTCATTTGTTATCTATTAATTATACAATACTTATTAGTATTTTTATAACTCCGGCCGTGGGGCCGTGGGCTCGGAAAACATTACTTTCCGCCCTTGGTGCACAACATACTATTTCGGCCTTATGTCAAAACCCACCAATAAATTACAGTAGACTTCCGTTATAGTCGCACCCCTGGAGCTGCGGGGGAATTCGATTTGGCGAATGCGACTACATTTCCGTACCCCCGCCATGCACCCTAATTTTCGAAAATTTAATGTAAAAGTTTTTTTCATTTACTAAGAAAACACGATGTGTTTACATTCGGGAGTCGAGAGTGGTAGGGAGTGGAGGAAGTCTTCACGCGGGAGAAAAAACGATTAAGGGGAAATGCGAGTATAACGTCAGTCCACTACGTATTCGAATTCGAGATGGAAATGGGCCAGGGAGAACGAGCATACTGTTCTAGCGAGATGTGAATAATTCGTTATTCCATTTAATCTTAGGGTCGTCTGTGCTCGAATATCCGGCATATTATTCACATGATAATCCCTCAATGCAGCGCTGTCAACGCACCAACGGTTTGAGAGATTCATCTGTGTTATGTAATTGATGAAAATAGCTTCTGCCATCGGGGATCTACAGGTGTTTCCTGCACGATACATTTGTTCGTTCTCAAAACACTCATTGCAGACACAATTTTTAGTCAAGACTGAATTGCATAAGTCACTCACCTAAACAAACCATCAATACTTTCTTTCGCTCAGACATTTCGTAGTTTTTTATGATCAATAAACCGTTGACATTCGAAATTTCCTCGGTTTCGAGAATGGGTTGGGCCACGTTTAAGGTGCACAAATTCAATCGCAACAATTGCATTGTACGATGCAATGTTTAAATTGCACGTGGCGCCGCTGAATGCTTTTTTCGGAATCAAAGTATTGCTTCGGGTTTATTCATAGTATAAATTAATTTGTTTGATTTGTTTTTTGAATTCAGAATGTTATCAATTTCTATGCTTTTGTAGAAATTGTTCGACACTTCTCACATTTTGCTTGTAAGTTTTGAAGAACTCAGCAGTCGCTGTCCTGAAAAATCAGGAACATGGAAATCAGAATGGTTGCTTTCGCTCAAACATTTCGCATTTTTGTTATGATCAACAAATTGTCAACATTCTCGTTTCCCTTTATTTTGAGGATGGGTTGCAGCTGGTCTAAAATGCATAAATTCAACCGCAAAAATTCACTGAATGCTTTTTTGACAAATGAAATATCGCATCAGATTTATTTATAGTATATTCCACACACATGTCTATAAAAATTCATTTATTTAATATTTTTGGAATTCAGAATGTTATCATCAATTTTTATGCTCTTGTAGAAATGCTTCAACACTTCTCACACATTGCTCGTAAGCTTTGACGAAACCAGCACTGTCGCTGTCCTGAAAAATCAGAAACATGGAAATTAGCTATCAACAAACCGATGACTATTCCTTAAAATTCACCGAAACAAATCAAACAATTACATAGTATGGATCTCTGATTATCGTCTCCCCATTCGGATCATAGGAACCGAGTAATTCAATCTTTGCTTTACTCCCGTCTGGCTGCATCCCTTCAAGCTCAGCAATATTGTTGTTGTCCATTCCAAAGATAAAATCGAACTTGTCAAAGTCACCAGCTGTTATCTGAAGAATTCATATCGATGAATTCAGATTAATTCTTCCATTTTTATTTCTTAATCATTCATTTTGGGACTCACCGGCCTCGCACGATGCGAGTAATTTGTTATCCCCTTGTCCCTCAATGTTGACATGGCTCGACGATCAGGAGACTTGCCTGTGTGATATCCAATCAATGCTGCACTGTCAACATTCCAAGTGTCTGTCAAATTGTTTTTTGATATGTAATCAGCAAACACTGCTTCTGCTATAGGTGAACGGCAGATGTTGCCTGAATAAAAGATGAAAATTGAAAGATGAAGACCAAGCACTTTATTTTATATCATTATTATCATATCATTGTACCATTATTTTATATAATTTATATCATTATTAACTAGGGAGCTTCGGAACGCTCGAATCGTTAAATTGTGAGGCTCACGTTTGAATCTTTCCATTTTTACCCTCATACTCCGATATTCTGACTGTTATATTCTGGCATTCATTTTCTGACCCTCATTTTCTGTTTTTTTAATGAGTCTTGTATTCTCACTCCTCTGTTAACCCTTCTCTTGATTTTTTGTCTTAATTTCCTATCTTCGCAAGTCAATTCGGATTTTTATAATACGCAGAGATTTTTATAAATGATTACCTAAACAAATCATTAACACTTTGCGTTTTTCTGACATTGTTTGGCGTTTTTAACTGATCGTGAAACGGAATGTTTTGGTTAGACTCTTCACAAACCGGAGCCTGTCACTGTGCAGTGTGCAGTGCTGTGTAGCTGTGTGATTGGAGGGATTGGAGCGAAGGTCATGCATCAGCTGTCTCAGGAAACCCAACCTCAAAACACGTGGCACGTGAGTCTGTTATGAAGCGCTGCAAAGCACTAGTGATGCTGTGATCATCAATCAAAAATAAGTGACCAGAAATTAGTGAAGATGTGTGTCAATAAGAACTCTCAAAGTGTCATTTTATGACACATTGTGGTGAACTAGTTAATTAGAGCAATTAAGAGTGAATCATGTCAAAAACGAGGGACCCCGCGGCTAAAGAGCGTTTGAAAATTCAGGATCGTGCTTTGATTTATCTCCAAGGAGAAAATTGGCTCTACGACGACCGTCACTCAGTTTTTTCTTATGACACGCCAGGATTAAATTTGAATAAAAATCCGTGGATCGAGGAATGGAATGTGGAAACTGCGAGGAGCCTTTATCAGCCATTCCCATGGCACTGTGATTATCCGAAGCCTCTGTTGCCTCCTGCTAGATTGTCCAGGGGTGGTGGGTGTCTCACTTCCTTTCATTTTTTATTACCTTTGATAGATATTGATACGTTGAATTTTTATTATCATTAAAACTCTCCAGAAGGTGACTCTGCACTGCCACTAACCGTCTTAAGAGAGATTTTATTCACAGGAAGAAAAAAAAATAGAATAAAGTGTTTTATATTTTATCTGGTATAGTCCTTAACCGTTAAACCCTGATATTCCCTTTCATTCCTACTTTTATCATGAAGAAAATTATTTTATGCTTTTTATTGGCTGCGAGGAGTTAATTTTTAGAGATAAATTGAAATGGGGGTGATTAACGTTATCGTCGCCTTCTCATTTTCTCTTCTTGCTTTTAGTTCTCTGTCAAGATGATCCTGGACTAGATTTCCTCTGGAAAAAGACTTACATTGCGGAGGATGTAGAACACATGGGCAGATACTTCAAGCGTAAATTGAAAAGTAATGAAACAATTTATTCAACAATTTAGTTTCGAAGGTGTAAAACGTGATGAGTCAACTCCAACTAAAGGAGATTTTTTTGAGAAATCGTTTTGAGTTTCAAGGAGATATGATTAATTTTTTGACGTCCCTTTTCCTAAAAACAATGAAATTGACACATTTCGTTTTACGAATCAACTGTTGAATTAAACATAAATTCCAATCATGATCGTACGTTGAGGCTGTATAAAATTAATTGATTTTTAGATTTGGATTTGAGCGTGAAAGATATAGAATTCAAAACTGCAGGATCGATATCTACAACGGCTCTACCCAGATTCGTAGCAGATCTATCAGAACTGATGGGCATGGATCCAGACCCTGAGTTCAAGGGGAAATATAATTACTATTTCAGTGGAGGGTCTCTCACCAACATCAAGATGAATAACGAGAATATTCTGGTATTCCCATACATGGAGGAGCTGATAGCTGCACCTCTGGTCTACCGAGAGACCTCCGTCTGGAAACCGAATCTCAAGAGAGCAGCCAAATGTGAGCTTGAGGCGCAGGTGTTCGAGTTGAAACAAGCTGCCTCTGACTGTGGCTATCAGGTGATGGCGAGGATTAAAAATTCGTGTGAATTCTTCACTGTCACTCAGAAAGGAGACAAGTTGAGGTTGATGAGCAAGCACAAGTATAAATGCTCAGTTCCACTCATATCCGCAGATATGAATCCATTCGATCTCAAACAGTTTTGCACTGTTAATATTAAGGGCACTATAGCACTTCGTGATTTGGAGACAACGTAAGAATAATTCAACACATTGGCAGAATATTTCTCATCAAATTCCAATAGATTTAGCCCATTTCATTGCATTCATTCGTTTTCAAAATTGACTATCGCTACAATAAGATACCAAATGGGGGCTTTCAAATTAAATGTTGAAAAAAATAACACATCGAATGGGTTTTTAATATAATGTTAACTCTGAGTATGAAAAAGAGGACTAAATTAGCTGACAGGATCAGAAAGATTTTAATATTCTGAAAGTAGTGCTGCGAAGTAATTGAACTGTTTTGATTCATTTTCGTAAGGAATGTTTCTCAGTTTTCATGCAATAAATAAAATTTTAGTAGGTTCAATATATTTTCATTTCAGATATTTTTTTTTAATTCTTAATTGAAATTTTAGAGAATTATTCCGTCTCAAACAGCTATTGCTCACATTATCTTATTAATTCGCTGCGATTTCCAATTCCCAGAAAAGATTTAGATTGTCAATTTCTCATTGAAGTTCTCATCTTCTCATCAAATTTAAACTGGACTTCATTGGTTTTCCATGAAAAATCTTAAATCATTTAATCTTAAATTAATAACGAAGTTACAACGTCAAGATTCTAATTAGTTTCTGTCGAAATGATCATGGTATACTTATGTCATTCTCCATTGATAGGAAGAAGATGTTGAGGGCTGGATTGACGAGAACAACGATGGAGGATAAATGGAGAAGTATTAAATTCCAAAAGTGGAAGCCTCATATTGTCACCCTGGCTGACAGATCATCTATCCATTACCTGGACGTGAGGGTACGATTTATTTTAGCTTCTCTATTCTCGTTTCACTCTAAAACCTATTTCACTATTACTCAATTCAGTTCATCAATCGATGAATCAATTTTCGTGCATTGAGACAATTCGCTTGGAAAATAAAATTAACTAGTAACTTTTTTCACTACTATTTTCCAGTACTCCATGAACAAGCCTGTGCTCACCATGCATCCAAAGCCCTACATGAACGATCACGAGTGGATATCCCTGGAAATACCCAGTAATAACGAGGCATGCCACTACATTGGTACTTACCAGAGCCTATTAATGCTTGACAGTAGACATCCAGAGGGCCCTGTTCGGCAGAAATGGACCCATCAGCTCCAAAGTGCGCCAATAACAGCCAATATTCTCTCCCACAGTGGCAGGGAGGTCGTTACATTAGCAACACAACTCCCTGGTGACGTAAAAATAATATTAAATACCTGGGAAGATTCTGACGAGCCCCACAGCTTTCACCTGCCCTACGCGCCACCAAGTGTACTCGATACATTGAGAGAGTGTCATCTATTAGGGAAGTGCCTGGATCCATTGATGAGGACGAGACTGAAGCTGTCCACTGCTGGGTCGCAATTGATTCAGGACGAGTCTCAGAATATTTACCTTTTCACGCAAAATTCCATCGGTGATATTTTCTACCAAGGTCTCAATTACGAAGAAGTGTTGGATAAGAATTCTTACGTGAATACAAATGCTTATTATGCGTTGGAGGTCTGGGAGAAAAGAATGTTGGCGCAGAATTTTGTAGCACCTCTGGTTCTCTCCGATCAATCGAACATGGGAGAAGTATTCCAAGCATTCACGAATAAAGACCTGAAGTACCAGGAGCCAGTGAGGAAGATCTGGAAGGATAGGGAAAGATCACCTCGTCGTAAACGACGTAGAGAAGTGAAGAAGAAAAGCAAAACTAAGGAAGAGGAAGAGCCGGCACCCAGTTGGAAGCATTCGATAAGGCGATTGAGTCAATACACTGACCGACTTGCACCTGCACTCCTAGAAATTTGGGAGGTTACTGGGCAGAAGGATCGAGGGCCTCAGGCTGGCTCCACCGAGAAGGTGCTCAGTTGGCTGCAGTACTCAGAAGATGGAGTTCAAGAGCCTCCATTGAGCCAAGGGACCTTAAGAGAGGAGGATGATGACTGTGTGTTGACTCCAGTGTTCAGTCAAGAGCTGATCAGTGTGTCGCAGCAGCAGGAGCCTCGAGATTATTTTGAAGATGCTGATGTGAAGATTGAGCATCCAGGGGTTATCGAGGATGGGTTCACACATGAAGATTATCTACCTCTTGAGAGACCCAAACGAACAGAGGGGGTTAACAAACGAAAGGAGACGAAGAGAAGAAACAATTTCACTGTTGGGTTTTAGTTAATTGTTTATTTGTTATGAATTCATGTCAGCGGTCTCCGTCGACATGTTTTCTTGCGAATTGAAAGTATTAAAATTTTTTCATTAATTTTAATGAAATGGTCAGAATGCGACTGTTTGAAAATACGAGTTTCAAGAAAAAGAAGAGGAACAATTTTAGTTGATTGCTAATACTATTTTCTGCTGCTGTTCTTCATGAATTGATGGCAGTAGCCTCCATCAATATTTTCTTGATGAGTTCACTTCATTGAATTACATGTTGTAAATAAGAAATGAAAATATCCGCATCTCTCAACTGATTTTTAATAAAATGTTTCGAGTACGATTTTTATAAACACAAGATTGAATTTGTCACGATTCGGGTATTAAATATATAATTCATCGAAATTAGTACCTAATGAGAACGCAAGAATGAGGGAGACCATCGTGACGTGAGGGCCTTAGTGCTCTCCAATTGGGCTTTGTGACTCTCATCCTCCTGCATCTGCTGCAATAACTTGCGCTGGTTCTCCCTGAATGCAGCGAGGGGATCATCGAATTGTCTGTAGTAGTTTAGCACCTCTCTGACGTCATCGACGTTTGTGGCATGTATTGTTTTTAAGAATGCTGCTAAATCGTAGAGTGTCGTGTCGTCGTCGTTGCCACTCCATCTGGGGATTTTCAAGGCATTCTCTGGGTGGAGTTTTATGCTGTTGGAATTCCAGTCTATGACGATTACTTTACTGAGATCACGGTTGAGGGCATCTAGGTCTTTTACGTGATGACCGTCTATAAATCTTGTGGCATCACGAACTAGTCTGTACATTATGTAGCCTTGGGGGTCCAGTGAATCCAAGATGGGAAAGACAGTCTGTGGAATTAGTAAAATAAAAGGCGAATTAACGAATTGTTCTGATAATTGGGGGTTGTAAATGTGAAAGCAATGCCAGAAAAATAAATCAGATTTTACTGAAAATTCAATTAATTAAAAATTGATTTAAACTTGGTTGGCTAAAATTGTTTAAGTTTGTTGTATTTACCATTCCTTGTTCTGCTGTGTAGATTACAATTTCAAACTGAGGTGGGGCTAGAGCTTCTAGGAAATGGTCCACACCTGGACGTTTCTTGAATCTCCATCCGGTTTGATACTAAATAGCAAAAATGCAATCAAATTTAATTCATCACACTTATCCCCGTGATCATCATGATTTAATTATTGATGACAAGACTTACTGTCCAATCAGGATGAACCAATACATCCGTCATTTCTAAAACAAGAGTGTAAGGGGGTTGCATGTAAGGATACTTCAGTGGATCTGGTAGTAATTTGTCTCTACTAGGTTCTTGAACCAGCTGAAATGACGCAACCAATTAACATTGTAGCTGCAAACTCGAAGCATTCGTCAAATTACCTTTGTGTAATAGTTAACTTCTCTGCACAGTCTCTTCCAAACCCTCTGGGGGAAGGGTAGGCCTGAAAATTCATCCTCAACGATATTTCCATTCTCGTCATAAGTCGGCCTAGCCAACTCGTAAACAATAATACCACCAGTCATGGACATTGATACCCCAAATAATATGAAACTCCACTTCATCATTTTCCACGATTGCTCTCGTTGTTTCTGTGCCTCCTCATCCTCCTTACTCGTGTTATCATCTTTCTGATCATTTTTCTCCGAAAAACCTTGGGATAAAGGTGATGTGGGCGAACTGGAGGACTGAATATTCGTTAAACTCCCAGTGATTTTAGGTGCATCGGCTGTTGAATGCGAAATAATAAGATTAATGTTAGAATTGGAGATAATACTTACGTATTGCACACGTGGTTGAGGTTATGGGTTTAATGTCTCACTCACTTTCTGTTGAAAACTTGTATTTTTGTGCTGCACGAACGAAATTCACTTGTGTAACTGGTTTGCGGAGTGTTGAGTAAGTGGCTTTACAACTGCCACTGTATAATTTACAGAAAATTCGTAAACTTCGTGTTGCGAATGCCATTATTTTGATCGAGTTCTGAAACGTTGTACGACACCGGCACAGCCGCACTCGGAGCACTGGGGACTGCTGGTAAAGTAGGGTTCGTCAGTCAATCAAGCGGAAGAGGGGTGGGGGATGATACAGAAAAACTTGAAATTTGAACTTAATTTTTGGTAATTTTATCTGGGCTATTTTCGGTCACCTTAGCTTTTTGTAATGTTTTGATTATATTGAGAGATTAAAAATGATTAATTAGCAATGCACAAATTCACAAAATTTCATAGAAAAAACTTAGCGAACACGTCAGAAAATTCTATGGGTTTTTTATTAAACTTTCTACTAGTTTTTGGCCGATTATATTAAAACATTGCGCGGCTTATCTGCGCGTTTTTTGTCAATAAAAATGTCCAATGGAAAATATTCTCTCGAAAAAATCAGTGGAATTCAATTTTTATAGATAATTTATTCTATTGAGATATTTCCTACAGAAATTCCTCGGCTCAAATTTTCTTGTGTCATTTTTTAAATGAAGAGAGAATAAAAGTAGAGCGGAAAAAACTTATTCTTAAAAAATTTAGGTCGAGAAATTTCCATAAAAAATGTCTCAATATAGAAAGTTGTATAGAAAGATAAAATTTTGCTGATTTTTCCTGCCATTTAAAAAAAATTTTCAACCGCTCACATAAATTTATTTAAGAACTCATTCATTAGGCTATTGTGCATAATGGCCTAATGATTTTTCCTACGATACAGTTTCTGTCGAACATGATTCGATAACAAAAAGCAGTCGAATTTCAATATAAATTCAATAGAATTCTCTATCGAATTTTTACCAGATTTTTCTCTGTCAATTCTTCTGTAAAACTGCCTAGGATTATCTCAAAGAGAAATTAATTGAAAAATTATGAGATTTAATTAAATAGCGCTTTTTATCAATTAATGAAGGGTCGAGTGTTGTAATTACTCGTTATTTACGCTTATTACCGAGTGGGAAGTGCAGCGGGAAGTGCGAACACTGAGATTACATGAATTTACACTGATGTGTGTAATTTTATGATTGATTTCACAGTAATTGGAAAAATGTTAGGATAATATTTCCGGATTTTTCACTGTCCGTTTGAACATTTGATATTTACGTTTCGTAACTTCACCATGACAAGCCCGAATTAATTAGCCGAATGGACGTCGATGTTTTCGACGGCCCCCCATGTACAATTGAAATTACCCACGAGGCGATTTCTGCACTGCCAAAGGCACCCTCAATGTCCAGGGATTTTTTAACTCAACCCCTTCATGTTATGTATTCATCAAATGAAATTTTACCTGACAAGCTCACATAGTTCCATAGCAGCATTCTCTATTCAATCAATTTCCTATTCTCCGTTGAATGAGATTTATACTACCGTACATTTTTATAAGCTATCGTATTTCTATTTTCTTTAAAAAGAGAGTGGAATTTTTCATTTCAATTTGATTGATTGAAATCGTGGGAATGACGGAGTTGATATGAATTCCATATTTTTTTAATTGAACATTGTTTGTTGCAGGAATTAAAGAGGGAAATTCAATTGAATAGTTGCTCAGGTATAATAAAGATGAATTTTATGGAATGAGCAAATAATTTTTTTTATCCCCAATGAAGTTTTTCTGTATTTTCCAATGATGCCACTTACAACAAAAAGTATTTTTAAATCTCCATGTTGATGGGTACAAATTTAGTATTGGAAGCTTTTTGGAAACAAGTTTTTTTTGCCACTTAATTATCATGCCATCCTATCTCAATATTCCCAGCGGTGAGTCGTTACGATTCCATGAAATTCTCTCGAAATATCACCAGTAAAATGTCATAATATACAGAACGACATTTTTTTTTCAAATGCAATATCAACTTTTTAGATGCAGCTATTCGGGCCTTATGGGCCAAGATAAATGACACATAACATACATCGACATGTAGCCCGTCATACTCTACATGTAAACTCACTGTGAGTGGACGCTCGTTGCAGAGGGTCGTATAATCGAAATATCGCGTGTAAAACGCGTTGCCCGAGCGCTAATTCCATTACGGCAGGGAATAAATTTACGAACTATAGGTTTTTTTTGTTATCCGCGAGATGATCTAATATTTCGCTTGTCACGTGTTGGTGGCACGCAGTAAAAAAAACATCCACACACATGTACACAAATGAAAAAAATGCAAGAGCAATAGGTAGAAATATAATTTTTACTCCACTCGTTTTATTGATCTTTCTTTCATTATTGGCAGACCATTCAACTTGCGCGTCTGCTCAGGGAATTATGTTGAAAAATCAAGTACGTTGGGGGATTCCTCGTCGTCTCCCTACTCAGAAATTTGGAATTTCATTGAATTTTAAGTCAAATCTGATGTTCATGATTTTTTTCCCCAAGTCAAATACAAGATTAGACTGAGAAAAATAATTTCTAATATCTGAAACATATTTATTTCATGTTTATATTACATATCGAAATTTCAGGAAATCTTGCCTTTGTAAAATCAAATATTCCATTGATTTTCTGTTCGGATGATCTGAGAATCAATAAAATACTTGATTTTTCAGTTCAATTATTCGATAAAAATGTTGAAAAATCAGGAAAATTCAGGGAAAGTAAAACTCATGTCATTTTGTTTCTGAATATTCATGTTCCATTGAAAATTCAATCCAGTTCCGTCTCACGCCCACTGAAAGCTCATGAATTACCTCGAATTCGATCCGAAACTTGAAATTTCTTAACCATTTTTCCCCTAAATCGGATTCAATGTCACTCTTATGACTACTACCACCTTTTCCATGAAATTTCGAAAAATTTCTAACAGTGTACAAAAAAAGTACTGTTCACTTATTCATTAAAAACCCTGTGGCTCCGTCAAATTTGTAACACTGTAAATATCCCACCAACGTGGATAACCGCAATGATGAATTATTCCCCCAAACGACGTGACGAATAGAAGAGTGCTTGCGCTTGAAATATAATCTGCAAAGCAATTTTGGTGCTCGCATGAGTTTAACGATATTTCTCAGTGTTGCGGTTATCTCACGGGGGCACCGCTCGCTTGGCTATTTTGCGGTCTCACTGCTGAATAAAAATGAAAAAGATAAAAAAAACAACTATGGATGAAAATAAAAAGAAACGCATATACCTGTGGACGCTGCTCACCTTTACGAGCATTCACAGAGTAAAAGAAAGATGGAGTTTTCTTCTCTGGTCTTTCTGAGGGGAGAGCAAGAGAGAATAGTCTCTCTTTCTCGCCATGGGGAAACCACTTGGTCGTAACGCGCAAATTAAATGTCCCGCGTGTTTACGAGCGAGCGCGAGCGCGAGGACTCCAATGTTAAAAAAATATAAAACGACATATAGAGGGAAGAAAGAGGGAGTCGTGACGGGTGGTGCTTCGTCCCTGGTTGAATACTAGCGACAGTGAACGGGCTTTTGCTCGTTGAGAGGGATAGAATTAGAGTATATAACCAGTGCATGTACTAGCCCAGTTGGATATTCCTCCATTTAACCCCCCTCACTCTTCCTCAACCCTCTACGGTCGCGAATAATGAATGACACACAGAGTGAAACCGCACAGACGTTGTACAACTCGACGAAGGAAAAAAAAACATGGCAAATCTGGACAGACAAGGGGGCTGCTTTTACGTTACCTTTATTGCTGAGTTTAGAGTTCATTACAGTGGGCTAGTAATAATAAAAGAGAAGCCGAAAAGTACACGCAGAGGAAGGTACGGGAATTATAGTGGGGAAATTTCGGAAAAAATTCAAACAGGGATGCGAAGTTACGTCACGTTTCAAAATTGTTCAGGTCAAAACAAGAATGTCCGGCATGTGCATTATGAAATTAAAGCATACATATTGAAGTGGGTAAGTATTTAATTTCGTCTTGGGTGTTATTCGCGGAGTTACCCCTAATAGTCAGTGCTATCTGTCGGAATTCTAGAAAATTCTAATTTTTCTTACGAAATTCTACACAATTCTCCGGTTTTCAAGAAAATTCAGGGTTTTTTTAGAGTATACGAGAAAATTCGGTGGTTTTACAGAAAATTTGAGAATTTTTTTAGAAGATTCACACATGTTTCTTGGGAAATGAATTGAATTTTTTGAAAAATTCAATTCAGTTCACAAGACACGGACACGTCAACACCCGCACATGAATAACAACCTAGACGCTTATGATTTTTTTATGAGTCTTTCTACTGTATCCATTTCAGGATAACATTGAAAGTATTCTAACGCAAAAAGTCACAACTGAATGATGTGACGGTCCCACTGTCTCAAAAATTGTTGAACTCATATGATAATTTCCGCGCGCAAGCGAAATTTTTCTTTTCGTTTTCATTTAATAATCCGGGATGAGACACCCTTAGCCTCAATAATAAATTGTCTAATAGTGTCAAGCATCAGAATTATGATAAGAATTTTTTCTCCACCGACATTGCTCTTCCTGTAATTGTTCCAATTTACTGGTTATTTGAAATAAAATCATCCGATAAATATTGCTCCGTCCCTTCCCGCCATCCGCGTGTGAATGCCAACTGTTAAGCATTCATGCGACCATGGTGAAATGGTTCCCTCCGTGGCAACTGAGTACGTACAACTGTGTGTATGTGTGTGCTTGGATTTTGCAGTGTCGGATGTACATGGACAAGAGGCACTTGAAGGCAAGAAGCCACTCCGCTTCCTTCACCTTCGTGGCAGGACGTTTCCAGCCTTAATTTTGGGTAATTACTGTTTTGGCGCGAGATAAAAAAGAATGAGGTGAAAGAGGAAAAAGAGGGAAAATGTAACGTTGAAAATATATGAAAGGGAGTAACGAGGGAGTGCTCACCGACCGCACACACGTTCTTGGAATTCAGGGCAGTCACCTTTCTTTTTTTACTTCCAACGGATGATAACTCAATTCATCTAGACTGGTTCGATTTCATCAATTTATAATGAGACATTAAGAGCTTTATTCAAGGAAAAAAGACGTGGAATAATAGAAGGGAGAGCCCGCAGAAGTGGCATGAATAATGTACGTTCAAACCCATCGATATCATGTATGATTC